TTTACTGTGGAGCTGATCTCTGTTGTTATCCAGAACTCACCTGAACAGGTGGCTGAACATGCTGTGGGCTCCTAAACCTCTAAAACAACGACCCCTCCACTTACAGGAAACTGGTTCCCCCTGCCACACCTGCCCAAACACACCTGTATAAACACACACACAGAGTGAAGCGTCACTCTAAAGCTAAATCAGAGCTCCTCAGTTGGGGCTCTTTGACATAGTTAAACAGGTTCCAGTAAAGTGTTTCCCCGTGTTCCAGAGAAACGTCATCTGTACAAATTTACAGCAGTCAGACTGACATTCCTCCACATTCACCCTGAAGACAGTTTCTATACCTTTAAACTAAATTTTTTTAGCATATGAGTGTTTTACAGTGTCTTCAGCAACAGGGGAAGGGGCTGATTATTGAATACTTGTGATGTATCAATGATCAAAATTAGACCACACTGTGATTAACATGGCTATATTAATGCACCTCATTATGAAATCATTATTAATCAGAGTTGTTTAAAATGATTGAGCCAAATTGTGTTAAACCGTATCCAGTCTGCCCTGATATAAACACAGAGAGCGCTTCCTACTGTCTTAGTGTGTTATTGTGCTTACTGGGTTTACTGGGTGTTCTGGGTTTGCTGGGTTTGTTGGGTGTTCTGGGTTTTCTGGTTTTACTGGATGTTCTAGGTTTGCTGGCTGTTCTGGGTGTTCTGGGTTTGCTGGGTTTACTAGGTGTTCTGCGTGTTCTGGGTTTGCTGGGTGTACTGGGTGTTCTGGGTGTTCAGAGTGTTCTGAGTGTTCTGGGTTTGCTGGATGTTCTGGGTTTGCTGGATGTTCTGGCTTTACTGTTTGTTCTGGGTTTACTGGGTGTACTGGGTGTTCTGGGTGTTCAGAGTGTTCTGGGTTTTCTTGGTTTGCTGGGTGTTCTGGGTGATCTGGGTGTTCAGAGTGTTCTGGGTTTTCTTGGTTTGCTGGGTGTTCTGGGTTTGCTGGGTGTTCTTGGTTTGCTGGGTTTACTGGGTGTCATGGGTTTACTGGGTTTGCTGTTTTGCTGGGTGTTCTGGGTTTGCTGGGTTTACTGTTTTGCTGGGTGTTCTGCATTTGCTGGTTTTCCTGAGTGTTCTGGGTTTGCTAGGTTTACTGTTTTGCTGGGTGTTCTGGGTTTGCTGGGTTTACTGTTTTGCTGGGTGTTCTGGGTTTGCTAGGTTTCCTGAGTGTTCTGGGTTTGCTAGGTTTACTGTTTTGCTGGGTGTTCTGGGTTTGCTGGGTTTCCTGAGTGTTCTGGGTTTGCTAGGTTTACTGTTTTGCTGGGTGTTCTGGGTTTGCTGGGTTTCCTGAGTGTGCTGGGTTTGCTAAGTTTACTGGTTTGCTGGGTTTGCTGGATGTTCTGCTGCAGGCTGTTCTGTAGTTCTGGAGGACAGATTCCACAACTCTGTACTTTCAACACACCAATCACTGATGCACACATGACTGCACACAGACAGAGGAACGAGAGACCAGCATTAGATACACAGAGAGAGTGATGGGGGGCTTTATTCAAAAAGAAAAAAAAACCCAGATGCGTAGTGTGGGTGAAGATGTGGGTGAAGATGTGGGTGGTATCTTTAGGGGCAAAGAGAGACAGAAGCTGAGAAAAGGAGAGCAGCAGAAGTAAAAATGTGAATAAGTGAGGAGGAGGTCATGAAGGTCGTGCAGTTGTCTCCTTCACTGCCGCGTGTCTGTTCACTGAGTCAGAACAGAACTGAAACAATACAGTCACAACAGCAGCTGCTGGAAGGTCAGTGGGAGCAGAACCCTGCAGAGATACGCAGACACTGAGGAACCTCACAGTGACCAGAGCAGCAGAGAGTGACCACAGAACTCTGTGGTATACAGACTGACTACTGAACCGAGGAGCAGCCGAGTGAACAGAGCTGTGAAATATGTTCTGCTTTAGTTTGAGAAAAAAGGTTCTGTACAGGCTAGAACAGTGTAAATGTACCGTAGATCATACAGAACTGTCATTAAAAGATAGAACCTAAAATTGCAGTTTAATGTTATTTGTTGTGTTATTCTGTATATTCTTTAGTGCAGCATTGTATCCCTCCACCTCATTATTTTGAGAGAATTACTATTTTCTACCATTTTCATGTTCTAACACTACACCATACCCAGCAAATATAGTATACAACCATTAGGAATCCCTGTGATGTCACCTAATCCTGACTGCTAGCCTAACCACTGAGCTACAGGGTTATAAATACAACCAAGCTAGCACTAGTGTAATTCTTACCTTGGTCAAACTAATTCCTAGAGGAAACATCGATTCCATCTTTATTCAGCACAAAATGGTGAAATGAGTTTTTACTGTTTCAGTCAGAGAAAAGGAGCCAAACGGAGATGAGATAGCAGGGTAGCTAACTTGCTAACTTTAGCTTTTAGCTTTTTGTTAATGTTTCCTAGCAGTAATGCTATCTATTCGCTTTCCTTCAGTGTTCACCAGTTAACACTAACACATTTCAAACAGCCTGTCAGCAAAAATCTACCACAACACAGTTTTCCAAAAGTTCCTCCCACCATCAGAAGGGGGTTTAGTCTTTAAACCAGAAAATCTTAACTTTTTAAAATAGAAAAATTAAAAAAAGACTGAATAGAGAATGCATAGAAAGTCACAATTAAAAAAATGCAAAAGAATGTAGCACAGTTATGCTCTCTAACTAAAGGTACCCATTAATATCTGACTTAATATCAGTTAGTGATTTCACATGGCAAAGCAAAGCGTAACACTGTTGTTATTCGTCATATATTCTTCTTCTTCTGCTGGATTTCTGTCCACTCACTTGTCTCATGGTCAAGATATCAACACTGTTCAAACTCTGGATTGTTCACTCTGATCAGGAATGGATAGCTTTTTGATTGGATGAACCATTTTTATACAATCTTTGTTAAAAAAAACACTTTTTCCCCAGTGGAATGAATAAGAGGCACCCAGCTTAAATAAGGATGTTACTAAGTCCACTAGCAGCACCCTATTAACCATGTGGGATATCAGAGCAGTGACCTAGCAACACCCTAGCAACCATCACAGATACCATAGCAACTGCCTGGCAACACCTAGCAACCACCTAAAATACCATATTAAACAGCCCCCTAGTGACCCTTTAGCACCTGCTTAAACTGCACAGTCTCTGTATTTTCTTTACGAAAGGCTTTTCTAGATAATACTAATAATAGTTATTAATAACAAAAAAATCACATTTTTACTTGGGGTTATATTTATGTTACACAATAGTATACATTGTATTATATAATACATGATATTGTACATTATATTATATATTGTATATATACAATATGTTATACCTTACATTTTACACTATATTATACATAACTGTACTGTACATTGAATCATGTCTACACTGAATGTGTGACCTCACTAACACTGCAGGTCTAACAGGAATGCATGTTAGAGTGATAACAGATAACTTCCTCTCTCTGCTGTCTGTCTGTCTGTCTGTCTCCCTTTAAACAGCTGTTTATCACACAGTAATAATAGCTGAGGGTGAGACAGGACTATTCCAACACTGTCAACATCACATCACACCTCCCTCTCCGCTCTCGCTGAGGGAGCCTGACTGACCTGTTACTCACTCACTTTTTAAATTTAGCTTTAGTTGGAGTCGAGCTCTGGCTCATGTGTGATCTGATAGAACCGAGGAGCTGAGTGGTGTTCTAACAGCAGCAGGTTCGGTTCTCATTCCTCCTGCGCTCTCAGATACTGTACAGACATGTAACTCTCTCTCAGTGCAAGTTTCCTTTACCACTTCTCTTCCTCTCCATCTCTCCACTGTTACTCTGTTCTCTCCTCGAACCCCAGAAAGTGCCGTAACCAGAATTGTTGCTCAACAGTGGGACTTTAAAATAGCTCTCCAGGACCAGCCAGCCCAAATATGGCAGGGAGCAGCGCCTCCACCCAAAAATATCAGCAGCCATGCCATGAAATGTAAAAATACCCCTTTTCCCCCCACGCTCTGTGCTATAAAGAATTGGAGGGAAGCACACAGAGTGCAGCGAGAGGATCAGCAACAGGCCTTTATTACAAATTTAATAATGTGTAATCTTTCTGAGATTTATTATTAAAACAGCAGGCAGGCTTTTAATATTACAGAAACTACAGTGGAGTTCCATCATTACCATATTTACCATAAGTAACAGTCTCACACTTGGTTTAATAAAATGACTGACTGCACCGAACGCAGCTGTTTGAAATGGCTGACAAGACAAAAACAACAGGGCTTTAAAAGTGAGCAGGTTTAAGTTCAGGTTAAACTCAGAGCATCAGAACTGCCTGTTTTGTCATCAACACTGGTTTTAAATTTAATTTTGTTTACAATGTGAGAAAAATTGTCATAAAATGACAAACATGTACAAGTCATGTGCATCACTACGTATTAATGATTAATGCAGAATCACTTTAATCCTCTCTGATTAATGATCTGGTAAGGAAGGTATTAATACTGTGGATTGGTATAATTTCACATCTTCAGAATCAGGGTTTGAGTTATGGGAGATGGTCCTCTGGTGGAGGGTCTGACCATGAAGTAATCTTAAAATATTTGGCAGAAATGTAGTATATTTGGTGTAAATGTTGTTACACGGTACAAACAACAGGTGCAGTAATACACTTTTGACAACATTTGGCAGCAAACATGAATTTCACTCACTAACTGCTAAACGCTTCAAAGAAAACTGCTGAACAACTTTTCAAAGATGTGATGCAATTAACGTGTTCAATTTTGGTGACATACAAGCATGAAGAACCTTCTTCCGTTCAAATAACTTCCACAGTTCTACACCAGTTAAAGGTTTCTCATAGAACCCTTATTATAAAGACTATCTGAGCTATCATTTCTAGTAACGTGCTAACAAATTCTCATTGGTTTACACTGACTGTTAGTAGCGATGTTAGCGGATTTATCCTTATTGCGAATAAGCAGAACTCTCTCTGGTTCTTTGTGTTCTTTCAGGCTGCTGGTTGGGGCTCCTCGGGCCAGAGGCCTTGGCACTCTGAGGAACAGTCACCCTGGAGCTTTATATCGCTGTCCAATCACAGCGGAGGAGTACGACTGTGAGAGAGTGGACATTGACGGAGACGGTGAGAGTGACACTCATCCATCACTGTGCTTAAGAGCTGATCTATTATGTTAATTATATTGATTATTTACAGCTGAGACAGATTTCTGATCAACTGAAAACAGACATTATCCACATTATACACAACACACAAACATACTCAGACTCTGCTTCACATCCTACATCCATAAGACACAGTGCAGAGAGATGTGTCCTGATTCTGATTGATGCCTTTTAAGTAGTCATTTCTACCACTAGGGGGCATCACTAAACAGCCTACAGCTAAAAAGACTACTTAAGTACTGAATAACTTATAGTGCTGCAGTGGAACTTCTTAGAAGATCCAGACGAAGAACTATGAATGCTGAAACTGCCTTCTTACTCAAACTGTTCTGTTCCACCTTAAATGGTGCAGCTGGTATATTCTGAATGTGCATTCCAGAATGTGCCAGCTGCACTGCTTAAGGTGGAACTGAACATCTGAATAAGAAGTCATATAGAAACTGAATTCTGTTCTGTTCTTCACTTTTTGGTCTAAAATAAAACACTAAAGCTCCAGGGTGAGAAGAGTAAGTGACAGAAAAGCAGACCAGGTGTCGTATTACAGAAACTTTGTCCTTTTAGTCCTAAGTTAGGATCTCACAAGTCAAGATAAGATTACTGAAGCAAATCTTAGTTTAGGAATGTAATCTTATCTTCACTTCATCAAAATAATGTTGAAAATTTGAGTTACAGCTGCTGTACTGATGTAAAAACAAACAAACAAAACAGAAAGTTGTGAATACTGTAAGAGCGCCCCAGTTTCAGTCTCCATTTCCCAAATGCTTCAGCCGAGTGCGCTAACGTTATTCCTCCTAATAAATAAATACGTTCAACTTTGTCTCCTCATTATTCACCACCATCTCTGTAATATTTTATTATCAACATTAACAAATGAAGGTAATAAGAGGGGACGGTGGAGATCGTGTCTGCAGTGTCAGAGATTTTAAAACGCAGAGTTAGAAAAGAAAAACATCTCACAAGTGAAAGCAGCATTTTACAGTATAAGTAAATGTAGCATCATTATGTTAGTAGTGAACTATGCTGCCTAAAAATGATAGAAACAGACGCTTAAACAGAAATCAGGACACTGTTGGGGTTTATCCTAAAGTTAGGACAGTATTTATGAGATTTAGTCTAGTTAGGATGTTTGTGTAATACTGTTCTCTTATCTGGAGTTAATGATAAGATTATGAAGTTAGGAACTGGTATTCTGTAATAGTGACTGTCCTAAATTCAGTCAGGTCAGATTTCAGAGTTAGGATGGTTCTGTAATACGACCCTAGAGCCTAAAAAAAGAGAATTATAAACCAAATGTTAATGAATAAAATGGAGGTAAAGAAACAGTAGATCACTTTATTTACTGATAAACATCAGTAGAAACAAAATGATCAGCAAACACTGATCTGTTAAAACAGTACTTAAGTTCACAGAAGAGAGTACAGAGAGTTTGCTACTGCTCTGGTTAAAGTGCTGATGCTATTCTGTTTTTCTGCAGTGAGTCTGGAGAGGGAGAATAAAGATAACCAGTGGTTGGGGGTCACGGTGAAGAGTCAGGGGATCGGAGGGAAAGTGGTGGTGAGTCTCCATGCTGTGCATGCTTTACACACTGCATCGTCTCCATGGAGTCTGTCTGCTGTTTGTGATTCACACCGTGTATTCTGACTCTAACTGCTATCCTGTAAATGCACTTATCTGATACAGTGCTGTGCAAATGTCAGAGACCCCGGCTTCATTTATTTCATTTCCAGTCAAAACACCTATAAAGAGCAAGTTATTCATTTTTCAGGAGAGATTTGTGAGGAGATTAGATATAAGATAGTCCACTTCCATAATAAAGGAGAAATTCAAGGTGAAAAAATATGAGGTACCAAAACTGGAGAGAAAACTGAGAAAAAGTGACTCCTAACAACCTCCTGGAAGACCTGATAGACACCAAAACTGTCCCCAACAGATAAACAGCACTTAAAGCTTTCATCTTTGAGAGAGATGAGAAAATCAAGCTGCTTCAGATCTGAAAACATCTACAGGTGTTTCTGTCCATCCTTCCACTGTGAGAAGACCACTCATCCAGACCTCAACATCACTGAATGTGTTTGGATTACTTCAGAAAATGTTCAACCGACTCCTAAGACTGAACTTTGGAGGTGTGTCTGCAGATTTCTTTGAGAAACTGAAAGTGAGTCTCCTGAAAAGAATGGAAGCTGGAATAAAGGTAAAGAGTGACACGCTGAACACTCAAACAGCTAATATTAGATTTAGCTGGTGAGGATTCTGGGTAATTTTCTGTTAAATGTGTTTTCTGCTGTATTCCTGAGCTTAAAATTAAGTAAATAAAAGGGGTCTGTGACTTTTGCAATATCACTGTAGCTACAAATGATAAAGCACAGTTTACACAGTTTATCAAATGAAGTTCTGACCGGTCCTGCAGACGTGTGCTCACCTGTACGAACTGAGGCAGCGGGTCAATCAGCCGTCCGAAACCCGAGACCCGATTGGACGCTGCTACATGCTGAGTGAGGACCTGACCGAGAGGGACGATCTGGACGGAGGGGAGTGGAAGTTCTGTGAGGGACGTCCTCAGGGTCACGAGCAGTTCGGCTTCTGTCAGCAGGGCCTGGCCGCCAGCTTCACTCCCGACAACAACTATGTCCTGTTCGGGGCTCCCGGGACCTACAACTGGAAAGGTATGACAATTTAAACCGGAACTGGGAGTTTTGGGCCAAACTCTGATTGTACTATTGTGTCAGAGGTCAGTCTTAAAGGTGAGGAGCTGCAGAAATAAGTCATTATGGAGAACATAAACCTGATCAATCAGAAATGGATGCTGTTAATTTTGTCTGAATTAAACCTTTTGGATTTGCTTTAACCGCCCTTATTCTATTGTTCTTATATTGTGTTTTACTCCTGAGGGTCGCTTATAACATTTGTGTGAGTTTAAGTAGCAAAAACAGTCAGAATTTATTTTTACATGACCCTCTCAGAAATAAACAGGTCTTAGTCTGTAAGGATAATATTTGTAAAACCTCTGCAGATTTTAATGTGTGTTGATTTTAAAATAATGTTTTGAGAAGCAGTATACACTCTTAAAAAAGGAGGTTTTGTAAGGGTTCTTTAGTAAATAAAATGGTTCTCTATAGAACCATAAACACTCAAAGAACCATTTTCATTATTAACTGGTGAAATGTTTCTTCAGCTTGATGGAGAATGTGTTGTAGATGGTTCTATATAGAAGCACCAAAAAGGCTTCCAATACTGTTACAAGCCAAAAAAAAACATTTTTGGTACTATATATTACTATATAGTACCATTTTTGAATATAGTGTATGGAAATGGGGGCAGAGTCAGTGAGAAAGAATTAGAAGGAATAATAAATAAAATAAAATAAGAAATAAATTAATCTATTGTGCAATTAAAGGAAAAGTTCAGTTGTAGTCGATCAGCTGAGACTTGTTTGTTGTCCATTATTTGAGGCAACCAGAGGTGCCACCTGGCCTGGGATTCCAGGACTAAAGCCCTGAATATTTTTTAACCAGCCCTGAACCTTGGAGAGAGAGAAATAACAAGAGAGAGAGAGTTCTGTAATCTACCAGCCTACATAAAAATCACTCATTTGAAAACAAGTCCGGATCTTAGTGTTGTAGCCTGTGCGAAAGCGTTTACCTGATATTTCTTGGGGCCCGTTGTGCTTGGCTCGTGCTGCAGACCTCTAATGATGTTCCTCAGGCCACTTTAAAATTACTCTGATATACTGCTGTGTTTTAGTGTGAGCTTTTATATTTAAAGTTGTTTTATTATTTAAAGTGTCTTACTGAATGTCATTCAACATTTTAAAGCATATAAAAACTACAATAGTGTTAGCAAAACATTATACAGCAGACGTGTAGAAGAGCTGGTTGATGTTGAGAGAGAAAATGTGCGGAGGACTTTAAGATTGGCATTATTGAGAAAAACATTTCAGTTTCCTTTTTTTAACTAACACTGTTTCACTCTTCTCTTGTTTTTTGTGCTTTTGTTTATAAGACATTGTTGAATCACTGCATATTTAGTTAATGTGCAAATCTTTACAGTAAATAAAAAAGTAGCAACTGCACATTTTACACTTTAGTAAAAAAATGGGGGGTGATATCCAAAAGTGATATCCAAAAGAACACTGAACTGTGCTGAGTGCTGGATCTTTACATGCCCTGCCAGCGCTGCTGAAGGCAACGTTAGCCTTGTAGATCCAGCACTAAACTACAGTAGACTCCAAACACGTCTCAGCTGATCACAACATCCAGAACTGTAAGTTAAAAGTTTCTTTGAGGGTTTGTCTTCTGAGGATAAAGCCTATAGTACCTGTAAAGTGTGCAGGTAGAGTGTGTGTGTGTGTTTGTATGTGTGTGTGTGTGTGTGTGTGTGTGTGTTTTGTGTTTGGTCCTCACCTCCGTTCCTCCCAGGAGAGATGCGAGTCCAGCACCTCAACCAATCACTGGTGGACTTGGGTTTCTATGACGACGGCCCCTACGAGATTGCTGATGAAAAACAGCAAAACGCTACGTTGATTCCTGTGCCATACCACAGCTTACTGGGTACGACCCACCTGAGCCCACCCTTCTGTAGTGGGCACAGGGAGAGGACCACAGGAGCCACTGACTGAACCGCTCATTCAAACCTGCATCACACGTCATCTACACTCTCTCCAAACTCTCAGCTCTTCATTTAAGCAAGCCTCATTACGGTGAAGACACTGTACAGCACAATACAGTCCGAGAGTCTGTAGACAGCGTTTCTTCTGAAAACTGCATTCAGCCATGAGAGCATTAGTAAGGTCAGGCACTGATGGGGTGCTTTAACCTGTGTGTGGTTGTGGGCTCTAGAGTCTGGGGTCTAATTACACCTAGCGTCCAAATACTCAAAACCATTGTTTTTAATGAAAGTGTTGTCAGCCACTACCAGCACTGCCACTCATCATCTCTCTATTACTGCACAAACTAAACCAAGCTGAAGCTGACTTAAATGGTACAGCAGTTGCAGGCGCCAGAATGCAAATATAGCACCATTTAAGGTGGAACGGATTCGAAGAAGCTTGCAAATACAACGCCTTACCAGCCTCACCAAACTTAAACTCTGAACTGAACCACTAAAAGCCACAGTTGGGCAAAGTCTGAAATTTCCAGTGAACTAGAGATCAACTTCTACTTGAGCTCATATGTGCAGTCTGTCACGGTGCTTCTCCAGCAACGTGTGGTACAGTTTACCTGGTAAAACCATCCATATCACCAAGAAAGCTATAATCTTCAATAAGCTACAGTTTACTGTTTGATCCACCGGTGTCGGCAGAAAGCAATTTTTGGCTAGACTTGTAAAAAAGTGGGTGGGCCAATTTGGTAGACACAATTTCCAAAGGCACGCACCCAACAAGGACGATGTGAAAGATAAAATCAGACAAAAAGCAACACAGCAAATTTAAAAACCTTAACCTAATAATTGTAGGTAAAGAATACTGCCACAGCGGGCATGAAACATGTTTATGGTCCTTTCATGTCTTACCTTTGATGCACTGAAGTAATGTTAGATGTTTGCTTTGACATTTTCACAAAGCTCATATCAGCCTTTGTAGTAAAAGATCATCGTAAACACCAAATTTATCATACCATCGTACCATTTACCATCGTAAATACCAATCTACGGGACGGAATCTCACTTTTACACATACTCAGTTACATCTTTTAACCAAATCTGGAGCTGCAGATTCAAACACACACGCTGATAACAATCCGAGCTCTAGGTGGTGGCAGATAGCAACGGTTGCTGTGCAGTGGTTGGAGAGCTGAGAAAAGAAAGGCAGTGCTTGGCGGACAGCGTAATAATGTGATTGGCCATAATTCAGTAACAGAAAACAAATCAAACTTCACTATCTTAAAATATCATCTTAATAAATTTGATTGAGTGGGCTTGTTATCAGTCTGGGAATATATAAATCAAATTAAAAAAAACAAAACAAAAACGGAGTCCTGAATGGGCTTTGGCCCAGATAAGTCCATCCATTAAATCACCCCTGGGTACTGACGTTGGATGGTCAGATCTGGATCACTCCAACTCATCCCAAAGGTACTGGATGGACCTCCATCACTCCATAGAACACAGTTCCACTGCACCACAGCCCAATGCTGGGTGCAGCTTAGTGTAGCTGAATGCACTCATTAGAAGGGCTGTCTGGATACTTTTGGACATACAGTGTGTTCTTCAGTCCTCAATTTCAGTCAGTTGTTTGATGTCAAGCACGCACTGCCCATAAAATGTTGACTCAGGAAGTGAAGTCAGCCATGTGTTCAGCGCAGGCCGTGACGGTTCAGTCTCCGGTGGTGTCATGTCGTCCTTCTGGCGAACAGCGGCAGATGTTGTGGACACCTGCCTGCTGCTGGTCAATCCAAAACACTTTAAGAGCACAGTCTTTCTCACACCTGCACCTTTTTGTTTTCTTTTTCTCTCTGTCACCCTGCCACCCCCCCCCCACCCCCTCCATTCCTGCACCGGGCTTTAGGGCTCTTGTTCATGGCCAGTCCCATTGAGGATGCATTGGTGTACAAAACTCTGGAACCCTCCCAGCGGCCCGTGTTTGAGGATGTAGCTCAGAATAGCTACCTAGGTTTGTAGGCCAAAGACAGCGTTGTTTCAGACAGACGTGCATTTCTGCTGTGCTGTAGTGCTCACTTTCTCCCTGACCTGTAGTTTTTCTTGTGTTTGTGTAGATTTTACAAACTTTTATAGTCAAACTTCTCCTTTGTAGAGGGACAACTAACACCCTGAGATAGAGACGGACAGTAATCATTCTGGAGAAACATTGATAGATCTTTTTAAAAATATACTAATCTAACATTTTACATGATCTTAATCTTTGAGTTGAATGCACTACGCTAACTGAGCAAGCTTTCACCAGAGAGTCTGCGAGTTTTGTTGTTCACTGAGCTCAGAACTGCCCGACAGGAATAGCTGGACATTCAGAACCACCAAGAGATAAAATTCTTAAATAATTTCTATGATGTGATGCTGTGAATTTCACTAACTGTTTCCAATCTGGTGATAATGTCTTCATCCAAAAAGCTATAAAGTCACTGTTACACTGATTAATCCTCAAATAAACTGTGGCTTTACAGTTTATAAACTGTAATATTTAACAGTAAAATATAAATTAAAACTCAGAAATCTGAGTCTATAATTATTGTAGTTGTTTTGAATGTCTCTCTATACTTGGAGAAGCAACAGTGGGTGAGCTCAGGTGCTGCTGTATTGTGTAGTGTGTAGTGTCAGTGTAGTGTGCTATGTAGTGTGTAGTGAATAAATGTAGTGTTTAGTGTCTGTGTGTGGTGTCTGAGTGTGGCGTATAGTAAATGAGTGTAGTGTGTAGTATGTAGTGTGATTGTAGTGTGTTGAGTAGCATTTGAGTGTAGTGTAGTTGAATGTGTGCAGTGTGTAGTGAGAGTGTAGTGGGTAGTGTGTAGGGTGCAGTGTAGTGTGTAGTGTGTTGTGTAGTATGTAGTGTGTAGTGTGGTGAGAGTGTAGTGTTTAGTATGTAGTGTGTAGTGTAGTGTGTGGTGAGAGTGTAGTCTACTCTCTGCATGTGATTTGCTGTGAAACTGTTTTCTCAGTGGTGGTTTAAAGGGTTTGTAACTAACACTAGCTGAGTTGACATCCATACATTGATATGCATATTTTGACAAATTGATGAAAAATGACTTGATGGAAACAGTGAACAATTAGGATCTCCAAACTTCACATAAAAGTTTGTACACTCACTTGATGTGGATCAAGTTTTGGCCGATAAAAAAGAAATGCGATAGATTATGATGAAAGCTGCTAAGTAACGTATATGAAAATAAAGTCATATTACTGATCAGGTGATGATTTTTCATTCAGCTGTTGCTAGGAAACAGGAGGGAAGGCAGTAGGTACAACAAAGATAAATATACTTTATCTTACAAAAAAAGAAAACATGATAGTGACTTTAGATGGTACAGAGATATAAAGTCCTGCAGCAGATCTTGAGTCGTTTTATCATGTCAGTGTTTCTCAGTAGTGTTTTATAAGCGTGCAGTAGAGAGTTTAATTCTGTGTACAGAGTTGATGGAAACTCCGACTCATTCACATTGTTGTTTATGATATTTCAGTTATTCAAATGTTAAATCAGGTTTTTACAATCTTAAACAAGATTAAGAATGGAAAAGATTATGCAGTGGACATTTTCAACAGTAACCTGTTTTGTCAAACTGTACATTATTGATTCTAATTTCATCACTAATCTAACAGCCACTGTCACTCTGAGCTGATACATTCAGCCCAACAACAAATATCTGATAAGTCATTTTAAGGAAAGTGTCTTTTTGAAAGAGGTGAATATTAGAATAATCTCTAATATAACAGTGCTGTGTGACTGAGCTAGAACGATCAGTGAGTGGCAGAAGGAAGTCAAGGCTGGTGTTTGAGGTCCAGCGGAGCACTGTGAAGGAGGGTCTTCTGTTATCTGTACATCTAAACCGGCAGTGATGGGTTATGATAACAGATCAGATCATAAGCTAGAGCACTGACGTTCTACCTGCTAACATTAGATTTCAGTGCTGTGGCAGTTTACTCAGAAAGTTCTGAGTCATAACTAATGCTATTATAACTTTTCAGCTCCAGCCCAGTGTAATAAATGTCACTACGGTCAGAAATGAAGTTTGAAGCAGCTCTGCTTTTATTGCAGTGCATTGAAAGGTGTTCGTTAAGTGTCCTCATGTGCGAGAAGCAAGAATACGATATATAAAAAGAGAAACAACATTATTCTCTCATACTTCACCATAACTAACATAATCACATTCAGCATGTTCATAAAACAGTAATCTGCTGAAGCATGAGTAGATAAAACTCCAGTTTGGCATATATAAAGAACTTGAAAATCTGTCCACACAAATTTCCATCCCCAGTATGCAAAATTCAGAAGTAATATCATTTAATTTAAATAAATATGTCCATATTATTTCTAAATATGTAGCCAGCATGTGCATGTGCTGACACATCTGCTCTCCTGCCACCCTGGAACCTCTCCACCTGCCTGAGCTCCTCTCCGTCTCTCAGAGGAACCTAAACTAACAGATTCCCGTCAGTCTGCATGAATTAACCTGTTTGACGAACTGTGTTATTGTTGTGGTTCAGTGATGTTTCAGTGTCTGTGTTTTGTGTTTCTTGTTGTTGTGCTGTAATTATTCTATTTTTTATCTAAACACTACAATTGTATCACTATTATAAAAACCAGTTCCTACAGACTCTCCATAGATTCACCACAGACTTACTACAGACTCTACAGATTCACCAGAATCTACAGACTCTCCACAGAATCTCCACAGACTCTACAGACTCTTTACACTCTCCACTGACTCACCAGACTCTCCACGGACTCACCACAGACTCACCACATAGTCTACAGATTCACCAGAATCTACAGACTCTCCACAGAATCTCCACAGACTCTACAGACTCTACAGACTCTCCACAGACTCTCCACAGACTCACCAGACACTCCACAGATTCTCCACAGACTCACCAGATTCTCCACTGACTCTCCACAGGTTTTCCTCAGACTCCACAAATCATTATTGAATGTATGAAGTGGTGAAACTAAACGAGTCCCTCACTCTCTTCACCCTTTTCAATCTCTTCACTCTTTTCACTTTACACTTACCTGTTACTTTGAATGTGCTCAACTCTGGGGGCTGATTTATTTCTGTGGAGATGTAAACATATCTGCATCACGACACAGAGAAGGGGTTTATGGGTAACTGTAACCGTAGTTGGTAGATGCGCACATCAAAGCCAGTTTAATTGGAGTCTGGCCACTTCATATTTCTCTAATTACGTCAAAAACATGAGTAAAAAACACTAGAGGGCACTGCAGAAGATTCACTCTTAGATAAATCAGTCTGTGGAGAATCAGCCCCCCTACTTCTCCCATTTTGGAAAATGAAGACAATACAATTACACATAAACACTCATTAAATTAGTATGGAAATGAAAAGCTTTGGTAGACATTAACTCCTGACCCCTGACCCCCCCACCCTAATTCCGGTGTAGGCTTTTCTGTGGATTCAGCTAAAGGAATAATGAGCCGGGGGGAGCTGACCTTCGTAGCTGGAGCACCGAGAGCCAATCACACCGGAGCGGTGGTCCTGCTGAAGAAGGATAACGTGTACCGGCTGGTTCCTGAGTTTATTCTGTGGGGGGAGGAGCTCGCCTCATCCTTTGGCTACTCTGTGACCACCACTGACCTCAATAAGGACGGGTGAGATATACAGTTACCACTGAACACAACAACAGCAACCACTGACCAATGAACTTGTACTGGATGTTGCTTTTAACCTCCCAAAAAATCTATATTAGCACTCCTGGTAAGGATGTAAAGACGAGCAAAAAGAGTGCAAATATTTTTGATTTTTGCTAAATAAAGGTTAATTGATTGATTGATAATCAAACCAGGGAAACCTTTTCACTGCTAATGTTTGTGGGTTTTCATGTCTAGTAAGTAGGAGGAAATGGAAGCTGCTGCTTAAGATGAGCTAATGCTAAAGCTAACCTACTCAACACATCTAATGCAGGAAATCTTTTATCAGTGACAGTAATGCAGAGGATGGTTGTTTAAATGTAAGAAGCTAAACATTTTTAAATCAGAAATCTGTTGAGTCATACACCCCTATGTACAGTTTTCCCCACCCCCTTTTCTGATTGGTGATTCCATGAGAAGTGACACATGATGAGCAGAGCTTATTCATGTGAGTGGTGGTGGAACAGGAACATGTGTAACCTATTCCTGCTGTAGGATATGATGTCGTTTTAATTGAATTCACTCTGTTAAAAGACGGAAAACTCTGAACTCTGCAGAGTTACGACCCAAAAGTAGCCCAGCCTGACATGCCTGCTCTACAGAATTCCTTAGATTATCAATGTCTGGTTTATTACATTTGTTCTCTGCACTGTAACTGTCTCTGCTGTTGTAGCCACCAGTGTCTGCAGATGGAGATGGAGAGCAGGTCTAACAGAACTCTCTCTCTCACAGCTGGACTGATTTAATTGTGGGAGCTCCAAACTTCTTTGATCGTAAAGCCGAGATCGGAGGAGCCGTGTACGTGTTCTTAAACCCGGCAAGTCACTGGGAGAAAGCTCGACCCATCCGCCTCAATGGAACCTATGACTCCATGTTTGGCATGACAGTCAGCAGCGTGGGAGATTTGGACCAGGACGGTTATGGAGGTGATGAGAACCGTTCTTCTGATTTATAATTTATGGCTCTAGATTGTGTTCTGTTGGCCATAGTTAATGTTCTGCTGTGTGTTGTGATCAGATGTTGCTGTCGGAGCTCCGTTTGATGGAGATGGAAAAGTGTTTATCTTCAGAGGCTCTGCGACTGGCATCGACACCAAACCCTCTCAGGTTGGTGGCACTTCTCTTCAGCACCTCCCTTCACTCTGTTCATCCAAAACAGAAACTTTAAAGGAGGAGAAAAGTTCTCGTCTCTTATTGTAGCTTTCAGTAGTTAGAAAGACTGCTTTTAAAAATAAACGTCACTGTTAATTTTTTTAACTTATTCACTTATATTGAAGGTTCTTAAGACAAACACTAACAAGTCTGTAAGATGGGGCTTCATTCACCAACCTAGAACCAACAAAAACATTTGTTGATTTGGCTAAAGTGTTGATTTAAATTCAACTGAGTCTGAAGTTCTTTTATTTCAGCATCCAAATTGTTTGCTGTTCTTTCAAATGGATGCTTGTTTTTGACTCCAGAATGCTCACCATAACTAATTAAACCTGCAACTCTCCATGTCTATGCTCATCTAAAACTGTCTGAACCCAAAATCCCACCAAAACATATTCATTCCAAAAAACAGAAAACCCTGTGAATAAACGGTGATGCTCTGTCCGTGACTCAGAAGCCCTGAGAACAGAGAACACAGGATCAGTAACAGTTCACACTGCAGTGCTGCTGAGCTTTCTGGAGAGCAGTGTATGAACAATGAGCAGCTGTTTCACACACTCCACATTTCTGCTGGTAAACATGATCCAGAACCACGTACAGGAACTAAATATGGAAAAATACCAGAACATCATGAAGATCTCCAGTTCTGTCTTTGGTCTGTTTTCACTGATTGTTCTCACTGATGTTCTCTGCAGGTTCTCGATGGACTGAATGCAGGTGTAAAACGCTTTGGATATTCAATATCAGGAGGTCTAGACATTGATGGGAATCTTTACCCTGATCTAGCAGTGGGATCCCTCAGTGACCAGGTGGTTCTTTACAGGTAAATCATGTTCTACTGGTGTATTTCATCAGTGTGCCGTGTCTGGAGGAACATCTCTAAATCCTGAGCATATTTAAAGCATATATCTTTGTTGTCGGTACAAAAAATGTTTGTATGGTTGTATCAAAATTTCATGATGAACAGACCAACTGAAAGGGTCCAAAATTACTTGGAAAACATTACATCTCCATTAACTACCATTAAAAGTTAAGAACGTTCTTCCTTGTTCTGTGCAGTTATGTTTTTGGAGATATGATATTTTGTTCCGACAGCAGTGATATATTTATACATTATTAATAACATCTAGTTAGATTGTTCACACATCACCACATATCAGGTCACTTCTGCTCTTTCATTTTATGCTAAAAAAGTAATAATTAAATGAATGTATGAACACACGGTGAAGGAATATATCAAAAGAAATGAATAAATAGTATATACAGCTGTAAAATAATTTATAATGGGTTACCATCTAATATAAACATTCATTCATTTATTAATCTTCACATTCTTAATGAGAGTGAAGATTTTGCCATATTTAACATTTTCTTAGGCACATAAAATACTAATTTTATTTAAAAGTTTATTTTATTTATTACATATTATATTGTCTGTGAGATATTACATATTTTTATAATTTAAAGTGGAACATTAATCAGCGAAGACTTTAAGAATCAGTGATCGGTTTCACGTGATTAACGATCTGACCTTGTTGACTGATTGACCTCCAGGTCACGTCCAGTGGTCCACGTGAGCAGAGACATTTCCCTGAAGCCTCAGCAGATCGATCTGGCTCAGCAGAACTGCAAAGGGAGGGAAGGCGTGTGGTGGGTTTAATTTTCAGATTACTCCAATATTCAAATCTGCTTATTTACAATTATGTTTTTGGAGAACATCATTACTGAAACATCTGTTTCACTCAGTTCTGAGTGTCATTAGTGGAATAGTGAGAGATCTGTTACATCCAGCAGGCGTGTTCCTCAGAGTTCTCTGAGTAATCTTCTCTCCAAGTGTGGTCTTAACCCAGTTAGACTGAGGTACAAACTCCAAAGTACTAGATCATTATTTTGGGTAACCTGGTGGAACTAAATTACTGTAATTTTGTGCAAAATACAGCAGAGAGAAAATCAACTCAAACTAGAAAACAGGATCATATTGGAGCAGTTTTTGCTTCACTGCACTGGCTGCCTGTTAATAATTGAAATCGATTATAAAACTTTACTGCTCTTAATGCTTTAACACCTTCATATGTCTCAGAGTGCTGATAGATGATGTTCCACATTGAGTTTCCACAAGATCACCCAGTGCTGCTTCTCCATATTCCACACATGCAGCTTAAACAGAACAGAGAGGTTCTGTTTTTATTCACCAAAGATCGGGAACACATTACTGATAAAAATCCTGACTCCTGTTTAGCTAATAAACCTTCTTATATCGCTTCCCTGTTTTTACTGGAATATTACTTTACTTTCTTGTTATTGGCTTTTTATTGTGTTTACAATTATATTTTTGTTTTGTGCAATTTAATTTTGATTATTATTAATATATCCTATTTTTTGGTATTGCTTTTATATGTTGCATTTTTATTGTTTGTCCTTGTTTTTCTTTTACTTCTGTTGTTTTTGCTTTGTATTATGAAGCACTTTGAGCTGCAATCCTGATGTATGAAAGGTGCTATATAAATAATTAGAATTATTATAGTACTTATTATTATTATTACACTGAAATCACTAACAGGTTCTAGATATTAATAATAAATAATAAAGTAAACTATCAAATAAAATATTTCATAAATATTTGGAGTAATAATGCTGTAAACACAAACATCTTCTAAATTTCACTGTAATGTCGCACATTTAAGCAGAAAGTAAATCAGAAATCGATTCTAATAGAGCTTTATTGGTCACACAGTCATTCACAGTATAACCTGCAGCGAAATGTTTATATGACTGTCCACTGCCAGGAAAACATAATATATAAAAAAACAACCATAAGAATATAAAAAAGAGAAAATAACAGCAAGATAGTTTGTGAAGTAAATGTTAAGAACCCGGCAGAACCACAGTAAGAACCATTGCTTTCTTTTACAGAAAAATTCTGTATCAAACTCTGTACTTTATTCACCTACAATCTTCATATATCATATAACTACCAAAATAATCACACAGAACTGTGGAGCTCCACATACTCACCCAGTTTATACCCAGAAGCTGTTTCCTATTACAGTGTAATTCAGTTAGACTGCCATGGTACTTACTATCATGTTACTTAAACTAATTATCTAGTACATTGGAGTTTGTACCTCACACTTAACCTGATTAATGCTTAGAATGTTCGGAACTGTAAAAGAAAGTGTTACCAAGTTACTGTACTGTTACTAGGAGTTTCGGTCCTGATAACCTGATTTGGTCAAGAACACTTATATAAGAACACTTTCAAAAGTGAAGGTTTCTAAATGGATTTTGGCTTGGATTCTAGAAAAAAGATAGAATTGGTATAGAACATGTAGAAGATCTCAAACTGCAAATGTTCTTCATTTCTTTTTCATTTGCTTTAAATGAAGCTTTGTTTGAGTTTTTCTGGTTTATTTCTGACGTGCCACAGAAATAGTGCCTTAATTTTGCTTCTAATTAGCTTTTGTAGCGTTAATTAATTCCTCCTGTGGTCTGTGTTTGTCAGTGTGGAGATTGAGGCGTGTTACACCTACACTGCTCACCCAGAATCCTTTTCACCGCACATAAGTGAGTCTACAGTCATTAACTCATTAACACTGAGATTCATACTGAGATCAGCTGGAGTCTCAGTTTTTACTCTGTCCTCATTCGTGTCTCTGTTTTGTTCCAGCACTTGCTGTACATTTTGAAGCAGACACAGAGCGCAGGAAGTTGGGCCTGCCCCACAGAGTTCACTTCCTGGGTCGAACAGCGTCTGAGCCAGAGTACGTTCACTCTGAGGAGGTGGAGCTGAGGGGTCAGAACCATCCAGCCTGTCAGACAGCCACCTTTGTGCTACAGGTACAGAACCAGAACTGTGTGTGAAATCCTTCATACTCTAACTTTACCACCATCACCAGATCCAGCATCATCAGATCCATTATTACCACATCCAGCATTAGCAGATCCATTATTACCAGATTCAGCATCATCAGATGCAGGATTACCAGGTCTATTATTACCAGATCCAGCATCACAAGATTCATTATTACCAGATCCATTATTACCAGATCCAACAACACCAGATCCGTTATCACCAGATCCATTATTACCAGATTCAACATCACCAGATGCAGCATTATCAGATCCTTTATTAACAGATCCAGCATTACCAGATCAATTATCACCAGAACCATTTTTAACAGATCCAGCATTACCAGATACATTATCACCAGATGCAGCATTACCAGATCCATTATTACCAAATCCATTATCACCAGTTTCAGAATTTCCAGATCTATTATTACCAGATCCAACATTACCAGATCCAGTATCACTAGATCCATTACTACCAGATCCAATATTAATAGATCCATTATCATCAGATCCAGCATGACCAGCTTCATTATTACCAGATCTATTATCGCCAGAAGCAGCATCATTAGATCCATTATTACCAGTTTCAGCATTAACAGATCCATTATCACCAAACCAATTATTACCAGATGAATTATTTTGAATAGAATTGTCTGTGAATATAATAAAATGTCTGTATGATTTTCTTTCATATAAACTCTTGTCCTGCAGGAGAACATCAGGGATAAGCTCCGTCCCATCTCTCTCGCAATCACACACACAATAAAGAAGACCCGTCATCACGGACACATCGGTGATAAACACCTGGGCCGGCTGAATCCAGTCCTGGGCATCAGCACCTCCAACACCTACTACTCTGAGGTCTGAGTTTATATTCTGTAGACTCATGTATGAAACTGATTCTGTAAATGGGAGCTTTAGTTCTTCACTTATAAACTTCACTAAATATTTCCATATTATCGCTGTCAGAACAAAACCTTCTATCTGCATTTTTACATTTTCCGATATAATTTGAAAGCAGAAGCTATGCTTTACACTGTAAAAATTTATGATGAATAGACCCATAGAAATGCCCCAAACTTCCTTAGAATAAAGTCTGTGATAAAATGACTTTTGGAGGCTTTCTAAACATTTTGGTTTTAGTGAAACAGTGATGATGTGTCTGTTAGTTTGCCGTTGGGGTGATTCCTGGTTATGACGTGAGAAATGAGAGGTGTGAATGTGTCTGTTCTGCTGTCAGTGTTCAGGTTTAAACTTTGTGTTTCCAGGTGAACTTCCTGAGAGAAGGCTGTGGTGAAGATAAGATCTGTCAGAGTAACCTGAAGCTCAGCTATCAGTTTGGCACCAGAGCCCCCATTTCAGACCTATTCACCCCTTTACCACTGTAAGTCTCTCTCTCTCTCTCTCTCTGATCAGATGATTCAGCCTATTTCTACACATTCACATTATTTTCTGTAATTTTTAAGTGAAATGACCTGCACTGCAGTGGTACATAATTTTCTTCAAATATTATTTTTAAAGCATTCAAAATCATCTGCCTGTGCAGTAAGATCATCTGTACACTCACCAGTTTATCAATAATGATCAATAACAGACATAAAAACAGAAGATGTAGAAGCTCTGCTGCAGCTCTGTATGTGAGTGTGTGTTGGGTCAGTACTCCCTGATCTCTCTGACTCTCTGTATCTGCTCTGTCTGGTCAGAGACGAGGACGGAGTGCCCGTGTTCTCTTTGTCTGATCAGAGGTCAGTGGTGCTGGAAGTCACGGTCACCAACATGCCCTCCGACCCTGAGAACCCGCAGGAGGACGGTGATGATGCCCACGCTGCTCAGATGCTGGTCACTCTGCCCAGCACGCTGTCCTACTCTGGCGTCAGAGGACAGCAGGTACGGACACGGAGGACGATGTCCTTTAGAGGAGCCACTCAGCCTAATGAGAACCTGTAGAACAAACTCAGTTTATATCCTCAGTTTATATCCAATACCTACATTTAGAGCCAGTTATTCATTCAACCTAATGAGAAACTGTAGAACAGACTTAGTTTATATAACAATACCTACATTTATTCACTCTCTCTCCGTCTGTCTCTCTCTGTCTGTTCTACAGGTTGTGTGTCAAGCCAATCAGAACGGTTCTCAGGCAGAGTGTGAGTTGGGCAACCCCGTCAGACGAGATGCCATGGTAACACACACTCACCCACACACACACACAGACACACACACACACACACACATACACACACACACACACACACACACACACACACACACACACACACAGTGTTAGCATATCTAAGTGGAGGATTTTCAGATTCAGGTTCTTTGACTCTCTAAACTCACTGTTTCAGGAGACTTGTGTTCATTGCATGATTTTTCTTTGTAACTCTCATGCTCTCATTATCTTTCAGCTGAAGTTCTACATCATCCTGAGCACCTCAGACATCACCATCGAAACCACATCTTTATCAGTAGACCTGCTGATGTCAACGTAAGTCATGTCACTCTTACTGTCAACAATCTTTATCCCATGAACAGGCTTAAGCTACAGCATTCAGCCTACAGCAGTTAAGCCCCACTCATTCAGCCTGTACCAGCTTAGCCCCACCCATTCAGCCTACAGCAGTTTAGCCCCACCATTCAGCCTACAGCAGTTTAGCCCCGTCCATTCAGTCTACAGCAGTTTAGCCCCGTCCATTCAGCCTACAGCAGTTTAGCCCCATCCGTTTAGCCTACAGCAGTTTAGCCCCACCCATTTAGCCTACAGTTGTTTAGCCCCATTATTCAGCCTACAGCAGTTTAGCCCCACCCATTCAGCCTACAGCAGTTTAGCCCCACCCATACATGCTGAAGTTAAAATCAGTGTTTATTTAAAAGGGAAAGTAAATACAGTAGATATTTATGTGTGTGTCAGGATCAGTGAGCAGCCTGGTCTGAGCACAGTCACAGCGTTCGCTCGAGTGGTGATAGAGCTCCCCCTGGCGGTCAGTGGGTACGTTTTCTTCTCTCTTTATAAACTCTCAGTTCCACAGTAATATTCTTTTATGACAATAAAATATATTGTTATTTTTATTGTTAAATGTTATCAATATTTCCCAGAATATAAATAGAATATACTGTACTTTACTGGTAATCCATATTTATTTGGGGTTCTAAAGAGTTGCTAAGTGTTGGTAATGTTGGTGGTGTGGTTCTCAGGCTGGCTCGTCCTCATCAGCTGTTCTTCAGCGGGACGGTCAGAGGAGAGAGCGCCATGAAGACTCTGGATGACGTGGGCAGTGAAGTGGAGTATGAGTTCATGGTGAGATCACATGTTTGAGTAGAAAATGAGGATCACTGGTGTGATGCTGATTTTAGAGTCAGATTAAGAATAAACGTATCATTTCTAAACAGGTCACCAACACCGGTCAGTCTGTCCAGACTGTCGGCTCTGCGTTCCTGAACATCATGTGGCCTCATGAGCTGGCGAACGGGAAGTGGCTGCTGTATCCCTCCAGCCTGAAGATCGAGGGTCACCCGCACTCCCACTGCACTCACCTTTCAGCTCTCAACCCACGAGGACTGAGCTCCACTGAGCCACATGCACATCATCTAAAGGTGCTCAGACTTCACCTCATCAAAGCTCTGATGAGAGAACCTCACGCAAGAGCTCTTAATACCTTACAGCAGGAGTACAGTAGGGGTGCAGTAGGGATAAAGGAGGGGTGCAGTAGGGTTGCAGCAGAGATGCAGTAGGGGTACAGCAGGGATGCAGTAGGAGTACAGTAGGTGTACAGCAAGGGTGCAGCAGGGGTACAGCAGGGGTACAGTAGGGGTACAGGAGGGGTGCAGTAAGGTTGCAGCAGGGATGCCGTAGAGGTACAGCAGGGGTACAGTAGGGGTGTAGTAGAGGTACAGCAGGGGTGCAACAGGGTTGCAGTAGAGGTGCAGCAAGGGTGCAGTAGGGGTACAGTGAGGGTACAATAGGGGTGTAGCAGGGGTACAGCAGGGGTGCAGTAAGTGTACAGCAGGGGTACAGTAGGGGTACAGTAGGGGTGCAGTAGGGGTCAGGGGTGCAGTAGAGGTACAGTAGGGGTGTAGCAGGGGTACAGCAGGGTTACAGTAGGGGTGCAGCAGGGATGCAGTAGGGGTGCAGCAGGAGTGCAGTAGGGGTGCAGCAGGGCTGGTGTCCAGAGTTTGGTGATTCTTCTGCTCAAACACACCTGATTCAAGTCACCTGTTTTTTTTGTGATCAATTTTTTTTTTTATTTGTTTCCTGTTAATCAAGCAGCATTTTATCACAACATTACAGAACTGCAGAAGTCACCTGTTAATGTCCAGGTTTTGTGGAACTGTTTGAGGTGGGAACCACAGAACTGTGCTGGACACCAGCCCTCCAGAACCGGAGCTGAGCAACCCTGCATTACAGTTTTGCTCAAACTGGACATCACTGCTTTGGGACAGTGGTGGTCAGACCTTAAACATTATTAGCTCTACAGTAACATTCTTGTATGAAAATCTCTGTGAAAATGGCACACACTGTCAAAATGAAGTTCTAATTAAATTAATAACAGAATGAAGTTCTAACTAAATTAATATCAGAGGTGCCAGAATGTAAGAGCTGCACCATTTAAGGTGGAACTGAGAATTGAAATTAAAAGCTGGTGAGGTTGAAGCTGTATATAAATAAACTGCTGAATCAGTAAAATCCAGCAGCTGGACCACACAGCAGGTCACTGATGGTGTTTCTGTTTCTCAGACGAGGAGAAAGACGCGCTCTCATCCAGAGGAGGAGGGGGAGGCCGTGACGAAGGGCGGTCCGCTCAACAGCACTCCAGCTGTGGCGGCGTCTGAGAGGAGGAAGTCGCTCAAACTGGTAAACACACATTACTACAGTTACGTTAAACTGCAGAACAGCTGGTTTTTCTGTGGTTTGATCCATTACTGAGGAGTTCTTTGAGAATCAGCAGGTCACAGAGTGACGTTCTGCCTTAACTTGAGTTCTAACTTAAATATCACATTTTATGATTGTTTTAATCCTTCATCAAACTAAAATTTAACTAAATAATTTGGTGTAGATGAAGAATGTCTTAATGGCTGGAACATTCTAACCACTAGAACATTTTGACAGCTTGACAGATCCCATGAGTTTGTTTTGTGTTTGTTACAGATTATTTGGTTAAAATTACAATTATAAAATTAAAAATGACAAAAAGTAAAACATCATCACAGTTCATATAAATGTGTGATTAGAACATTAAATAAAGAACAGAGATGTTTTTACTCTGTGATTGAGTCTAAACTGTCTGTACTGAGTGCTGGTGTTTGTGCAGGACTGTCTGCTGGGTTCTGCCCGCTGTGTGCTCTTTCAGTGTCCACTGCACAGCTTCTCAGGAACCGCACTGTTCAAGATCAGAGGACGCTTGTGGAACAGCACCTTCATAGAGGTACCGCGGATGCATACTCTCTGATCTTCTGTGTTCTTCTGTGTTCTTCTCTGATCTTCTTTATCTTTCTCTGTTCTGTGTTCTCATGTGATTTTTGATGTTCTCTGTTTTTTTTCGGATTTACAATGTTCTTCTCTGTTCTTCTTATCTTTCTCACTCCCCCCTCTCTCTCCCTCTCTCTCTACCTCTCCCCCTCCCTCTCTCTCTCCCCCTCTCTTTCTCTTTCTCTCTCTCTCTCTCTCCCCTCTCTCTTTCTCTACCTACTTCTCTCTCACTCTCTCTCTCTATCTCCCCCCCTCTTTCTCTCTCTCTCTCTCTCTCTCTCTCTCTATCCCCCCCCCTCTTTCTCTCTCTCTCTCTCTCTCTCTCTCTCTCTCTCTGTCTCTGTAGGAGTTCTCCTCAGTCAGTGCTCTGGAGCTGCTGGTCAGAGCCAACATCACAGTAAAGTCCAGCATTAAACACCTGGTGCTGAGAGATGCTGCTGCTCAGGTGCCATGACTGCAATGACTGATGTGTTTTGATCTTTTAATTTTAGGAAGCTCAGCTGGCGCCGGATTCACAAAAGCTCTGCTAAGAATAATCTTATTAAGGATAATAATTAATAATCTTATTAAGAATGTCTTAATTATTTCATTTTAAAAGTTTTCTCCGTTATTAAACAGAGGCTGAGGGCTGTTTGCCATATCAGTTTTATGTTGCATTTCAAAGATTACATAAATGACACCATATCACCAGCAATCGGTTATTCAGTGTGATCACGCCACTGCTGAGGACAACATGAAGAAATGTTTAAAGATTTAGAAAGTCCTCCTCTGTTTATTTTTAACAGTTATATTTTTATCTCCTTAGAGGTTTACCTTGCAGCTCTAACAGGCTGCTCTCCTAAAAACATGGTTCTTCAAGATTCTTCAATAAAAAAAACAATTTACCAAAACCTTCTTAAGTTTCTTCTTAAATTTGTTCTTGAGACAAGAGAAATGAGGCCCAATGGTTCTATATATCAACAAAAAAGGTTCTTCTATTGTTATGATGTCAAGCTTGTAGCAATAGCAGAACCCTTCTTGATGCTACATAGAACCATATACATCACATTCTCCGTCATTCACCATATAATGAACCATTTAAGCATGCAGTTCATGTTTCTATATAGAACCATTGTCTTTACTAAAGAACCCTTGAAGAACCATCTTTTTAAAAATCTAAGACAAGTGTGAGACTGTTGTAACATTAAGAAAATATTTTTTTCTCATAAACCAGATGTTCTTACAGTTTTCTTAAAAGTTTGGAAAGAAAGGCAGGAGATTCCTAAGTGTTTTTGAAGATCAACAATTCATCTCAGTCTTTATGTTAAGTGTGTAGTTGATAAAAATGCTCGTTTAAGAAGATTTTCTTTCACTGTTTGACCTGATAAACGTATAATTTAAGGTGTAAACGTTCTCACACTCAGACTCCATCTTTGACGTATGTTCACTCGTCTCTCCTCAGGTTCCAGTGATGATCTACCCTGAACACGGGATCTCAGACCAGTACTGGATCCCCTGGTGGATCATCCTCATCGCTATCCTGGCTGGAGTTCTGGTCTTAGCACTGCTGGTCTGCATCCTCTGGAAGGTACGACTCTAATTTCTGATAACCAGCAGTTCTGATATTTTAATATGTTAAACATTTTAAATAGTCTAATCCGATAAAAAATCCAAACAGGTTCCTCAGACGTCTCTGATAACTTTCCTTCCACTCCAGCGAGATCTGCTGCTTGTTTTTATTTTTATTCATCTTTCGTTCACCTTCTCATTTCTGTTCTTCCAGATTCTAAAGTCTTTCTTATTCTTGCTCTGCCTGTCTGACCCTGTTTACACTGACCCGCTTCATGCGTCCTGATCGGTTAGCTGAGACCGCAGATGGGTCACTATCTGATCAGCCAACCCCTCAGGAAGATTAACAGACATCTGAGACGATCTGATTATTTATGATGCTTATGTAATCTTAGTGGAATTTAGATTTTTTCAAAACTTCTCTATAATTAAGTTGTTAAGAGAGTCGTTCAGTGTGGTTTGGTGTGAAACACTCTGTTCTAGAGAAACTTACTGAGTCAGAACTGTTCACAGTGGTGGTGAAAGAACCCAGACGTTCACCTCTAAAAGCTCCCTCACAGAAAGTTATTACATGAAATGGACATGAATTCACTGCCTGATGACTGAGACATTGTTTTATGATAGTTTTGAGAAGATCTTGGTCTAAAACTGCACTCAAAATCTGTCCGGTTACTGTCAGTTAAGTTTCCTACAGCTTCTCAGAGCTGGTTTCTTTCTTTCTGGCTTTATACCCCTCTAGTCCATGCTTGGCATTGGGCATGGAGACCTTAGGATCATTCATTTGGTCAGTGCTTTTGTATAGAAATTATACAAGCTGTGTCAGCAATGGATGTAACTGAACTCACTCAGTCCAGATACTTTTGGACAGTGTAGTGCAGATAACTGCAAAGAACAACGTTTCTGTGGAGCCTGGCATTGTTTCATATTTGCATATTGTGCAGGAAATGAGAATTAGAGTGCCGGGCTGGTCAGGTGTTCTTCCAAGTCACATCAGAGAGTCTGCTAGGTGGTGGCTTGGTGACCTCTTTTAAATGTGAGGGCGCCCCTGTGTGGCCAATCACAGACCTGCACACAATGCAAAATGGCAGCACAGAATTCATGAAAGGAATATTATAACTGGCGGTCCTAACAACTGTGTGTGGTTAGTGCTGCAGGTGTGTGTGAGGTAAATAAGGCGAGGCAGGTAAGATCACACACTCTGCTGGATCTGAATGATGCAGCATAGTTAAACATGCCTCATTGTGATATATGGCCCGTCGACTCTGACTGTACATGCCACTCTTTATTACTGTCACCTCATTTAAACATTCAAACTGATTTCACACCTCAAACCTCAGTTTGGCTCATTAAAGAGTAAACAATATTATTTATAGTGTGACTTTGGCTGATAAAGTTCAGCAGATGTTCATTAAGCTCACACAGTGAGAGACTTAGGGTAAAAAAGAAGACAATAATAATCAATCAATTTGGCTGTAAATCAGAATCAGCCATAAAACGTATGATGGACATGCAATAGATACAATCTGCACGAAGCGGTGAAGTGTAAACAGGCTTTTAGTTACCTGTGTATCTCTCTCTCTCTCTCTCTCTCTCTCTCTCTGTGTTCTGATGCTGTTTGTTCCTCCTCTCTCCTCTGCTGGGGTCAGTGTGGGTTCTTTAAGCGTACAGAGCGCCGTCCTCAGTATGAGACAGAATATTACAGAGCTCACCTGCAGCTTCAGCCGTCTGACGCTGAGAAACAGGAGCTCCAGTAGAGTCTCACCACCTGCTACCCCCCCACAGCGGTAACCAGCGCTCAGACACAGAATCTAACATCTGTGTTCTCTGTGTTCTCTGTAGTAAACAGCACTGAGACAGAACCTAACGTCTAGCACGCCTCCCTGTGTTCTCTGTCCTCACTGTCCACTTTGTGCTCTTTGTTTTCTCTGTGTTCTCTGTTCCTTAATCTGTGAGCTCAGTCAACATAAACATTTGATTAGAAAGTGAATATATAACTATTAGATGTTACTATAATCCATGTAATCAAACATATTTCACACCTTTAATGATCACATTTGATAAATGAGGCCAAAGGTTCATCCTTGCAGAGATTATAAAAGATCATAAAGAGACATCTTCAACAAGAACCATCATTTACGTATCATCTGCAATTTTACCCGTTTACTCTCATATACGCATGATTAATATTAAAAATCTCCTATTAATGCATTTATGATGCAATAAAAGGAAATCATTCAGCAGCTCGTGAGCCTTCGGCTGCTCTCCAAATCCACCCAGTTGGCAATACTCAGCATGTTGATCTTCCAGCTCTGTTAAATTCCACATAATCACATTCCTGATCCTCAAGTGTTTATTTATTCTCAGTCAACTAATGAGCTAATGAAGATCCATTTTTACTATTTATAATGTATATTGATTGTATTGAAGTTAATTGATCTTCTCTTTTTCAAAGAATCTCATTTGTGCAATTATATTATAATATTAAGTAAATCATCACTGATATTTTCTCTGTTTTTGTTACAACTGATATTATTATTGATATACGGGTTTTAATTTTAATTTTTAAGTATTTTCAGGTTAAAGTATCACTCGGTTTGATTGTTCTGTTTGGTCAAAGATTAACTTGATGAACTCATTAAACAAAAGTAAACTCAGGTCCAGATTACAGCTGTTAGTAACGCCTGTATTAACATCTGTCCTGAGTGTTAATATGTTAAAATCAGGGGTGAATGGAGCAGCAGCGAAATCTGCATACGCTCATTTTAGGGTTAGTTTAGCATGAAATAGGTATTTAGTATGAATCTGTGTGTGTGTAGTTGGTGTGAATATGTTCCTGAATTTTCAGTCAGGATGAACTTTTTGGTGTGTTTTTTATTAAAACCTGCTGTGATATTAAAGATGTTTTATCTGCTTCTGTTTGCAGTGATTTGCATCGTTTACTTAATGAGACATTCACATAAACAGATGTTTACAGTTTACTCCACTCTGACAGTCTGATTAATATTTATCCTCAATCAAAACACTGAAGGACTCTCTGTGAGACTGATTATGGTTTATTTTTGCATACTTCTGTAAATCGTCTGTGTAAACAGTTTTTTCTGAACAGTCTAACACGGATCTTTTTCATCTGTTACAGATGAGAGAACTGTGGTCGGTCAGTTCAATCAGTCATATCAAAAAGAGATAAAAAATTATTTTAAGTCAGTTTTATTCAGACTGATGTGGCTTAAATACAGAGAGTGCAACTAAGAGAATGTTTTTTCTTCCTCTTTTTCCTCAAAGTGTCGAACGCAGAAAACAGTCCGGAGTTCAGTGGTGCTGTCTGAGCTGCTAACAGTGTGCAGTTGTGTCTGTGTGACGGTGAACTGAGGCTGAAACTGCATGATTGTGAAAGCATGTCTCTGAAAAATGACTGAATGAAGAAAGTATACTAGCTTATGATAATTACTGATTATCATATTTTTTATTTTTAAATACTCTCACTAGGGATCATTTTTGAAAAGCTATTTATCTTTTCTCTAACATTTTGCTTCCTCACATTGAAGAACCATGAACTGTCTGAACTCTGTCCTCCACCAGAGGGCAGTGCAGGACTGCGTATAATGTTTTTGGTCAAAGGAACTAATCCAGCCAGACGAGAAGCTCTGCACTGCTGTAGATGTACAGAGCTGAGATTCAGCACAGAGGAAAGCTCAGATACACAAACTCAGCATTATTCCACTCTCTACTGTACAGACTGAACAGAATGTGAAAACTGAATGGAATAAAACTATCAGCATCATTTAGTCAGTTCTGTCTGATGTGCTTGCAGCTGTAGCCGTTTCCGCCCCCTAGTGACCGTTCAGCCATTTTTCGAACGTGAAATTTGACTGAAATGCTTATCTTTAACACAGAGTGTCAATAACAGCCTGATATGCAGCATTTTATTTCACCCATAACAATCTAACCTGCCTGCATCTCTCTCTCTCTCTCTCTCACTCTCTCCATCTCTCTCTCAGTGTGGGTTCTTCCGGAGGGCTCAGTATAAAGACAAGGTTCCTCAGTACCACGCTGTGAAGATCCCACGGCAAGAACGTTCTCAGTTTCAGGACGAGAAGTCCATCATATTACACAAGAAGGAGTGGGCCACCCACTGGACTGATGGAACATCTTGATGTTCTGGAACTTTCCTTCTCTCCTCCCTTGTTTTGACCACAGCAGACTTGACTCCCTCACCGTCCCGAGAGCAGACAGAACTGCCGAGCTTCGAGACGCTGCACACTAACGCCGAACATATTTCATAGCCTTCAGTATCATTACTAACATGTACAGATATTAATGACATCATAAGCTCATAAACACACTGACAGAGTTTAAACACCGACTCACCAAAGAAAACATGCTGAACATACTGTCAGCTTTACTTTACAGACTGAAGAACAGCTTCATCTTTACAGATGGAACAGCAGCTTCGCTTTACAGACTGAACAGCAGCTTAATCTGTACAGACTGAACAGCAGCTTCATTCTATACAGAGTAAACAGCAGCTTCATCTTTAAAGACCGAACAGCAGCTTTACTTTACAGACTGAACAGCAACTTCATCTGTAAAAACTGAACAGCAGCTTCATCTTTATAGACTGAACAGCAGCTTCATATTTACAGACCGCAGAGCAGCTTCACTCTGTACAGACTGAACAGCAGCTTTACTCTGTACAGACTGAACAGCAGCTTTGCTTTACAGACTGAACAGCAGCTTCATCTGTACAGACTGAACAGCAGCTTCACTCTATACAGACTGAACAGCAGCCTCACCTGTAAAGACTGAACAGCAGCTTCAATCTATAAAGACTGAACAGCAGCTTCATCTGTATAGACTGAACAGCAGCTTCACTCTATACAGACTGAACAGCAGCTTCACCTGTAAAGACTGAACAGCAGTTTCAATCTATAAAGACTGAACAGCAGCTTCATCTTTACAGACTGAAGCTGAAGTTTCTGATAGAAGTGCCTTCATTACAGAACTGAAACAGAACTGAAGGAAGCTCATTACTTAGAAGCTTTGCATCAGACAGAACCTCTGAAATGTTTTACAGAGAACCTGTTAAATGGTTCTGTCAGACCAGCTGTGAGCACTCCAATGAAACCAGTGCTTCCAGTAAAAGGCATTTTAAACGTGCAAGTAAATGTAGAGCTGACACTGTGATAACTGTGACAGTGTTTAAAAAGCTTTTATTATTTTATAACTGTTTCAACAGTTTCTACAGTCCCATCATCATCATCATCATCATTATCGCCACCATCATCATCAACATCATTATCATCATTATTACCATTAACATTCTTATTACAGCCTTACAGGAACAGCTTACCAAAAAATTGAATTCACATGTTCTCAGAGCTGTTTAATGTTTCCTATTTTGTGCTTTGAGGCTGATGTACAGCCATTTGCAAAAGTTTGTGTGCCCCTGGTCAATTAGCATGTTGTTGATTTTTTTCTGAAAGTAAATAAATAACTTATCCTCTACAGTGAACACACTTCTGCACATTTTAATATACAATTACTGTTTATTTACTGAATATTGGAGAAAAATAAAACACAAAATATATGCAAAAGTTATGGCAAAGTTATGGCATTTATATTTTCTGTTTTATTTTTCCAACATATTAAACTTAAAATAAATAGAAATTGTGCACTGAAATTAGCAGACAAATGCCATATTTTGCAGAGACAATTATATTCTATAAAAAATTGACTTCTACAATAATCCATACATTTATATTCTAATACACAGATGTCTATTATAATAGATTCGATTTTTGGTGAATTGTTCCTGTGATGGTTAGCTGTGTTTGTAGGGGATTAAATGACCTCAGAGAGTCTTTAACATTCAAATAAAAACTATTAAAATGTTAGTTCAGACTAATTAGTGAGAGCTGTTCTGTAATCTTATTGATCGGTGGATAATCAGCATTTTCAAACTGTGCAGACACAAAGTTCACCTGCTGATCTTCATCACTCTGGTTTTTATTTGTGTTTGTTTTTTATAGTCTGACGTTTTTGTTGTTAGTTTCAGTTTTGTTATGAACTCCAGGATATCGATGCACGATTCAGAACTGAGCAAAAGTGTGAAGCACGGCACTCGCACTGGAAACAAACCCAGAACCCTTCAGATATTTTCTTATTTTAATGTTGAGTGTAAGAAAACAGATGAATTCACTAAAAATCTGTTTTATTGACTGCAGATTTATTTCATTTCACATTATTGAACTTTTTTGATCCCCTTCAAACAGTCTGAACTGGAGGTCCTTCATGATAACGAGAGATTGTGAACCATGTTTAATGTAATTCTGTAAAATACAATATAAAGTCTTTATCAGAATCCACGCGCAGTAACAGCATCAGTCTTATGCGTGTTATTTGTGTTTGAACTGAATGAAGGGGATAAACGAAATTCACTGAAATGAAATATTGAGTGAGTATCATGTTAATCTGGGAGAACCTTTGCGCAGGCGATGCAGAGGAAACTGATGTATTGGTGATGTGTGCATGGACATTGCTGGACAATCTGACATTAGATGCATGAAGGAACTGGCTGTAGGTCGTTTTCCCTCTTTGACCAATCAGGTATTTATTTCTGACTGACTGACTGTTTTACTGTAAACTGTAAATAAATAAACAGATGTATCATGTGAGATACATCAAGAGAAACTTAATGAATGAACTGTTGTGCTGAAAATCAATTATTTTCCATAACTTTCTTTTTTCTGTGATTTAACTCACATAACTTCACTTAAAACCCATATGGAAAAAAATTATATGGACAAATATTATATATATTTGAAATACATTATAAACACATTGCAGTCCATGCTAAAAAACATTCCAAACACTTAAATGTACTTGGGAATATATTACCAAATTAACCAAATAGGTTTTAAATACAGTTATTTTAAAATGTATGAGGAAATATTACACACAGACAAACATAAATGTATGTAAATATATTTATCATGAATGTTACTGTTAAGTCAGTCTGAGATGTTAGACTACACTGTGTGGATTCACCATCGCTGCAGATTTATGGATCATCTTCATCTGTCCCCACTGGAGGTTTTGATTTATAATAAAAGAGAAAAAGAGTAAATGTCAGCACATCTAGCTCTCAGATATTTTCAGTGTTCCCTGAAGGTGCTGACAGTGATGCTATATGTGTTACAGTAACATAATTACTTTTTCTGTAATGAAGAAACACATTAGAGTGTGAATTATTATAAACACATTACAGTTACTGAGTTAATCACAATCACATTATTGAGCTTCTCACACATCTGAGCTGAACTGCTGGTCTGTATCTGAATTTATTCTCTTCCTGGAAATGTTCTAAGCTTTTAAATCCTTAATGCTACTGGTTGCTGTGGTGATTAATTGAATGTTGACTGTGTTGTTAAGGCGGGAGATTCTGATCCTGTGGATAAACGTCACTGCAGCACAGAGAGATAAACATGTCAGCTCTCACTACTTTCACTGATCGGGCACTGTATTCTCCACTCTGCTGATGTTTTCGGTGTGTCTATATTATGAATTGATCTATCTATCTATCTATCTATCTATCTAGCTCTAAAAATCTGTCTCTATTAAAAAACAGAAAAAAAACAGTGATTAGTAAATTCAGTTTGACCTGTGTTAAGTCCAAAACAGTACAAAAACACAATATTTTTATGCTGGTAATAATCTGGATGGTCCTTTTCTCCTTTGGTCCGAAGAACACAACATACATTATTGCCATAAACAATCTGAAAAGTCGACTCATGAAACCACAGTACACGTTTCCATTGAGCATCAGTTGAAATCAGATGAGCTCAAGCCCAGAGAAGTCGGCAGCGTTTCTGGTTGTTGTTGATATGTGACTTCCACTGTACAGAGTACAGTCTTAACCTGCATTTGTGGATGCAGCAACAAACTGTGTTTTTTTTGGCAACAGTTTGTTAAAGTTTTCCCCAAACCACGTAGTGACATCACAGAAACATACTCGTTTTTAATGCAGTGCTGTCTGAGGGGTCAAAGGACAGTTATGGTTTTTGGCTTGTTCCTTTATGCACAGAGATTTTTTCTGGATTCTCTGAATCTTTTGATGATATAAGTCACGGTAGAGGGTGAAATATCTAAATTGTTCAGTCACTCAGTGAGAAATGCTGTTCTTAAACTACTGGATTATTCACAAATACTTTTTTGTGGTGAGCCTTAACCATCAATTACAAGGTTAATAAGGTAAAACATTCAGTATCTTAGTGTTGTGTTTTTTGTTAAAACACAGTTTTACAATCACTGCTTTCTGTTTTTATTTGCTTCTCACACCATCTCTTTTTGGAATATATATAAGTGAACCTGCTGGTGATTTAGTCGTCTTTGTTTTGTTTACAAGTTTATTTAGTCTCTTATTAAATTTTATTAAGCATTCATTCTTTTTATTCTTCTAAACAAAATGATACGTTTGATGTGAGTGGGGATCCCAGGTGGGATGCTAACTTCTGAGAGTCACAGTGACGCTGAAAATTCAGGTGTTTAATGAATCATTTCTAATCCTTTTCTTTCTCATCTTCTCACTTTATCAAAACTCCAGAGACTTTAGTCACTCAGCTCGCCCATTAGTGGAGTTTACAGCTTTAATAACTCTGTGTTTATGCTTTTATCCCTTCGTATGGTCAGTAATCCAGTTCCTCAGGAGATTCCTCACAAACACTAAGTGCTTCTCAGATAAACCCTGGAGCACCGTAGACCTTCTGTGGAGCTGTGGACTCGGGGGATGCAGGAGTATAAATACAGACGTCTCCACTGTCCAGACAGCACTCACGCCTCAGCTCAGACTGTCCGGTACTATTCCATTTACCATCTGAGGGTCAGTCTCTTGTAGAAGGTGATGAACAGAATGGAAGCGAGCATGTGGTTCGTTCTGGTCAGCATGCTGCTGGCCGTGACTGGGATGGGTCACTCCATCCAGGAGGGAGAAGTTCTAGAGCCCAACCTGCGCCTGGCTGTGGACTCTGAGGAGAATGTAGCTGAGAACCTGGTAAGATCTACACTGGACTGACCTTCAGCCTGGACAGTCCCCAAATTTACAAGTGAAATGATCTTAAATCTAGTCTGAATATTTCTCATTTTAAGATTGTTGTGAGAATATTATAGGATCTAATTTATCTGTGTTATTTTAACTTGTGAAAGTGTCTGATTCTCTCAGCAGATAAATTTACATTTTAAGAACTTTATTCAAATCTGTCAGAACAAACAGATAATTTCTCTACGTAAACAAACTTAAAACAAAAAAAAAAGTCTAAAGTCAGTCATTTCATCCTAAAATATTCTCACAACAATCTCATAATGAGACGCATTTCATTTCAGACTGAATTTAAGACAATTTTCACCAACAACACAATTTTGGCTTCATTTGCAGTGAAGCTGATTTTAAGGATCACAGAAATTGGATTGTTTATCTTGTTAACAGACATTAAAATTCATAAACACTGAGTTTATTCATTTTAAATCGCCCTCTCAGTGATAACTATTATAATATTGTTTATGTTTGTATGAATCGTTAATAAACACGTCTGTCTCATCTGTGGTGTCTGCTGAAGGTCAGTGAGGAGGAGGTGGGTCGAGTTCTTGAAGATCGTCTGCTGACCACAGTGCTGCGTTCTCTGCTCCAGGGTTCTCAGAGACAAACTAGGAACCCCTCCGTTCTCCACCAGCCCCAGAGGTTTGTGTATGTGTGCGTGCGTGCCTGCACGTGTATGTGCGTGCGTGCATGTGCACGTGCGGGCTAGCGGGTGTGTTCGCATGCGTGCGCGGGAGTGTGTGAATGTGTATGTGTGTACCTGTGCGTGCACTGACTCACTGAAAACACAGAACACTATTAGAGACTATAGGACACCATGAGAAACCAGCAGAGACTATAAATGTTCTCTGTTGTTTTTTTTAGCGGGTAGCTGACAAAACGGCTAGCACAGTGGATGGAGGATAGCTTACCCTGCTGTCCATTTAAAAATGTATGAAAATAGCCAAAATCCTGTCTAATGCACTTTACTCTTTGATACCTTTTGAAATGAATTTATATGCAGTTATGATTTGATATCTTGCTTATTTGAAATACATTGTGTGTGAGTGTCTTACTGCTTACGTACATGTAAAGAACAATGCAGATCACGGACGTCAGTACCGTTTAGTTATTACAACTACACACAGCTGAACACATATAATAACAAGTATATATATATATATATATATATATATATATATATATATATATATATATATATATATATAATAACAAATAAATACATTTTATATGTGTGTGTATATATATATATATATGTGTGTGTATGTATACATAACAAACACATTCATTTACAATTTTCATACATTGCAAAAATATATTTAAATATATTTGATAAACTGATAAACACGTTTGGAATGTATGCTTTTTTCCATATGTCTCTACTCAACAATCTGATTGAAAATCTCGTTTACATGCGCACTACAAGTAAGCTGATCCAAAATTACACGCATGCGTAGAGAACCGCTTAAGGTAAACGTTACCATGACAACTAGCATCACGTGAGCTTAGTCAGAGTAAGACCAGAGCCGGTTTATGAGGAGCCTGGCCACTCCCTATTCCCCCCGTTATATCAAAAACAGGACTGCTAAACAGCAGAGGGCCCCCGCGAGTGAGTCCTCGATGAATGGGAGTAAATGGCGCTCAACGGCTAAAAAAAGAAAAAATAAAATAGTTTCTAATCACTCGCCAAAGAAAACTCACCAATATATTTCATTTTTTCCACAGTAAACGGGTTTTGGGCAGCAGAAGGCGGGCATTACTGCTAGAGCGTGATTGTTTGGCGAGCGGAGCAGCTCATTGGCTGTTCGCGCTCACTGATGTCATGAACATACATGAGGCGCCCTTTTAAACTCCTATAACTCGAGTTTAAAAGCTCTTAAAAATATAACAGCGGTGTTAAAATGTTTTATGTTGTTCTGTGTTCAGGAAATGATTGTATTCTTTTACATTTAAAATGTTTAAGCATTTATAAACTATTATAAACTAAACCAAACTATTCTCTGTAGCTTTTATTTCTTTAATAACTGATTGTGCTAATTAGCTGTCCAGACCAGCAGAAAAGTATTTAGTCTGCACCTGACGATAAAAAACCGAGTTTAGCGCGAGCTCCGGTAGAAACATCAGCAAATCCATCAATGTGTGAATCACTTCTAATCTTAATACATATAAAAATAAAATACCAGAAAAAAGAAAATACAGTAAGAAGGACAAAGCTAAATGCTTCCTGTTCGCCAGCTGCTTCTTCGAATTTTCCCGTTCCACCTTAAATAGTGCAGCAGTAACTTTCTGGTGCCTGAAGCTGCACCATTTAAGGTGGGACGGGACAATTCGAAGAAGAAGCTGGCAAATAAGAAGCTAACTTCAGGTTTGTGTAAGGTGCTGACGTTAATCAATTATGAATATCTACACAGATTAAGGGATGCTATAATTTACCTACAAAGCAATAACCATCATTGTAAATAAATAACTACTACATAAAGTTAAGATCCACTGAATAGACGATATAAATGAAATAAGCCTAATACAAAACCGGAGGAAAAACAATCACATCAGCAGGTTCTCTGTGCCTCACCAACCACACGGCCATATCAAGTCATAAACAATTGCAAACAATTGATCGGATCCAGGCGTTTCCACGACTATTATTATTCTATTTAACGAATTATTTACAGGATTACTCACCTCGTTCAATCAGATAGAAACTGTATTCCAAATGGCCTCAATCTACTAAACTATTAGTTGGATTGTTAACAGATTAATAATCCAATGCATGTAAACGTGCAGTCAGGACTCTGATCTGAAACCATGTCTTGGTCCAAGTGGTGGACAGTAACAAAGTAAATGTAATTCGTTACTGTACTTAAGTAGTTTTTTCGTGTATTTGTACTTTACTGAAGTATTTCCATTTTTGAGACTTTTTACTTTCACCCTACTACATTTCCAAGTCAAATATCTTACTTTTCACTCCACTACATAATGCGAAATCTGTCGTTCCTTTTGGTTTATGTGTGCATAAAAACATAACGTCAAAACGAAAGAAGCGCGAAGCAAGAACACCAATCAGGGCACAGTGCGCACTTTGTTTTGAGCTTGTTTTGACCTGTTGGACAAAGCTACCCAGTGAAAGCATATGGTTCAACGTCAGTGCAGTAGCGTAAAATTTTGGGAGTGTCTATTCCTACACAAACTCCTGTCTCTAACATAACTGTGTGTAAATAGACCACAATATAGAAATATGTACATGTATGCAGTTGTGACTGGCATGTGTCTTTTTTTCTAAATTTATACAAACACTATTTCATTTTATAGTAAATTTGTTCTGGCTAGTTTATGTTTATGAACATAGACCTACAGATGCAATATAGTAAAGGAAAACACATTTGTGAACCTGTGTTTAAAGCAAGTTTTTATTAAATGTAAACTTGTAACTAAGTAGCAAATAAATCTTAAACCGAAACTTTGCTTGTTTGCAAATAGTTATTTCATAGCCACTTGGTTCTACCTAATGGAAACTGTTTGCATTCAGTGTTTTGTGTTTATGATAATTTTAATAGATGTCAGCGTCAGACTAATTAATGACATTCTATTAAAATATTGGTGTTCTGAGTGTGACACTAGAGTATTTTCACCTAAAATTAGTTGATAAAGCAAGAGTCTTGTTACAAAAATGATAATAGGACATTAGAGCCATAATTGATCTTTAGTACTTTCACTTTTGATACTTAAGTACATCTGAAGGCAAATACTTTTGTACTTTTACTCAAGTGGAGGTCTAAAGGAGGACTTCTACTTTTACTGGAGTAATATTTTACCTTGGGTATTTCTACTTTAAGTCAAGTACATGATTTGTGTACTTTGTCCACCACTGCTCGGTTCTGATCTTCTGTAAACATCTGTCTACTCGCCGTCCTGCAGGTTTGGTCGTGGTGCTCGAGGAGACTCTCCTGCAGAGGAGAGGATACAGTCCCGAGACTGGGAGACGGTCCCTGGGCAGATCTGGAGCATGGCTGTTCCACAGAGATTCGGGAAGAAGTAGTGCAGAGCTTCCAGAGGAACCTCCCGGTGCGAGTATGGTGGAGTCTGAGGAACATCATCAGCCTTCCCAGACACTCACGTCCACTCCGTCACATCTGACCTGCTGCTCTCCATTAGCCTGTGTTGTCATCAAACATAAATAAATCAACACAATTAAACAAAAACATGATCCCATATGGAATATATATATATATATATATATATATATATATATATATATATATATATATGAATATGTATTTATACATATTTGAAACGCATTTCAAACACACTGCAGTCCATGCTGAAATACATTCTAAATGCTAAAATGTATTTCAATATTTTGCCATATTAACCAAATATATTTTAAAACACATTTATTTTAAAATGTATGGGGAAATATTACACATAGACAAAAGGAAATGTACGTAAATGTTTTTATCAAATACAATTGAAAATAGTATGAAAACAGCACCCATATGGAAAAAATATGTATATATATATATATATATATATATATATATATATATATATATATATATATATACATATATATATTTTTTCCATATGGGTCAGTAAAGTTATGACATACTTCACTCCTGAAACCACGACATCAGAGATCCATCTGAGACTGCTGAGGCTGAACTGGGATATAAATGTGTTTAAAAAGAAAAGAGAAGAACGAGTCAGTGTGTTTAGTTTAGAGTGAACTGTATGTGTGTGTGTATGTGTATGTGTAAGTGTATATGGGTGGAGGTGGTAAATACGGTCTACAGTACATATCGACGCTGGCTTATTCACAGTTCAGTGCGGCTTAATGAACTATTACAGTCAGTAACTGTGTGTCTGATTTCTCACTGTAAACATTTTCAGTGTAAATCTGTTAAACGACTAACAGCCCAATAAATGTGATCTGAACGGCTATTAAGGGTGATTTTCTCTGACATCATGTGTGGTTGCCATGGTTACAGATAAAGCAGTGTGTTCCAGGCCCACACACAGCCAGAGCAGATGGAGTTCTGGATTTATTAGATTTATTAGGAGCTGATTATCAGTAAACGAGTATGTGAAACTGTTAGAGCCTCAAAACATTAATTCATTTAACTGTTCAGAATTCATCATAAAATTATTACTGTTTGCTCAGAGAGCAAAGACGCACAAAACCAACTGCAACATCGGGCTCCAGCTGTGCTTCATAACTCCTTTTATTCTATTACTATATTTTATTATTATAATATCTGGTATCTTAGCATAGAAAATAACTGACATAGAGCAGTTTTAGTGTAGCAGTGGTAAAAATACATAGCAGTGATGTGAGGGTGAAGTTAAAGTTACAATCAGACATTCTGTCTTCATGACTATAATCCTGTATTTAAACTATAATCCTATATTTAAAAATATACATATCTAAATGAGTTATTATTTTGAACTGTAGTCATTTTTAACCCCTTAAATCTCAGTAGTTATTCAGTAACTACAGGAACTTCAGTGCAAACTGGCTGAGCTGTCCTCAGGTTATAGACAAGTGTAATAACACAGGGGTTAACTCAGCTACTAAAAGCACAAACTCTAAATACTGTTAATTATCAAATATTGTCCATTTCCCTGTTCAGTCTCTGCCTCGTCCTGCCCCACTTGTTTTGCCTTCTGTAGCTCCATCTTGAGTGTAACTCCACCCACTCATCATCACCTTCACCTGTGTCCTATCAGTGTCTGTAAATCAGCTCTCTGTCGCTCTTCAGTCTTTGGTGTTAATGTTCTGTCATATTACAGAGCATTTTGAACTAAAAATAGAGTTTATTATGGTGTTGACTGTGTTGTCTGTTGTGTAATGAACTAATAATCTAATAATCTGGGTCGTATTACAGAAACATCTTAACTCTAAAATCTGACCTGTTTAGTCTCCATGACGACTTCTGTACAGACTGAATTTAGGACAGTAGCTATTACAGAATAACAGTTTCTAACTTCATAATCTTATCATTAACTCCAGATAAGAAAACAATACACACAAACATCCAAAGTTACTGTCCTAACTTTAGAATAAACTGCAACAGTGTTCTAACTTCTGTTTAATCATCTGTTTCTATCATTTTTAGGCAGCTGTGTCAGGCAGCATAGTTCACTACTAGCATAATGACACTACATTTATTTATACTGTAAAACCAATGTTTTTCTTTTCTAACTCTGTGTTTTAAAAATCTCAGACACTGCTCTCCACTGCCCCCTCTTATTACCTTTGTGCGTTAATGTTGATGATAACATATTACAGTGATGGTGGTGAATAATGAGGAGACTGAATGTGTGTCTTAGGAGGAGTAACGTTAGCGCACTCGGCTAAAGCATTTGGGAAATGGAGACTGAAACTGGGGAGCAGTGACCCTCTGACAAACAAAGGGGCCCAATCTTATTCACAAAGGGCTAACATAGCTAAAGGTTCTCCTTTCAGACAAGCAGCCGAACCTGATCAGACCTGAATTAATTAACTGCTTCTACTGTCTATGCAGAGAACAGAGCTCCTTTATCAGTCTGGTTCTAGGAAAACCTTAAATGTAAAGGTTCTTCAAGCTTTAAAAAGGTTCTTCACATCCATACACATCATTACAAACATAGTTTTTTAAAGAACCGTCTACTGAAATGTTCCTTTAGAAGGAAAACCTTCACATTTATAATGAACATGACCTGAGCTGAGGACCTTCAGAAGAGGCTGATGCAGCTGTGGCCTCTGATCAGCACAGCTGGAAATGCTCAACTGCTCTGAACATAATCAAGGGCCAGCAGGGGGCAGCGTGGTGCTCATGTAGATCCACAAACACAGAACAGCCACATTACCAATTACATTGGAGCTTTGAGTGTTTTTGTATGTTGATGAAGTTAAAGCCATAGAAAAGATGCCAATCAGGTCAAAGCATACAATCTTCATATTTACATACATGAATAAAGCTGGATTATGGCTCTGTGTTCTCTGTGATCAGAGGAGGAACAGGAGGAGCTCAGAAAACTGGAGTGAAATGTGGACACTTCTTCTTTTTATAGAACGGTGATCACCAGCCTCCTCCTGGAGATCTACTTACCTGCAGAGTTTAGTTCCAACCTGTATCTCAGGCCTTGTTCAGACTGCCAGCCCAAATCTGATTTCTGTCATATCCAGATTGTATCCAGATTGATTTTTGATAGTCTAGACAGCACAAAAAAAAAAAACACATAAAACCTGTTTTTTGCAAATCTGATCCAAACCACATTTTGAGGTGGCTTCAAATGCAACTCCAGTTAGATTTTTACAGACGTGTCTCAGTCTAGATGCTCTGGACACTCAAATCAGATTTCAACGTGTCGTAGTTTATCACTTAAATCTCAAAAAACAACAACAATGTCAAATCCAGAGTGATGACGTGCTGGGATTCAAGAAGAGCTCCAAAGATTCATGATTATGAAGAGAATTCTGAAGAGTTTGGAGGGTGAGGCTATGCTTCTCCATCTCTGCTGCATCTGCGTTTGAAATCCACGTTACCAACGTAGCTACGTAATTATTGACGCCTACGCCGTTACCACAGCAACCCATGCAGATAGACTGGTGATGTCTCACAAATAATAGAGCAGACAGTCACCTCAAAAGATCTGATTTGAGAAACAATTCAATTTAGCAGTCTGAACACTGTATAACTCACACTCACCCTTACCTGACATTCACACATCTTATTAGCCAATCAGGGTCTTCTAAAGAACTCGATTATCTGGTGCAGGTGAGGCAGACTGTGATTAAACTAAACTCTGCAGGAAGGCCAATCTCCTGGACCAGATTTGGGGACCACTGCTGTAGAAGTTTCTTTCTTGGTTCACTCTGGTTCATTTGGTCTTTCAGTTTATTTTCTGAACATCTGCAAACATCAAACATTGTTCATGTTTGTCCATGTTTGTCTGGTCAGTCCACTTTGATCTTAAGAGTTCAGACTGTAGAGCTTTCCTAAAGAACATCTCAGTAAAACTGACCCCATCAAGTGGCACCAAACCTGGTCAGAGGACCTGCCTTTCACAGCCGACAGCAGGAAATGGTGGCAGAACTTTCATCTTCAGATTGCTGAACTTAAAGAACCTGCATTATTCCAGCAAACAAACCGGCTCTATGGATCCAACTTCACCATGGAAACAGCAGAAAGACTGAAAGACCCAAAAGCTTAATAATAATAATAATAATAATAATAATAATAATAATAATAATAATAATAATAATGTGGCTGTTTGAAGAGTTTAAGGAGGATAGTTTAAGGCTTATAATTCTTGGTCAGTTCAGTAAAATCACATGTTGCAGATTAGATTCAGATTAGAATTAATTGACTGCAAACCAACTAAGAAAAACATGTTACAAATCCATATTGTATGTACCATAATTCATTTCTGCACGATCCTTTTGAGCCTCTCTTTATCCCTTACAGTTAAACAGGCTGCTTCTGTTGCTGTGCCTTTAAGACTGATTTATGTAAATGAGCTCTGTTTTGATTGGCTGTCCTGTATTAGGCTTCAATCAAAAAGCAGTTCGGGCTGAAACACTCTTTATAACTTCACTGTGAGTGGGCGGGGCCAAACTGCTGCAGACGGAGTGGGCGGGGCTAAACTGCTGTAGGCTGACTGGGCAGATCTATATAATTGTGTTGTTTTTTTGGTGACAAAATTCACATTTTGGTGAATCAAAAATGTGCTGTTTTTCACAATTTAATTTCCATACAAGTACTGAGTGAACAGTTTGTTTTCAAAATGTAACAGTGTCTATGTATGATATCAAACTCTTTTATTGAAAAAAGTGAGAAAAATGTGTTTTTCCATGATATGGGCCCTTTAAGGATATAATAATAATAATAATAATAATAATAATTATTATTATTATTATTATTATTATTATTATTATTAATGAAAATAAATGGAAGCAGTGAGAGATAAGTCTGTGGTTTATATTGTGTTTATACTGTGTTCATACAGAGTACAATTATACTATGTTTGTACAGTGTTAATATTGCATTTATACAGTGTTTATACAGTGTTTGTTTATGCTTTGTTCATATTGTTTTTATATTGTGTTCATGTTGTAGTTACACTGTGTTTATATTGCATTTATACAGGGTTATACTGTGTTTGTACTGTGAGCTCTGTGTTCAGCTCTGCTGATCTGAGGGGGTTACACATCTGCTAAAACATGGTCTCTGTCTGAAACAGCCAATCAGGAGAGGGCAGGTTGTTGGTGGGTTGGACTGGTAGGGTGGAGGAGCAGGGGGGGTGGGGGATGGGGGGGGGGCTAAAGCAGCAGAGAAGAAAGGGAGGGGGGGAACAGTGAGGGTCTGTGAGAGCCTGTTTTACCGCATCGAGCCATAGAGGACAGACAGACACAGACAGACACACGGCAGAGAAGCAGCCGAACCGTTTAAGGATTCTAAAGGATTTCAAAGGAATTCTTAAGGATCTTAAATGAATTCTAAAGGATTTTAAAGGAATTCTAAAGGACTGTAGGGAGTCTGTGTTCCAGACTGAAGGTGACCAGAGAAGAAGGAAGATTCTGAGTGCATGTTTTCATACAGATCTTCATCTTCATCACCTTCTCCTCCTCCTCACCGTCACTTCACTGTCCTCAGCTCGTCCTCTCTCTCCTTCTGTCTGCCTCTCTCTCCTTCTCTCTTTAGTTTCTCTGTATTGGTCTCTCGCCCCTTTTCCATCAACACTATGGACACCGGGAGTCCACGCAAGATTCAGTTCACCGTCCCTCTGCTGGACTCTCACCTGGACCCTGAAGCTGCTGAACAGGTGAGGGGGCGGGGAGGGGGGGTGGGTTGTTATGATTTTTAATAAAAAACAATGCCCCCTCAGTATGGGTGTCAGACTGTCTGTATCATTATGAATTTATGCCTCAGTTTAAAACAGAATGAGTTTATTCGTTTATTTCTCTTTTTATTTTTAGTAAATTAATGTGCTAGACTACAGAACATTCCCTCCTCCCTGGTTCTTCTAGTTATTTAAACAGGTTCTTCACTCCTGTGTCAGAAACAGAACTGTTAAAGCCTCTTTAATGAATAATTGATATGTTTTATATGATATTTATGAGAGCAACGCTTTTCTGTTTTATTCTGCCTGAATGCACTGGATTAAATGGGACAGTCTAAAAAAAGCAGAGAGTTCAGCATCCAGAGCCACAAGCCCCTCACTGCAAACACTAAACAGATTAAAACATCCGTTTATATTTATTAGAATTATAATTATTAGTATATCAGACTGAAAATTATTACTGTTTATCAGACTGATTAAAATATTTTACAGAACTATTTTCTTAAACTTTACTGATCCAGTTACTGGATACTGTAATAGTATGTAGTAATTTCATAATATTTAGTATGTTAGTACTATTTAGTAATTCAGTGGTATTTGTTACTGTAGTGCTGTTCAATACCTTCAGTATTCAGTACTTTCATAGAATTTAAGTTGTTTGTATTATTTAGTACTTTAAATGTATTTACTACTTCAAGAGTATGTACTTTCGTAGTATATAGTACATTAGTGAAATATGGTACTTTAGTAGTATTTACTAATATGTACTTATTTAATAATATGTATTAAGTGCTTTAATATTATTTAGTACTTTAGTAGTATTAGTTCCTTTGTAATATGTAGTACTTTAGTGGCATTTAGTACTTTAAGATGATTTAGTATTTTAGCAGTATTAGTTCTTTGGTAATATGTAGTAGCAATTACTTTAATAGTATTCAGTACGTCAGTAGTATTTAGTAGTTTAGTAGTTTGTAGTAGTTAGTAGTATTAAACATTACTCCTGCATTGTATTCTCTCTCTGCTATAAGAGAACAGTGCTGAGTGTTCCACTGTTACGCTGAATGAGCTGGAGAACTCATACCAACAAGAGAACATGCTCCTCCATGCTCCTTCTCCCCAGATCCTTCACAATTCTTAGTTCTTGGTTGTGAACACCTCAGTTTCTCAGAGGAGTTTAGGTCAGGGGTGGGATGGTCACTGCAGAAGACCCTGTTGTCAGTGATGATCTCTGTGCTGATTAAAGGTCTGAATCATTGTGCTGTTAGTAGATCCACTATGAGCCAGTGTGCATCCGAATATGAAACAAATAGGAACAAAACTTCTTTCTGATCTGATTTTGGATCTTTGAGCTGGTCAGCTCAGCTGGTCCATTCAGTGAGACTAAGAGCTGCAGGTCAGGAGAAATGAAGGAGGAAACCGATCACAGATCACCACCGTACCTCTAAGTGGAGATCTGATCTTCTGTGTGTGATCTTGATTCTGTTTGTGCAGGTTCTCCTTCAGTGGCTGCAGCCAAAAATGCTCTATTTTTTGTTTGATCTGACTCAGAACTGGGCTCTAGTCACATATCTGGTATGGAGGCGGGTCAGAGGGCAGTTCTGGAGACTTCAGGACAAAACGAGCTGCTGCAGTGTTTCTAACTGTGATCCTGAGTGAAATACTTCAAACCTCCTGCCTCCTCCTCTTCTTCCTCCTCCTTCAACTCCTCCTGCTCCTCCTAATCCTCCTCCTTCTCCTAATCTTCCTCCTCCTCCTCTTAATACTCCACCTCTTTATCCTCCTTTTGCTCCTTTTTCTCTTCCTAATCCTCCTCCTACTCCTCCTAATCCTCCTCCTGCTGCTCCTAATCCACTTCCTGCTCCAAATTCTCCTCCTGGTCCTGCTAATCCTTCTCCTTCTCCTCCTAATCCACCTCTTGCTCCAAATCCTCTTCCTGCTCCTCCTCCTCCTAATCTGCCTCCTTCTTCTCCTTCTCTTTTACCCCAGCTCATCTTTTTGCTCCTCCTCTTTCTCTTCTCTCCTCTGCCTATTCTTTCTCCTGCTTTTCTTCTTCCTGCTCCTCCTCTTCCACCTGCACCTTCTCCTCCTAATTCTCCTCCTCCTGCTTTTTCATCCTCCTGCTGCTAATCCTCCTCCTAATCCTCATCTTCTTGCTTCTCCTCCTTCTGCTCCTCCTAATCTGCCTCTTCCTTCTCCTGCTCCTCCTACTCCGCCTCTTGACCCTGCCCCTCTTCCTCCTAATCCTCCTGCTTTTCCTCCTACCTTCTGCTCCTCCTCTTAATACTCCTCCTTCTCCTGCTCCTTATCCTTTTCTTTGTCCTTCTGCTCCTCCTAATCTGCCTCTTCCTTCTCCTGTTCCCCCTCCTCCCAGTCCTCCTATTTTCCTCCTTCTCCTCTTCCTTCTGCTCCTCCTCTTAATCCTTCTTCTCCTGCTCTTTGTCCTTCTGCTCTCCCTCCCTCTCTTCCTCCTTCTGCCTCTCCTCTTAAACCTCCTGCTCCTCCTGCTTCTGCTCCTCCTCCTCTTCCTTCTCCTGGTCCTGCTCCTCCTCCTCCTCATCTGCATCTACCACTGGTATCCATTGTCAGAGATCATAACAGAGATCATTTGCCAGATTTACTAAACTGCTCTGATAACTCCACTTTTCAGTCAAATGCACTTCATCAAATCTCTCTCTCTCTCTCTCTCTCTCTCTCTCTCTCTCTCTCTCTCTCACTCTCTCTGTGTGTGTGTGTGTGTAATTTCAGTGAGATGTATAATAAATAATTATATTAAAGTACATAATAAAGTAATAAAGTTCCCTCAAAGCAGCTAGCCTCAACTCTGAGACAGTTTAGAATAATAAAGTTCCCTCAGGGCAGCTAGCCCCGACTCTGAGACTGTTTAGAATAATAAAGTGACCTCAGAGCAGCTAGACCCGACTTTGAGACAGTTTAGAATAATAAAGTTCCCTCAGGGCAGCTAGCCCCGACTCTGAGACTGTTTAGAGTAATAAAGTGACCTCAGAGCAGCTAGCCCCGACTTTGAGACTGTTTATAGTAATATAGTTCCCTCAGGACAGCTAGCCCCGACTCTGAGACTGTTTGGAGTAATAAAGTTCCCTCAGAGCAGCTAGCCTTGACTCTGAGACCGTTTAGAGTAATAAAGTTCCCCTCAGAGCAGGTAGTTGGCAGAAACATTCTGGTGTTCTTCTCATGAGCCATAAGTTTCCCTTAGGTTCTTTAGAGGAACCTCTGACTACCACCGCTTCACACGGTGACCAGTCAGTCAGGAGATATGAAAGATATCATCTTCATCTGAGAGAGAGAGAGAGTAGAGTATTTTTTATTGTAAATGATGAATGTCTCTCTCAGCTGTTTGTTGATCAGGGGTCCTGGTGGGCTGGCGTCCGGCACAGTCTGGAGGTTTACCTGCTCAAACACCCCACTAAACCTGCCAATCAACAGATGAGTGTAATTAGGTGTGTTTAATCGCCAGACTGTGCTGGACACCGGCCCTCCAGGACTGGAGCTGTGGACCCCTGCTGACCCCTGCTGTAAACAGAGTTATTGCTCTGCGTTTTTAGCTCCTCTGAGACTGAAACTCACACTTTCCACATCATTTCTGAATAACGAGCTTTTAAGATATAAATCTGACATTTTAACTTCATTTTACCTCCAGTTTGTGCAGCAGTGATGTCTGTTCCCGTCTGTGTGACTTCAGCAGTTATTTTTAAGCTCTGATAAATCTGATCTGAATCTAATTTGTCTGAATCTTGAGTGTTTTCTTGTCTGGAAGAAGCTCTGTGTTCTGCTCTGACTGTGGAGGAGAACACAGGCACATTTTAGGGGACGTGGGCTAAAAGAACCAAAGACCCCCATTCAGATACCAACAACTGTGGGCAGAGAAAGAGAGAGAGACAGAACAGAGAGAGAGAGAGAGAACAGAGGGAGCACAGAAACAGAGAAAGAGTACAGAGAGAGAGATAGAGAGGGACAGAGAGAGAGAAAAGAGAGAGCAAACGGGGGTTGGGCTACCCTGGAGAGTCCACCACAGTTTAGTAGTTTATGTACTCAAACATAACTACAGAGCAGAAAAATCACCATAAGATGACCTACGTTCTAGAACAGGGGTGTCAGACTGGGTTCCCTTCTGGGCCAAAGCTCTGCAGATCTCCTCCACATTAAACACACCTGATCTAAGTCATCAGCTTTTCAGGAAAACCTTCATTTAACCGAATTCCGAGTACTAAGACCACCACACACGCAGACGCAGACATTGGTCACCTGCTAAATCATTAGAATCCTTTACACTGTGATATCAACCCATTAAAAAAGCCCAAACACATTACAAAACCATCAGGAACCAACTGACACACTTAATGGTTTCTATAGGTTTTTTAGTAGGGAGTTGATCACGTGTACACAGACAGTAAAAATGGACTGACCTGCCATTTATCGGCTCTCCCTGCTGGTGTTCTATAGCAGAGCTCTGCTATGCTATGTAGCGTGTCTGGTGTGCAGTGGTCTTTAGAACTCTCTGCAGCGCTGTTGCCCGAAAGGAACATAGTTTGATGCTCCTGTTCTAGACAATATATAATGTATTGTTCTCTGTGTCTCTGTGTCTATGGTACTTGTGTCCTGTTCGAGTCACTGAGTGCCTCTAACTGTAATGACCATCAGGACTCAAGAGTGTTCAAAAATACAGAACTCAAAGACCTGCCTCAGTTTGAACACTGTTTAGACACAGAGAACGTCTAGAGAACATGAGGACTAAAGAGGAACTCATAAAGATCTGCCTCAGGTTCAATCTAAACACTGTTTAGACACGGAGAACGCTTCGAGAACAATTAGACTGACATAGATGAATGTACTACAATAATTAATGCTTTTGTTGCCAAATAAAGGCTAAAGAAGAGCTCATAGCAGGTTTTACAGTGGTTATGGTTGCGTTTTGAGCTGTATTTCTGTGTTGTGGGATGTTAGAGCTGGTTTCTCTCACTCTGTCTAGGTGTGTAAGTCGTCGCTATTTTTAAGCAGTTTTAATAATATGAAAGCTAAAAGCAGAGATATAATATAACAGTAGCGATTGGGTTTTGGGTGATTTTGGAGCTGGATTGCTGGCTGATGGATGGTCACAGGTGGATGAAATCACTCTGGATTGTGAGGGCAGGGTCTGATGAGTGATCTGATGTGTGAATCATGTTTTTTTAACCCTTTGTTGGAATATGAAGACCAAAAAGCAGAGCAATAATATCAGGATTTTGGGTGGCCTTTCAAGCCAAACTACTCACTGATGTTGATGTCACAGCTCTGTGATGTCACACTAAATAACCCGTTCTGAAGTTATGAAGACTAGCAGTTACCGACCGTTTTGCATGTAAATTGGGCTTCGGGTTCTCAGGGTTGGTAAAAAAAGATAAAAAACAAAGAGTAAAATTGAACATATTAGAAATTTATACAAAAATCAATAATACATTGCATACAGTATCACTTCAATTAGTCTGTTAATGCTGCTTTATTGACTTATCATAAATCAGTGCAGATTACAGTTTGTCAGTAGTTTGTATGATGATTGTGTGTTTAATGTTGAGTGTGTCTCTGACTCTGAACTCACTGAACCCACTGAACCACTAAAGTTCTATTATGGTCTGTCTGACCACCGATGATCTGTAGATTTTTTTCCCTGTAACTTTCACAAAATTAACATTATTGATTACAAAGAAGAGCAGAGTTTGTGAATCTGCTTGCTGGTCAGTGAGTCTCAGATCTCTGCTCTCCTCTGCTGTAGATCAGGAGAAGACGGCCGACTCCTGCCACTCTGGTAGCCTCCAGTGACCAGTCCTCTCCAGGTATGGTCCAGTCCACCTTACTGACTGCTCTCATGAACTAGCTCCACTCCTGTGATCCACTCACTGTATAACGATGTGATTTTTGGTCATTAATGAAATATGAATGAAAGATCTATGCAGTAACTCTTTCAGATCCAAATACTTACATACATCTGTTGCAAAAGGTTTGTGCACCCCCAGTCTAACTCATCTTATACAGGGATATAGTTAAATAAGACAGTTTGTTGAAGGTTGTAATGCAATAATTTATTTACTGGATTAAACATATTAGGAAATAAATAAAATATAAAATATGCTGTATTTTCTTGCACAGACCATGTTTTATGTTATGGTAAATTCAGTAAATAAACTGATTATGTATGAAAATGTGTAGAAGTGTGTCTCTGTAGAGGATGTGTTCACTTATTGACACTCAGAAAATCAATAACAACATGGAATTTGGTCACACACACACACACACACACACACACACACGCATGCACACACATACACATACATGCACAGAGCACAGTGAGCACAGCTTACCAAAGATTCCAAATTTACAGACTGAAGAAATAAAAATGTCCTTCCATAATTCCATCCTTATTATTTACAGTCAGATAATAATCTCCATATTTACTGTTATTACTGAAATAACGCTGAATAAACTTTCCATCTACTCTAACAGCCATATTCTAAAAATACTTTAAATGTTAAAGCTGATCCGGCACAGCGACACACATTCTCACACACACTCAGTGTCAGGGGATGCTGCGGTTGCCTGGCAACAAGGTGTCCTGTCCTAGAAAAAGTTTAAAGGAGGGGAGGAGGGGAGGAGGGGGGGTCAGGTAAAGCAGCGTGGCAGATCAGTTTAGATGATTTGCACATCATTGCAATTCTGCATTCTGTTTTTAGTTACATTTTGCGCAGCATCCCAACTTTTTGGAAACAGTGCTGTTTAGACTCTGCAGCTTTCGTAGTACAACAGAAAACTGTCCAATCAGGATTGTTCTTGCTATGGTATCCAGGCAGATTCAGCTGAGCTGCACTCTCATTGGTTAGGACTTCAGCAGCTGGATGGAAGGCCTTACACATTAGATTAACTACCAACATAATTAGGAAGTGAATCAACCAATCACACTCTGGGACCAGTTTAGAGTACTAAAATCACTCTAGTACTTCTGAAGGTTCTGGATATAACACTGACTGTAAATATGAGACATACACTCATGAAGATGGTTCTTCATGAGCTCTTTAGTAAAAACAGAACCATGAACACTCAAAGAATCATTTGCATGCTTAAAGCTTTCTCTGTATGATGAAATTGTTCTTCAGATTGATGGAGAATGTGCTTTATACGGTTCTATATAGCACTAAAAAGCGTTCTTCTATTATTACAAGCTTGACATCATAAAAATAGCAACTCATTTTTTGGTGATCTGTAGAACAACTTTGTCAGTTAAAATTTTGAGCATTTGGTTTCTGCCAGACATTTTGTGCTCAAACATCAACATGAATCTGAAATAAATAAACAGTGTGTGTATTCAGAGATGTGTAAAATGAGATTTTCTTGATATTTCTGACTGAACTCATCTTTTCTCTCATGTAACTGCAGAAATCGATGAAGATCGCCTTTCTAACCATTTATACAAGGTAATCACTCTCTGTTATTTAGGATGTTTTGTTTTGAAATGAATTCAGTGAGTAGCCAATAAAAACCAGGATATTTAAAAAACCTCAGACTCTGTCAGTGAGACTTTAAGAATCTCATTTGCTGTAGAACATTAACACTTAACATAAACTACAACAGTGCAGGCAGACGAAATGAGAAATCTTAATAACAGACTAAGACTTGTTTCTATTTCATCTACTTCACTAAAGTTTAGCGTTCACCCTCTTCAGAGCTCTGTGCCAATTCATCATTAAAAAAAGAAGAAAACACAAAACACTTTTGGAGTGACGCTGAAACCAACTACATGCTCAACAAAATGAAGGATTGAAATATTCTTCATCTTCGAGATGATGCATGTTCATATTTTTTTACGACAGAGCGAAAAGATACTGAGCACAGAGATCCACAAACAGAACAAAGAGAGAAAGAAACGTGGGCAGAGAAAACACTACAGACTACACACAGGCGATGCAGATAACTCAGGGGTGGAGCTACAGTAACTAGACCACTGTAGCCGTGCGTCATTCTGTAGTCCTTGTTATGCCCATATTAGGAACTCCGGGTCTAAGCTCCATTTCTCTATGTGCAGAATAAATAGGGTTTTTTCGAAAAATCGTCTCTGTCGCACCCTGTGTTAAATCAAAATGTTCAGAACCTGATACGTTTTGTCCTGTGTACATTTTTCTCCCAAATACCACTGGATCCTCTGAATTACGAAGTCGTTAAATAGCCTTAATACTAATATTGCTACATGTGAGCTAAAGCTGCTGCACATCAACTTGATGTCACTAAGCTGCACAAAACTAAGGTGGGCTGTGGCAGTGCTCTGGCGAGTTGTGCTACCTTATCAAAATCTTCTACAGTAGCGCATATTTACGGGCATACCCGTAAATAAAACCTCTAGGTAGGATAATTTGATAGCCTAAAACTCAAAAATCAAAAATACTACCCATGTCAAAACTACGAGGCTGAATTAAGCTTCTTTTTCACAAGCTGCTCTTTTGAATGTTTCTGTTCCACCTTAAATGGTGCAGCAGCTGTGACTAGCTATCACAAACATTAGCAAATGAGACCTATTGGTTCTGTGAAACAGCAAAAATAAATTAATGTTACTCAGCTGTCAAGCGGAAATAGATAAAAGTCATCATATCATGCCTTTCATGCAGTTCAGAATGTAACTGCTGCACCATTTAAGGTCAAAAAGAACAAAAAGCCGGCGAATGTCCAGAGAAAATGTTCTGAGAAAATGTTACCAGCATTTAAACAATAATTAGGATATTCTGATAGCTGAAATGAGTTTATCAGGGGGTCAGCAGTGATATTAAGCTGAGTCTGTACTGGATTAGCCTGAGTGCAGGTATGTTTGTAGATCTTTTCAAATCAAGCTATGAACAGAACGGAAAGATCTATCGTGTTTCAGTGAGCATCAGATGAAAAACAGAGAACTGCAGGGAAACCTGCTTATTTTATTGTGACTTCTTTTCATCTGCCCTCAGTTTGTACATGGAAATATACACTGACAAAGCTGCTTAAGGAGGCTGCCAGTCTAATGACGTGAATTCAGTGCACAGTAGCTTTAGCTCACATGTAGCAATATTCATATTTCAACTCTTTAGTGACCTCATAATTCAGATGATCCAGTGGTATTCAAGAGAAGAATGTACACAGGACAAAATGTATCAGGTTCTGAACATTTTTATTTTACTTAGGGTGCGACAGAGGAGACTTTTCAAAAACCCTGTATATTTCTCCATAGAGAAATGGAGCTTAGACCTGGAGCTCCTAATATGGACATAAGAGCATGGCGCAGACTAGAAAATGACGACACGACTACAGTGGTCTATAAGACAAGACAGGAAGGGGCAGAGCCTGTCAGAGTAACAATAATGACTCATCAGGAAGGAAGAACAGCACATCAGTACTTCTGAATATAAGAACAGACGACTGTGAAAGGAGGAAAGTGTTTATTCAGAGTGTGAATTCAGATTCAGAAATGCAGCATTTACAAAGTAGCGGCACTCAGTATGGAACACAGTCCAGTCTAGTCTTCAGATGGTCAGCGTGGCTGCGAGTTTTCACTCCAGATTCCACTCATTCAATCGGCTGGTCAGAGTCTTCAGCTGATCCTGTGAAAGCCTTTAGTCCTCTGAGGATCAAACCAGACACCCTATTACAGAACCTGTCCAGATGTTTATCTAATTAAAGTTTTAACTGAAGACTGTTAGAAATGATCTACAAACACACAAACAGCCGATCACAGATCTTTAACGAGACTGTTTCTTTAATTAATTATATAATTGTTACATTGATTTGACCTTTTCTTTTCCAGCAAGCTTTGCTCAATTCACCACGACAGAGACGGAAAGGAGCGAAAGGAACTCCCACCATGAAAGGTAGAACGCTTTAATCACTACACTCAGTGTGTGAATTCCCCCCTGGTATTCGGGGGTCCCATGTTGTCTGGCTGCTAACTCACTCAACATAGCAGCGCTGATGCTTCAGTGACAGTAAAATGTTTGTTTTATCAGTTTTTGGAATTGGAAATGGTCTGATCTAGTTTGGTGATGCGCTCTTCCTCTTGTTAACTGAAATCTTATTCTTCTCCTCTTCTGTCTTCAGTGTGAGAAATGAGGAACAGTCACTTTTTACACCAAACTCTTGGGAAACTGGGCGAGTTTTCAGATTTACAGATCTGCTGCATCACATTGTAAGGTTTTTCAGAAGAGTTGCACTTTCTAGGCTATGAAGGATCAACTGTGTGAACCAGTCTGCTACAGCGCCACCCTGAGGCAGAGCAGTGCTGCAGCTCTAGTTAGTTAAGAACACCAAAGATAGAAACTGATTGTAGGAGAAACAGATAAACAATGAGCTTCACTGGATCTGGATTTGAACATCTATTTTACATCATAATAAATTAATATTAAGGGACCCCCAGAATTTTGATTTTGAGACATTCAGGAGGTCCACAAGGTTAATTTGGGGGTCCCAGACCCCCTAGGATCCCTTGTATTTTGCACCTTCACTACACCCAGTTCTGACCTGGTGTGAGAGTATTTCAGTGCTGTTTACTCCGCTGTTGTTGTGTTGTTGTAAACAGACTTTATCAACAAGCTGCAGCAGTCAGGATTCAAAGACCTAACAAAGTAATTTAATGCTGTTCCTCACCAGGCAGTGCAGAACATTTACTAATCAGAACCCAGAACATTCCATACACTGCAGGAGTACCCGTGTCTGTTCCCACCTCACAGTGCTACCTGTAAAAGAGGTTGGGGTTCTTGGCAGGGCGCGTGGTGTTCTCACGATTTGTCATTCAATGTGAGTGTAAACAGACAGAATCTGGAATTTTTAGAAGTAATCTGAATGGCAATTCTTAGATGATTGACCACAGTGGTCAGTTGCACAGTGGTGACATGATGACAAAGTCTGATCGCAGATTAGTCGCTGAATCTTCCTGATGTGTCATTGGCAGCTTTTGATGAGCCCAGTCTAAATCCTACTAGAACACACCTGATGTAAATGATATGAATCATTTATTAATTCTGATCAGGAAGAAAAATCTCAGACTTATTATGTACTAAAGCTTATTATTCAGTAACTACAGGGACTTCAATGCAAACTGGCTGAGCTGTTCTTAGACTATAGCAGTGTGTAATAAAATGTAGGGACTGCCGACGAGAAGCTTTTCATAACGTTTTAAAACAGAACAGTAAAATTAAAAACCTGGAGTGAGGAGGGGTGGAGTCAGTGCAGCAGAATATGGAGCAATTATTTTCCAAAACTGTGACCTTGTTCAAACCTGGTCATTTCATGTGTCTTGAGTATCAGGATAATATCTGAATGTGGCCACATAAAAATACAAGTATAAACTCATAACACATTAAAACAGATACAAATCTGATCACTCAAACCACTCCAGGAGGAAAACTTTTGCCAATCCAACCAAATCCCCTCCCAGTACAACCAAATCTCTTCCCAGTACATACAAACCCCTCCCATTACAACTAAATCTCCTCCCAAGACAACCAAAACTCCTCCCAGTATAACCGAATCTTCTCCCAGTACAAGCAAAACCCCTCCCAGTACAACTGTATCTCCATCCAGTACAACCAAAACCCCTCCTAGTGCACCTGAATCTCCTCCCAGTACAACCAAATCCCCTCCCAGTACAACCGAAACCCCTCCCAGTACAAACGAAGCTCCTCCCAGTTCAATCAAAACCTCTCCCAGTACAACCCAAACTCGTTCTAGTACAACCAAAACTCCTCCCAGTACAACCAAAATCCCCCCAGTACAACTAAAACTCTTTGTAGTACAACTGAAACTCTTCCTAGTACAACCAAATCTTTTCCCAGTACAACCAAAACCCTCCCAGTACAGCTGAATCACCCCCAAGTACAACCGAAACTCTATCCAGTTCAACCAAAACCACTCCCAGTACAACCAAATCTCTTCCTAGCACAACTTAATCTCCTCCCAGTACAACCCAGACTCCTCCCACTACAACAGAATCTCCTCCCAGCACAATCAAAAAACTAAAACCAAAAAAAAGGTATTGAAGACGTACTCTTGAGGTTTCACCCCAGTGACAGTAGCTGCTGAGAGTGTATCAGTGAATGCTGAATAAATGGCAGTTCAGTCAAACAGAGAGCTATTTCATTAAGACAGAAGCCTCTTCAGATCTGCAGAACGGTGAGAATGCAGTGGTCAGGGGTGTGATTTTGGAATGACGGCTACACTTTAAAGAATGGTTTTATACATCAGTAAAAAGGGTTCTGCTATTTGTAAACTCTATAGAACAGAAATTTTTGTCTTCAGAGTTGCAGTTTCTGGTGGAACACCACCTGCACCGGCAGCAGCAGGGCGCAGCCGATGAGTCATCTGAAAGCTGTTTATCAGAGCGAACGAGTCCGGACGCTGAGCCCGGCGGAGAGGAGCTGCCAGAGGACGAAGGCAGCTGGAGCACCACGGAGAAGGAGACGGCTGAGGCTCTTGAGAAGCTGCGCTGCCAAATGGAGGGTGAGGAACCTGCATGAAGTGCGAGTACACAACTCCATGTTCAAGCATCTGCACTAAGGCAGCTGTAGTTTGTGAAACGTTTCTCCCACCTTCAAGATGCATCATCAGAAGAGGGCTTTTCTTGTGTTTAAAGTGCTTATGGAAGGCCAAAGGCCAAGACAAAACAATATACTGTGGCATCGGCGTAGAAGAACAAGCAGCATTGCTCCCTCCCTTAGGAGGAGCGATTCCGGCGACCCCACAAAGTCCAAACAAAGTCAGAGTAGAAAGTCCCTGAGCGCGCCATGCCCCACGCCCTTGCAGTCACTGCGCAGGAGGGTAACAGAGTGTCCACCAGCCCAGCAAACACACACGACATGGGTGCAACCACTCATGACCACGCACGACACCAGTCCTCCCTCAGGGCTGTGTTCTCCTTCCTGGGGCGCTGGAGCAAAGAAACACTGAGCGCAGTGTCCTTCACCCCAGTTTCACAGATCTCTTTGTGGCTTGCAATGTCACTTCTCGCTTGAGAGCGCTCTCTCAGCCGCTCTCTGGTTCCACACCACAGCGGCAACAGCAAAGGTGCTCCCTTGACAGCTCTCCACTTTTTCCTCCGAACACTGTGCTGTACATGCCAAAGAGGCTGCTGTGTGTGGAGCACCGACACTCAGCCTTGACCCACCATACCACCTTTGGGCCTTACCGCATCATGCTGGCCTCGCTGCCAAGCCCCCTTGCACCGATCTCACAATCATGCCTTCCTACGCCAGCTTCAGTCCCTGGCCCTGCCATGCTGGCAGGCCTCTTCGGCCTCATCTGCCATCTTCTCACTGTCCATCTTCCCTGCATTGCTCCTCCTCACAGTCACCACTGAGGTGACAATTCCCCTCCAAGCCACTGGGGGATCCCACTTCTGACACCACCGCATCACAGTAGCTGGCAGGTCACTTCTAGCCCTACACAGTCAGTTCATGGTAGACACTCCAGACCCACCTTGTACCCCACAGCCCAGCACAATACAGCACACGCAACATTGCTGCAAATCCTAAACAGAACATTAATGGAACAGTTGTTTACATGTTTAAGTCTCTCGCCACTGCCACAGTGGTACCCATGGTGTTCCGTGTTTGCCGCTCCACATGACCGCATCACACGGCCACACCTCCCATGTGTTCACAGCTGAATGAGTTTTTAAAAATGAATTTCATGACATTACAGTGTATTTTGTTATTGAAATACTACAATACAAAAGCAAACTATGAACTTATGAACTACGAATTATGAACTATGAAGTTATTTTTGGCACAAAATATGTCATATAAGTTACAGCGTGTTTCTCTCTCAACAGCATATAATGACAGACGTGTGATCAAAACAAAATATCTTCTGCGCATTGATCACTTCCTGCAGAGATTCTTAGATAGAAAACCTGAGAATTTTGTTCATGTTTTCTGTTCATTCTGGTTTAAACGCTGCCCACTAGTGGACACCAGCATGAGTATGTTGGTGGACACCTGTGAGAACGTATGTGGACAGAAGAATAAATCAGCTGTTACATTATGTTAGTCTTCTACTGAAAGGAGATCAGACTGTGAGTGTCTTCCCACATGGAAAAAAATTGTATTCCAAATGTGTTTCTCAAATATATTTTTGCAACATATGAAAATGGCCAAACATATGTTTATTAAATATATTTTTAAATGCATTTATTTGTATTTTTCACATTTTATGCAGTTTTCACAAAGGTTAACTGAATATACACAAACTGAATGAACGGTTCTGACTTCTGTGATCTGCACTGTACTTTACATTAACCATGCACGTATGCAGTAAGACACTCAAACACAAAGTATTTCAAATTAACAAGATATCAAATCATAACTCATGTATCATAACATAACTCTAATCACAGAGTATCAATACCTACAACACTCGCTTTTGTCATGTTAAAGGCTCATTTGCTAATATTTAAAATTAAGATACTGGAATACAAATTCATTTCAAAAGGTATCAAACAGTACATTAGACAGGTTTCCTCTCAGAGATGAGGAGTAAAATAATAAAGAGAGCTTTTCTTCTGTTTCTGCAGAGCTTTCGAGGGAGAGTTTATCAGAGGCTGCAGGAGGAACACAAACTCCTCTCAGCAGGGAAGAGGCTGGAGCCGCCGTCGCCACGGCAACATCTAAACAACAAACACAATCAGGTGAACTCACACAAACAAACACATCACTCGTGCTGTTAAACACACACACAAAAATATATATGGATGTGTAATTTTATATATTTGAAATTCATTTCTAGTACATCACAGTCCATGCTGAAATACATTCCAAACACTAAAATGTATTTCAGAATATTTTGCCATTTTAACCAAATATATTTTAAAATACATTTATTTTAAAAATATATAGAAATATTACACATAAACAAAAATAAATGTATGTAAATGTATTTATCAAATCCATTTGAAAATGTATGAAAACAGCTAAAATCCTGTCTAATGCACTTCACTGTTTGATACCTTTTGAAATGAATTTGTTTTCCAGTATCTTCATTTTAAATATTAGCAAATGAACCTTTAACATGACAAAAGCAGGTGTTGTATGTATTGATACTCTGCGAAAATGCAGTTACGATTTGATATCTTGTTTATTTGAAATACATTGTGTGTGACTGTATTACTGCATTCGTACATGGTTAAGCACAGACTACAGCCGAATAAATATAATAACAAATATATGCATTTTAAAAAAAATGAAAAAAAAAATTGATGAGCACGTTTGGAATATATATATTTTTCCATACGGGTCAGTAGATCAAACTGACTGTGCTCTGCTCGGTGTTTATTATATTTTCTGTGTTTTAGCAGCAGCAGCAGCAGCAGCAGCCTGTCAGTCCTCGTCCACTGGGAGTCCAGCAGCATCTGATCCGTCCCAGAAGATCCGCAGTGAGAGAAAGTAGAAAGAGTGGCGCTGATTAAGGTGAACATAGAGAGGAACCTCCGAAAGCGTTCACAGTTCTGCCAGCTCACAGAATGAGACTGTAGACAATCTGAAGACTTTTATTCACTAATCAGACTTTAGACAGTTCAGATCACTCCTTCATAATCACTCACTGTTTCTATAATCACGTTTTATTTTCATAACAACATCCAGAAATCGTAGTTCTAATGACGCCAGCGTGATCTGACACGTTTCACAATCTCCAGTCTGCAGGACGAGTCTGTGAAGTCATGATCTTTTTGTTTGTTTGACTACTTTACATGCTACACTGACTGGACACTTCATTAAGTCCACCTGCTTGTTTTTGCACTCACTGTCCGTTTTATCGGCTCCACGGACCCTATAGTTTCACTTTGTAGCTCTACAGTTATAGACTGCAGTAAATCTGTTTCTCTGCATACTTCGATACACTGTTCTTCATTTGTCAGGACCCCCACAGGACCCCCAGAGAGCAGGTATTATTTGGGTGGTGGGTCATTCTCAGCACTGAAGTGACACCGACGTGGTGGTGGTGTGTTAGTGTGTGTTGTAGCAGCAATGCTGCTGGAGTTTTAAACACTGTGTCTACTCACTGTCCACTCTGTTAGACACTCCTGCTTGTTGGTCCACCTTGTAGATGTAAAGTCAGAGACGATAGCTCATCTGCTGCTGCACAGTTTGTATTAATCATCCTCTAGTTCTTCATTGGTGGTCACAGGACGCTGCACACAGGACACTGTTGGCTGGATGTTTTTGGTTCTTAGTCCAGCAGCGACACTGAGGTATTTAAAAACTCCAGCAGCACTGTTGTGTCTGATCCACTCGCACCAGCGTAACACACACTAACAGACCACCACCCCGTCAATGTCACTGCAATGCTGAGAATGACCCACCACCCAAATAATACCTGCTCTTTGGAGGTCCTGACCATTAAAGAACAGGGTAATAAATTATTCAGAAAAACAGACGGACTACAGTCTGTAACTGTAGAACTACAAAGTGCTCCTATATGGTCAGTGGAGCTGATAAAATGGACCTTGAGTGTAGGTGTGAGACAGGTGGTCCTGATGAAGTGACCGGTTGTGTATATAGGCGCATTTTTGTGTTTGTAGGCTGTTTGTTTATCTAATCTCTCTTTAAATTGGCTTCATTTTACTACAAAAGCTTTTCAAACTCTCCCTTCTGTTAAAGTCTCATAGCTAGAGCCATCACACGTTCCTGCCGTTCCTTCGTTCTACAGAAACTCTCTTCAGTTTTAAATCCGTTAGTGTATCAGTGTATCAAAGTCATTTAGGGTTGTTTTTTATGTAAAGTTCATCAGTTTTAGGGCTGTTTTTGTGACGATAGGACAAGCGCAATTTAACCAAAGTGGGTTTGAAAACACCACAGAGGTGGATTTAGAATATGGCGCCCTCTGCTGCACCGCTAACACACTGCGGTCCAGAGCACCATCACAAACGGACAAAATACTTACATCCCACAAAACACCACAAACTGCACTTGCAGAACTTCCTTCATCTCAAATATCACAGTTACAGGTACAGTCCCCTCTGACTCCGCCCCTTTCACAGCCCCTCACACACACAAATACACACACACACACTCAGGTGGGCTTCGTCTCTCCATCTCTGGGTTTGCTCTGTGAAGATAATCCGCTCATCAGATCTGTGTAGTTACCTTGTGCAGGTTTGAACTCTGAGCGTCTTCAGTCAGAACTACAGACTCACTGAACTCGTTCTGCTCTGAAGATCTTCAGAGATAAAACAGTCCTGAATTTCACACAGACTCAGTTTATAAAACACAATCTGATCAGTTCAGCAGTTTATTAACCAATGTTGCATTTATTGTTCATGTTTTTGTTTGTGTGTTTCCATAAATAATTTTTTCATAGTCCAATTTGTTCTTGTTATTAATTTTCTATCTTAATTTTCTGTGAAAGACTTTATTTATGGTTTGGAACTGAAATGAAAGGTGCTACACAAATAAAGTTTCTTCTTCTTCTTCTTCTTCCTCTTTTTCTTCTCTTTCAGTCACTGTAGCTCAAATCCTGATAAACAGTTTTTCTGGTGGTGATTTTACAGTGTAAAGCGTGTAAATAAGAGATGTAGTGATGATGGAGAGCTCGGTGTATGGAGTGAGATTTAAGGCAGAAAGGTTTTATGGTTATAAACAGTTACAGAGTGGAAATGATCAATGAATCAATCTGACTGTGAAGGTTTTGATGGACTGATGTTGTGCGATAAAATACTCAGCTCCTGTTTTTTTTTGCTCTAGTTCTAAAATGTTTTTACCAGTGGGTGGGGTAAAAATATTAACCAAAAATATGATGTTTGAGGCCCTCAAAAGCCCTGAGATCCCCTCACTGATCCAGTGCAGAGCAGAAGATCCAGTTTTATATTCTGAGTTTAAACATCTGACAGATTCTGTTCGATCAGATCCTGACAGACTGCTGCACGTTCTCAACTGCAGGAACTGTTCTGTTATGTGTTCTGTGGTTCTCTCAGGGCCAGGCGGTGCTCAAAATAGAACCTGAGGGATTTAAATTATTCAGCGGACAAATTTAAAAAGAGACCGCTTCACTCTTCAGCTGGAACTAAAGCCACGTTCTGGCCTCATACCTGTAGAACTTTCTGATGCAGATATTTCTGAAGGTTTAAATCTACAAATGTCACAGAATCTCAGATCAGTCCACTGCCCTCCTTGAATGTTTTTTTTACATATAAAGTAAATTAAAAATCATTTAAAATAAATTTTACTTATAAATTTACTTATAAATTTTACTCGAGACTTAGTCTTCAGTTCTGTCTTTTTTTTTTCTGAGAGAAACAAATAAACACAGCATAAACATCACTCACTCTGATCACTTTGATGTTCTAAAACCTCAGACTGTGTCTATATATACTAAACACAATAATAAAGATTACTGTAATGCTACAGTTTTAATGCTAGATATCCATATTGAGACTGATGGAAGATGATGATGATGATGATGAAGATGATGATGATGATGGTAATGGTGGTGATGATAATGAGGGTGATAGTATGGAGCCTCAGCTTTCCGTTCTTGGCTGACAGAAGTTGAACCCGACGTGTTCTTCTGCTGTTGTAGCCCATCCACCTCAAGGTTGGATGTTCTGTGCATTCTGAGATGCTTTTCTGCTCACCACAGTTGTACAGAGTGGTTACCTGAGTGGCCTTTCTGTCAGCTTGAACCAGTCTGGCCATTCTCCACTGACCTCTCTCATCAACAAAATTTCTGTCCGCAGAACTGCCACTCAGTGGATGTTTTTATTTTATTGCTCCATTCTGAGTGAACTCTAGAGACTGTTGTGTGTGTAAATCTCAGGAGATCAGCAGTTATAGAAACACTCAAACCAGCCCGTCTGGCTTCAACAATCACACCACGGTCAAAATCACTGAGATCACATTTTTCTCCATTCTGATGGGTGATGTGAAAATTACCTGAAGCTGCATGATTTTGTCCGCTGCACTGCTACCACATGATTGGCTGATTAGATAACTGCATGGATGAGAAGGTGTTTCTAATAAAGTGCTCACTGAGGGTAGAATGATATTGTTCTTGTACAGAAATCAGTGATGTTTTGTCACAGAGACTGAAAGTCACTGAAACAGACGCTGTTCACTCTGAACGTCAAATTGTAGACACTCATGAACTCACACAAGACAGAGATTTAGATCTGTGGTTCTCAAACAGGTTCTCTGACAGTGTTACTCTCTGAGTTGTGATTCGGAATAGAACATGACCGAGAACCCATTTGAGAACCACTGATCTAGATCCCGGTTCTTACAGAGAGCTGTATGGCTCTAATTTTGCTGCTTATCTTGGCATTAAAGCTGACTTCTGTAAAAGAATCCACTTCACTGATCAGATGTTCAGTGTAAACAAAGCCAAAATAAAAGTGAATAATAAACGCATCAAACGTTCTGTGTAATTTAATATACTGTTTAAAGAAATAAGAGTTGGAGTGGTAGGAGTGTGTGTGTGTGTGTGTGTGTGTTTAATCAAATTTGTTTATACTAAAATGTGTTTAACACATAAAAATTCTGTTTTCTCAGAATTAGTCTGAGTTTTGGATTTTAATCGTTTGTAGTAAGCTTTCATTTTAACCCCCAGTAAAAGGTTTATTCCTCGGTTCAGTTCCTCAGACGGCTCTGATCTTCCAGTCTTTACCGAGAGCTTCTTGTTATGGTTGGTCTTGTTGATGCATCTGAGCTGCTTCTCCTCTGAGTGTGGAGTCTGGGAGGATCTAAGACTAATGAGCTCCACAGTGACATCAGCAGGACTCTGGGGTTCTCTATCCATGGAGACCTGAGAACGTGCACGCTCTGTATGTTACTCTGCAGTCCTGATCTGAGATCTGCACTCTACTTCAGACCTGATAAACACAATGTTCTGATCTGAGGAGCTGAGATGATGGAGATCAGATTTGATGTTTTCAGGAAGAACTAAATGGCTGTCGAGTCTGGAATTTGCCACAGAAATCAGGAGATTATTGATCATACATTTTTATTTCCCATTCAGAATCTGATTTCTTTAAAGCCACATTGATCAACGGCTACCTGTCCAGGGTGTTTCCACTGGGGTGGGCTCCAGCCTCCCTCCCGCAACCCAGAACAATAGGCGGTTTGGAAAATGTGTGTGTGTGTGTATGTGTGTGTATATGATCAAAAGATGATTTTGATTTCCCTTTTTAACACAAAGTCCGTACTGTGTAAGCTCAGCAAACACCTGCAGAACTTTATCAGGCAATGTCACAATATAAATAATACTGAGGTTTTAAGCTCTGAGATGTGAAATCAGTTTGTGTTTAAATGAGGTGACTGTAATAAAGAGCTGCCTGTACAGTCAAAGTCGATGGGCTGTTTCTCACAGCGAGGTGTGTTTAATTTAGCTGCATCACTCAGATCCAGCAGAGCGTGTAATTTTACCTGCCTCACCTTATTTACCTCACACACAGCTGCAGCACCGACCACACAGTCACATTAACACACTGGACAGTGTCTGCTTATTCCAATCAGTCAGTGTTCGCCGTGTATGAAAAGTGTTAGCTAAATAAACTTTCTTTGTCTATTACAGACATATAATTAATATTACGTTACTTTTACTGTACTATTTCAGGTATATACTATTGCATGTACAACACCATTTCCAAAAAGGTTGGGACGCTGTGAAACAGAATGCAATGACGTAAAAAATCATTTAAACTCTATATTTAATTAAAAATGGTTACATGATTGGGTAGAAAAGAGCATCCCAGAGAGGCTGAGTTTTTCAGAAGTAAAGATGGGGAGGGGTTCACCACTCTGTGAAAGACTGAGCGGGCAAATAGTGCAACAATTCAAGAACTTCGCGATTTCATCATCTACAGTACATAATAATATTAAAAGATTGATAGAATCCAGAGTATGTATGTGAGGGACAAGGCTGAAAATCAATATTGGCTGCTCGTGATCTTCGGGCGGACACGATTCTGTAGTGGAAATCACTGCATGGGCTCAGGAACACTTCAGAAAAAAACATAAATAAACAGGATCCAGAAATGCCGCCGCCTTCTCTGGGCCTGAGCTCATTAAAGATGGACTGAGGCAAAGTGGAAAAGTGTCCTGTGGCCAGAAAAATAAAAATGTGAAATTCTTGTTGGAAATCAAGGACGCTGCATCATCCGGGCTTGTTATCAGTCACAGCTCAAAAGCCAATATCTGTGATAGTATGGGTGAGCATTAGTGCACATGACTTGGGTGACGTACACATCTGTGAAGGTGCCATTAATGCAGATTGATATTTACAGGTTTTGAAGGAAGATATGCTGCCATCCAGACAATGTCTTTTTCAGACAAGGCCTTGATTATTTCAGCAAGACAATGTCAAACCACATTCTGCACGCATTACAACAACATGACTCTGCAGTCAAAGAGCCTGCCTGCAGTCCAGACCTGTCACCACTGAAAACATTTGCCGCATTATGAAACAAAAAATGACAAAGGAGACCCCGAACTGTTAAGCAGCAGAAGTCCTGTATCAAGCAAGAACAGAAAACATTTTACTTTCAAAACTACAGCAGTTATCTCCTCCCATCCCAAATACTTAATAGAAGAGCTGACATGACGGTGAGCATGCTTCTGTCACCACTCTTTTGGAATGTGTTTTTGTGTCAAGAAGCAATAAAATGTCAGGTCTTCATACTATTTTCAATTAAATATAGAGTTTAAATAATTTGCACATCATTGCATTCTATTTTTATTTACAATTTGCCCAGCATCCGAACTTCTTTGGAAACAGGGTTGTAGATATTATTGTATGTTTTTATTAGTACAGGTATAACAGATATATAAAATTACAGCTATTTACTATTATAGGTTTATACTATTACATGTTTTTACTATCACAGACTAATAATATTACAGATTTATACTGCTGTTAATTATATTACACCCTCTTTGTGTTTCCTCACTGAGCTGTGAGCTCTGCAATTTCTCAGTCTGAGCTCTGACCTCAATTCATTTTATTAATTATATATTAAACTGTGAATATTTATATCAGAAGAGCAGATCTGCTTTATCCTCCAGACACACTTCCACATGAGATTAACATACCAAGATTAACATACACAGAATTAGCTCAGGCTAATGCTAATGATAAAAACAATCACAAGACAGAGATGAACTGTACAGAGATATTATTAAAGCTGCACGAAGAGCAAACATGACGAGAATCTGTTATGTAGTTTAATTCTGAATACATACACTCGAAAAATAGTACATAATCTCAGTAAATAAACTCACTAATGTGCTGCATTCTTTTAATTATTTCTCTCTGTAAAGGCAGAGCTGAACTAACTACAGCAGAAGGTGTAGCAGATCCACTTGGCACAGATTCAGAGTGTTAAATAAACATATAAATGAGTACAGAGAGACATTATTGCTTATCAGATTATTAAATCACACCAATGAAGATCAATAACACAATCAGCTCTTTATTCAGCAGTGTGTACCGACTGAATCATCACTGATTAAAACATAAAACTCTCAAATAATTAGCTTTAAAACTACAGATTGTTAGTCATTATATAAATATTCAAACCTGATTGTAAAGCATTTATTAAATATCCAGCAGAAATAAATGAACACTGTGTTATTGTAAAGGTCAGTATTTTAACCCATGGTTTGGATGAAGGTCCTGTGCACCTCCCTGTAAGCGTTACGCAGCAGAACGTATGGAAAACAGCTCTCTAGAATGTCCTGACTTAAAAACGGCGACTCCTCCACAATCTGAAACAAAACCGACTCATATTAATCAAAAACACATTAAAACAGATTCATAATAATCAGATTCGTTGAACTGAAATTAAAGGAACGTCCCACAAAAAAATAATGTTGCTAAAAGTTAATAAACAGTATTTAACTTCACACTATGTTCCATTATTCATTCTTAAATGACGTCACAAAAAACAATAATAAAATAATTAACTATTATTCATTTTGCTCCTCAATAGAAAAGCAGGGTTTATAATCACGGTCAGGTTTGTGGATAAATCAGATAAATGTTGTGTTAAATCATGTTTACCATGTCCAGGAGAAGATAAACAGAATCTCTGTTCTTTATTTCCACTTTATCCACGTTCTGCCCCAACTGCAGCAGAGTGGATGACGCCACCTGTTAAGAACAGGCACAATCATTATTATTGTTGTTATTCTTATTATTATGGTTCAATTGTATCATGAATCATTCTACATCAATCTTAGTGAAAATTAGACACAAATGATTTTTAAAAACTAAAATGTAAACTGCTCTCAGATCAGCTGACCTGCAGAAACTCTTTGAGATGCTGCTCGATGTTCTTGTTCTGTACAGTAAACATGGCAGCTGATAGATGGTTTATTGCAGTGGCCAGACAGTGGACGTTATTTTGGTGACCTGAAAAAAGAGGAAACAGTTTAATCTCCTGAAACAAGTCAAATCTTTTTTGCAGATCCACGATGTTCAGCAGTTTAATAAAAGTGACTGTCTGACTGTTCAAGTACTGAAAACAGTTCATAAACTGCAGCAACCGATAGAATTTTTGACAGATTTCTTGCTGTGAGAATCTGAGACCACCCTGCACCCCCCCACCGATGTACCTCCGTGTTCTCGGCTGTAGAACGTGGCGGGATCCACAGCTAAGGTGGGCAGAGACACAGCGATGTAGACCAGCAGCAGGCAGGAGATCTTATATTCCTCCTCAGTGGATGAATTATCTGTGAATCAGAGTTTACAGATAAAGAATGAGATTTCATATCCTAAACAGCAGAGCAGTAAATATTAATCACCTATAATTACAGACAGTACATGTAACCATAGACTCACCCGTGCGCAGGTTAGCAATCGCTGAGACCAGAGCAGGATCAATATCACAGCGCAAACCAGTCGCAGACGCCAGCTCATAAACACTGATCGCAACCTGGAACATAAAACAGCAACCACAGTAATTAGAGCAATTACAGCAATTTTAATTATTAAAACCTCTTTAGTTAAAGAAATTCACTAAATATCGGAAAGATTAAAATATTCAATAATATTATCAATAATTAACCACAGGTTTATAGTGTCTTACTGATATTATAGTGCACATAAAATAAACTGTAAACTGTAAAGCAGACAGGTCACTGTCCTCGTTTCACTGCATTATTTGTGACCTACGTACACACACACATATATATGAATACCACTTTAAACAGCATTAAAGTTTGTGTGTAATCTTCATCCTTATGTTCTCAGTGGAGTTTCTCACCTTGATGTCTGAGTCAGTTGCCATGTAGTTCCTGAGGGATTCAATGGGTCCCATCAGGAAGGGGCAGTGCTTCTGCAAGACCTGCAGGAGGAAACGTCCAGGACAGCTCAGTCAGCGGCGTTTGGTCATTCAAACACTCTCACACTAAACAGTAATGACTCTACATCTCTAAACAAAGTGTAAACACACTTTACATTACAGTCCATCACTCCTCCAGGCCATTTTATCAGAAACTATACAGGTTCACCATTACAGTTACAGCTTCTCTGATGTATTATATACATTTATATAATCAGTCAGCAGACAGATATATGGACATAATTTTTATTTAAAGTTTAAATACCAAACCAACTTTACTGACTGACATGATCATCAGTTCTCAACAGTTACACTTTTCAAAGTTTTAAATAATATAAATATTGATTGACTTCATATTAAACAGCCAGAAGCTTTATCAACATTTATCTCCAATTTACATTTAACTAAATATTTATTAAATTCACATTAATTTTACAATAATCCCAACACCAACCTTAAACTCAACACTAAAGCTACTCCTAACTGTGGACTAAATCTTAACTCTAACTGTAACACTGTAAAAAATACCACAGTTCATAAACAATTTGTTAATAATCTATAGATAATCTGTAACAGGTATCAAAATAAAATGCAAATGAATATTGTACATATTAAAGACAATTCTTTTTTACCAAAAGACAATGGTTCTATGTAGAACCATAAGCACTAAAAGAACACTTTGCATCATAAAAGTGTTCTTCTGATTGATGGAGAATGTGTTGTATATGATTCTATCTAGCACCAAAAGTGTTCTTCTATTATGACAAGCTTGACATCATAACAATAGAAGAACCCTTTTTGGTGCTGTAAAGAACCCTTTTCAAAAAGGTTCTATATAGAACCATTTAAAGCACATTATTCTTAAATCTAAAGAACAATTTCACCCTACAAAGAACCCTTTAATCATGCAAAGGGTTCTTTAGTGTACACTGTTCTATACAGAAGCATTTTCTTTACCAAAGAACACCTGAAGAACCATCAGCACAGGGGGCGGAGCCTCCAAGAATACTTAGTAGTTTGGGTTTTTCAAGTTCATTAATTTTTAATTTAATGAGTGTAATTTTTATATAGAGGTTCTACTGTGTTGTGATCTGTTACCTCTTCCAGAGCTTCCTGGGTCATCGTCCGAAAAGACAAGATCACCCCAATGATGGTCATTCTCTTCAGCACGTTCTCACAGCCTTAAACAGAGACATTTAAATGAGAGAGAAGTACCAATCTGAAGCTGTAGGGGGCAGTAAAGCACATTCAAATGACACTGATTTCAAAATAAAAGTTCTATTTATGTATCAGTACTCAACGCGCATTGTGATCTACTTTAATTCTACATCACACATCTCTGTTCCAGCATCCAGAGCTTAGGTTCTCCACACTGAGAGAATTTTGACCCCGTTCAGGTGAGTGAGGGGCTCAAACACAACTAGCGTTTAGCTTTTTAAGTCCTGAAGATCTGGGTTCAGAACTTCTGTTACAGATTTCAGTCTGGAGGTTCAGATTTCTGCTCAGTTTTACCAAGTTCTGTTTCCCAAGAGTTGTGTTTCTCTGCAGGACCTGTCTGAAGGAGGTCTGAGTTAAATTCCTCTGAAAAGCTGCTCACTGTTACCTGTCAGTCTCTTCTGAAGGCTGCTCATCATCTCAGGTTTATCAAAATTAGCCTTCATCTGCACCAGAACATCCATATTCTCAAAGACAAGTTTCTGAAAGAGGTATTTAAAAGAGGTCAAATCAAACTGTACGGACACCACTATACATATATATACACACACACACACACACACAACAGTTAGTCTCAACTTGCACTCTGATTGGTCTAACTGTGCTGATATTTGAGATAACACAGCTTTTTCACACCAAAACTGTATCACCCTGTTGACATGTTGCAGAGTAGCTTTATGCACACAACCTTAGTTGTTTAGTATTTGTGCTTATACAAAATGAGAAATTAATAAAATGGACGACTTTAGGATGATATGTGACCTGTGGCCCGTTTGGCCTGACAGGCTGTTACAAAATGACATTCGGGTTAATTTGACAACAATTTAAAAGGCTGAGCTGAACCTGATATTTCTACAGTTCTGTGGCTCCAACTGCACCACAAGAACTGAACAGTATCAGAAGTTACGCTGGACTGAGCTCAGAGATCAACAGGCTCAACAGGCTGAGCAGGCTGGGAACTCTTACTGCTGCACAGCAACAACTCATTTGTTATGGAACTACTTTTTGGCAGAAGGTTTTGTCAGTATTAAAGCATATTCAGTGTGAAATTCAGGGCTTCAGTGTTCTTTATTTTATAAAAACTGTTGTTGAAAGCAATAGAACACTCAAGGCTGTGTGTTATCATGACAAAATCACAGCCGCGATGGTGTTCATGGTAACACACAACCTTGAGTGTTCTACTGCTTAAATACAGTATAATATAATGTAATAATATAAATGGTATAATATGTAATATGGTATAAAATGTAATAATATATGTGTACAGTAAGTGTGTCTGTACAGTGGTGGAGGGTCTGTAAAGTAAACTGTAAAACTCTCACTGATGGATAATGAAGTGCAGAATGAAAATCACAGATTTGGAATGTTTACCTTCAGCTCTCCAACCTGAGAGGTTATGTGCCACATCAGGTTCTCACCAAGAAACTTGAGCCCATATGGTCCGATCAGCTCAGCCAGAGCTCGCAGCTCTACACACACACACACACACACACACACACACACACACACACACACACACACACACACATCACAGTAAGAGTTTAAACTCTGCTCATTTAATGCATTAATATCAATTATAAACAGACAGGACAGAATCCTCAGCTCTCTAAAGAATTAATTTCAGATCGCAGAATGTGACTCTCCTCCCTTCATTAATCACTATAATCTATATATTAACTTCACTGAGTCCCTGTGCTCATTGAAGATTTATTTGCTTAATTTTTTTAACTCAGAAAATAAATAAAAAATGTTCACAATTTTAATATTTGCCATATTTAAATGTGCCCCTGTAAAAGAATTGTAACTTATTTTCACTTAGAAAATTAACAATACTGAATTTGACCAGGGGTGCTCAAACTTTTGCATGCAATTCTCTGTGCTTTTTTTTTATTTTACCGCAGATATCTGAGAATTCTTCTGCTTTAAAGTTCTGCTCGTTCTCCACACTCTGATTGATAAAACAGTGCATGGTGGGACAGTGAGCGATGAGGCCGCTGCTTGCCTGACGCAACAAACCCTCCAGATACCTGCAGAGCAGAGAGAACCAGAACTGTTACCACCACTTAGTAAACATTACATAACACCGTGGACACTAAAATTACGAGGGTCTGACCAGTTGGTGTAGAGCGTGGTGATGGTCTGCACTCCCTGTGAGTCCAGTGGCTGGGTCTGCTGCAGCAGGACGTTCCTCACCAGTCGGGGAATGTCCACGTTAATGTAGCGGCTGAGCGTGTTCAGGCTGGTGATGTAGGCATGGACTCCAGACAGGAGCTCTGAGGGTCGCAAGATGTCCTGAGTGTTTGGGTTATAATTAGCCATTCGCACGAAAATCCTGTAAACAAACATCAATCATACACAGACACATAAACACATACACTGACCATAACATTCACTATATGGCCAAAAGTATGTGGACACCAGTCACCTGATCATTACACCTATATGAGCATGTTGGACGCCCCATTCTAAATCCATAGGCATCAATATGGAGTTGCCCCCCTTTGCAGCTATAACATCCACTCTTCTGGGAAGTTTTTAGAAAATTTTTGGAGCGTATCTGTTGGGAATTTGTGTCCATTCAGTCAAAAAAGCATTTGTGAGGTCAGACACTGATGTTGGACGAGAGGGCCTGGCTCACAATCAGCGTTCCAGGTCATCCCAAAGGTGTTCAGTGGGGTTGAGGTCAGGGCTCTGTGCAGGACACTGGAGTTCCTCCACACTAAACTCATCAAATCATGTCTTTATGGAGCTCACTTTGTGTACAGGGGCTCAGTCGTGCTGGAGCAGGAAAGGGTCTTCCCCAAACTGTTGACACAAAGCTGCAAGCATGTAATTGTGTAAAATGTCTTTGTGTGCTGTAGCATTAACATCATCCTTTACTGGAACTAAGGGGCCCCAACCCTGAAAAACAGCCCCAGCCCATTATCCCCCCTCCACCTAACTTTACTGTTGGCACTATGCATTCCGGTAAGTAAGCGTTCTCCTGGCATCCACCAAACCCAGATTCATCCATCAGACTGAAAGATTGTGAAGCGTGACTTTTCACTCCTGAGAACACGTTTCCACTGTTCCAGAGTCTAGTGACGACGTGCTTTACACCACACCAGCTGACATTGGCATTGCGTATAGTGATCTTAGGCTTGTGTGCAGCTGCTCAGCAATGGAAACCCATTTCATGAAGCTCTTGATTAACAGTTCTTGTGCTGATGTTGCTTCCAGAGGCAATTTGCAGCTGTGTAGTGAGTGGTGTAACAGAGGATAGACCATTTTTACGTTCAGCCCTCAGCGGTTCTACTCCGTGAGTTTGGGTGGTCTTATACTTCATGGCTGAGCTGAGATTTCATGGCTATGTACTTAATTTTATACAATGGTTTTAGCAATAGATGTGGCCGAAACTCAAGTGTACATCAAAACGTGATCAAAAGATGGATTCACTGCACTGCAGAAATGTAACTGTGACAAATAAATTCATCTTACATGTAAATACACTATATGGCTAAAAGTTTGTAGACACCTGCTCATCCTACGTTTCTTCCAAAATCAAGAGTATCAAAAAGGAGTTTGTCCCTCTTTGCTGCAGTAACAGCCTCTACTCTTCTGGGAAGGCTTTACACCCGATGTTGAACATTGCTGTGAGGATTTGACTGAGCATTAGTGAGGTCAGGTACTGATGTTGGGTGGTCAGTTCTCATCCCAAAGGTATTGGATAGAGCTCCATCACTCCAGACCACACTGTTCCACTGCTCCACGCCCAGTGCCAGGGGTGCTTTATACCCCTCTAGCCCACACTAGACATTGGGCATGGATACCTGAGGATCATGTGCAGCTGATCCAGAGCGTCTCATTCTATTGGTCAGTGCTTTTCCATGGAGTTTATACAAGCAGTATCAGCAGTGGGTGACCTTAATGCAGCGGAATTCAGTAATAAGAAGGGGTGTCCACAAACTTTTGGATAGATAGTGTATCTAATAGATTATTATTTTTGAAAAGCATTCTAAATAGCACCCGAAAGGGTTCTGCTATCGTTACAATGTCAATCTTGTACCGACAGAAGAACCCTTTCTGGTGCTATACAGAACCCTCTACAGCTCATACTCCATCAACCTGAAGAACCATTTCACCATACAAAGAACCATTTAATCATGCAAAGGGTTCTTTGAGTGTTCATAGTTCTAAATAGAACCATTTTCTTTATTACGAACTTTTAAAGAAGCATTTTTTTAAGTAGAGTACAGTGTGATGTTACAGTGTCTGCTAAAGTTCATTCTTACTTGCTGAGTCGCTGTTCTAGCTGTGAGATCAGGAACTCAGAGGGAACAATGATGTGTTTGAAGACGGTAAAATCGGAGCACATACTGTATGAAGTGCAGAGCTCAGTGAGCGTCAGATGCATCTTATCCATACTGAGAAAACAGAAAACAGAAAACAACCCCTCATCATCAGTAAACCATCTTTCATTATCTGCATTTCATTACACAGTAAACTGTGATTTCTGCTAGACTCACTTGGTGACCACAACTCGGTCCTTCCTGTGGCTCTCAGTTCCGGGTTTCTCTTTCGGCACTTCTCCTTTTTTAGGAACCGGCTTCTTCATCTTTTTGTTGCGGGCAGCGCTGATGGTTTCAGCACAATGTTTCGGCAACAACTACAAGACAGAGAGAAGAACATAATAATATAAAGATAATATGTAATATGTAATATGTAACTGTTTGTAGTAAAGAGTCTCAGTAGTGTTATTAACACACTGACAGTAAAACAGAGTAAATCTGCAGACAAATTCAGCTTATTAGATAGAACCTGAACTCTATGTCACTAAATCACTCAGCGTCTCTGACCGCTGACAGTGAGAACCTATTCAGTTTCAAATTAAAGTAGTTTATTTTCTGACCGTCCTGTATATAAAGTGAAGAAAGTTTTAATTCATATGTCCTGTTTGGGGGTCTCTGTGGAGCTGAGAGGACCCTGAAAACCACTGATGTTATCGTACCTGTTCATGAAGGTTACTCTGCTCCGCTGAGATCTCCAGAACCACTGAGCAGGTGTGCTGAGCGATCTCCTCCAGAAACTTCACACACAGCTTCAGAGACTGTTTCTCCATCAGCTCCATCTACACACACACACACACGTTTTCCTCTTTTCTCTGTTGTTGTATTTTAAATTAGTCGTTATTTAAGACCATTCTTCTGTTAAAGGGTTGAAATACTTTTTTATTATATTTTACTTTACTTTTGAAATCTATGTATAACATTTGTGTGGTTTTATTCACCAAAACAATCATAATTTCATTTCTCTCTTTATCCTTCACAGTTAAACAGGCTGTTTCTGTTCCTGTGCTGTGCGTAGGTTGGATGGGCAAGGTTAAATTGATGTAGGCTGAATGGGTGGGGCCACAGTGCTGTAGCCTGAAATGTAAAAGCCCTCCTGTAATGTTAAACTGTGAGGAACACCAATAATGTTCCTCAGTCAAATTGACTCGATGTATGTTTAATCATCCAAAAGTAGTTTAAACATCATCTTTAGCTCAATTAATATCAATTTAACCAATATTTAGTGTAATCAAGATTTACCGCCATTACAGATTATGGTTTGTTTATAATAATTTGCTCATTTGTGATTAAAAATTAACTGTCAAACTGTTTTTTTTCTGTACATTGGCAAAACTAGTCATTCAACACGTTTGTTTTATTCATTCTTATACAGACTTTCTCAACATTTGTGACACATTTTCTGTCATTCTGTCATCATTTTCTGATTAATACAAACAAACCATCTCTTCTGTTCCGGGTCAAACTGACCCTTTCAATTCAACTCGCCCTAAATGAGCCGTAAGTCCAGCAGATAAGGTCTCATAATCCAAAAATTTGATGAAACAAGTCGATTTGACCTGCAACATAAGAGGTTTCACAGAAAATTCAGTTTTCTGTGATGTGGCCCTTTAAAGGCTACACACATTCAGGAAAAGCAGGATGGCGTGACTTCCACTCTATACATATTTACTTCTTCATTTGATATGTTCAGCCTTTCTTTCTGTATATTTTTCATCTTTCATTCAATATTCAGTAAGGGCTCACAAACTTTTTCCATTAATGAGTAACTTATAAATTGATCAGTTGATTGTTAAACCATTTGTTTAATCATAATAATAATAATAATAATAATAATAATAATGAATGACAGTGAATAATGATGGTGGGGTAAAATGCTGTACGTGTTCTTTGTGTAGTGAGACTGACGTTCTTTATATTTGGATTTAGATGAACGTTGCGTCCTGTTTGGAATCGTCTCTAACGTTCTTCTAACAGCAGAGCTGCTCACTACTGACCTCTTCTGGACACATGTGGTGAGTGCTCTGGCTGAAGTGAGCGCAGACCGTCGGGAAGGCCATCAGATAACGCTGCATGGAGGAATCTTCACTGCTCTGAGAGAACATTTTCTCAAACACGCGCGGGTAAAAACTGAAAGTTGAAACAAACTCAAGGTCAGTATGAAGTCAGACTCACTGACTGCGACGTCACAGCGAATATGAGCTGATTACAAACGAGAGCTGTGACGTTTGTGCGGCTCTGAAACTCAAACCCACCACAGAATGGAGAGCTCAGCCGTCTCCTGGAGAAGCTCGTCCATGTTGTCCATCATCTTGGTGTGGAACTGAATCAGGTTCATGATCTTGGCAAGGTCGGGAAAATCCTTCAAAGCCAGAGTGGCTTTACCTACAGAGGTGTACGCCTGAGGACACACAGCACCGTCACACTTCACCACACTGAGAGAGATCACAGCTACATGATTCATCATTACAGTCATATGTTTCATCACACTGTGTTTCCTGAGTGGATACAGTCCACTTCACTGACACTGACCGACTGCATGTGACATTTCAGAATAAATAACTCAGTTCTGATAACTGCATTTAGTGCAGTGAGCCCTGCTGGGTTTTTTTTTGTCTGTTCCAACTAATCAACACTCACAGAAGGTAAATATCGAGATGAATATTGTGATGAATATTGAAAATGTCTTAAAGAATCATGATATTCTGTATTTGCCATATCAGTTACACATATACGTTCAACAGAATATAACATTTATATCACTACCTGCAATCTTAACCAGTCCAGTCTGAGAGCCCTCAGATCAAACTCCTCGCCACTGTCCACTGTTAAAAAACAATAATGACTGAATTTAATATATATAAATATATGTTACTGTTGTAGACTGTAGTAATCATTCTGTCTCAGCTTCTGTGGAAATGAGGTTTGTATATATGTTTATGTTAAATGAATATAATCTCACGCTGTTTGAGTGTCAGTGCAGACAGAGCTGAGACGAAAGAGGTCATGAGCACTGATTCCTCTTCAGGACAGACGTAGATGCTCTGATAAAACAAAGGAAAAGAACGTTAGACATGAAGAATGTTTCTTTTCTTCCTCTGTATTATCACCCTTTTAATTACTATGAATCACTTTACTATAAGATACTGAACTGACAAACATTTCCAGTCTAGAAAAGTACCTGGATCTGTACCAGAGTTTCACACTGAGATCAGCACTCGAGGTGACAGATTGATATAGAGTGATAGAGAATGATATACATGTACCTGTATGGTGTCTTTGTGTAAAAGCACATCAAACTGAGGTAAGTACTGAGATGATAGAGTGATGTAGAGTGATGAAGAATGATATAATGATTTAAAGTGATACAGAGTGATCTAGAGATCAGAGTTTACCCTCATCTAACGCTCTGAATTCAGTTCATAAAGGCCTAATTAGCCAATTAGCTAATGAGCTGAATCAGGTGTGTTGAATGAGGCAGTGGCCTGAAGTGTGCAGAGTTTTGGCCTGCGAGGACTGGAGCCTGACATAAGATCTAGTGTGATCTAGAGTGATAGAGAGTGACGGAGTGTTATATATATGTACCTGTATGGTGTCATTGAGTATGAGAGCATCAAACTGAGATAAGTACTGGAGGTGGTAGCGCTGAAGAATGTAGCTGTATCGACTCAGCAGAGCTCTCAGTCTCTCCATGTAGAACAGAAGCTCCGCCATGTGCCTGTACAGTTCACATTTTCACATCCGATTTGTTATTTTTGCTAATAAAAAGACAACTTTTTACACTCTATTTATACTCTGTGTGTTTATTAACATGATATTTATATTATGGCTATTTTAACTCATATTTATATAGTTCTATGCAAAAGACAAACAGAAGAAAACAAACAAACTGAGCTGCTTTGTGTTCAGGTTTACTGTAAACGTACGGGTCAGAATAATCTTCTGGGGTTTTGGTTTTGGGGATGTTCTCCGAGTGACGCACCAGCCAGAGCACTTCATCACGAGAGAATGACAAGGCCATGAACACATACAACGCCTTTATGAAAAGAAGAAGAGAAGAAGAGAGAACATTCATTTCACAAACAGCACTTCCTCAACTTTTCAATTCAACACGATCAAACAGATTTAAAGATGAGACCTTCGGTCCGAGCAGAGCTGGTTCATCCTCTAAAACTTTAGTTAGCTCTTTTAGGGCGCTCCTCAGGAAGTGGCGTTTCTCTCTGTGCACTCCACCACTGCAGCGTTCACAGCAGAACAGAAGAAGTTCAGCTTTAAGCACAAACTCACAGTGTTAGATTTAAATTTAGAACGCAAGTGAAGCTCACCAGTTTATGATGGTGTGTTCTTTACACTCTTTAATGTCAGCAACACGTTTACTGTACCTAAAGAGAACAGAACACAGAACTCAGAACTAGGACCGTCACGATTACTCAATTAAAACTGAGAACTTTATAAAAAATGAATCATTGAAATGTTATGTTCAAATCGGCTTAGGGATTAGTTTGTGATATGAATGATAAACAGAAAACATGCTGGTCATTAGACCAGCCGTAATAAAGCTGTGTTTATCAGCTTTACCATATGGGGGCGCTGTTAGCACACAAATCACTGAAAGAGAGGAAACCCACACTGGCAGGATCTCACTAATTCAAGCATGATTTCAACTACAAATGTCGTGTATATGAAGTCAAATTAAATGTTTGATGTTGTACACTGTGTGTAGATGAAGTAAAATCTTATAAAATCTTATAAAATCTATGCTGAATAGTTTGGCCTAAAGCTAACAGGCCACTGAACAGGCTAACAGGCTACTCCAGTAATACTCTGAGTTTGGCTTTACCTCATTCACTGAAGGATTTAATGTAAACTCAAACACACAGAGTAAAAAAATTCCCGACTGAATGTCTGTTACAAACTTTAACTGTGTTACACACTCAAACTCACCGACGTCCTGCTGTATATTAGCATTAGCGTAGCGGTGATGCTCAGGCAAATAATAAAGTGAAGATTTCAAAATTAAACACTTATAATGTTTAATGATATGTGCGATGCTACCTGCTGGTTTTTACTCATTTATTTTTTTAAAACATAAGTCTACCTAGCATTGCTTTGTTTATAAATTTGTAAAAAAAATGTGAAATATTTTCAGGTTTTGTCATATAAACACATCAACAGTATTTATGAACTGTACTCTCGTTACCCTTTCATTCCGTCGAAGTGCTCCTCCGAGAGTTTGTGTACATTAATGACCTCGTCTCTGGTCAGTGTGACGTACAGGCCGCTGCGCAAACCCATTTTCCACAGATCCTGAGACGCAGTGTTTGTGTTCAGACTGTTGTGGCACAGCAGGAACCCCACTGTCAATCACAGAATACGGTTTACAGTAAAACACGGTTCTGCAGGAACACTGAGAGTGTTAGAGCTTCACAGAATGTTTATCTTAGCCATAGCCAATGTCTCTACATCATTTAGCTCTTCACTCATCATTAGGGGTGGGTTTTAGTGAGGGGTGGGTCTAGGGGTGGCCTAAACAATGACGACATATTCCTCAACCAATCAGTGAGCTTACAGAGCGCACTTACAGAGAGCTCAGTGAAATCTGCACTGTGTGATAAAGTTCATCACAATAATTCAGAATAATTTATAATAATTCGGAGGAATTCAGAAGAATTCAGAATAGTTAAAAATAATTCAGAAGTATCCAAAATAATTCAAAAGAATTTAGAAGAATTCAGAGTAATTCAAAGTAATTCAGAAGAATTTAAAGAAAATTGAAATAATTCAGAAGATTTCAGAGTAATTCAGAAGAATTTGGTGTAATTCAGAATAATTTTAAATAATTTTGAATAATTTAGGGTAATTCAGAATAATTCAGAGTGATTCTGAATAATTCAGAGTAACTTAGAATAATTAATAATAATTTCACTCAAAAGAATTTAGAGTATTTCAAAATAATTAATAATAATTTGGAATAATTCAGAGTTATTCAAAGTAATTCAAAGTAATTCTGATGTGAGTGACTGTGTAGTTCAGCTATACAGACGCACTGGACCTATGTTATGAATGTTTACCTCAGAATCAAAAATCATATCAAATTTGAAAATATGTGTATCAGCAAAGCTCATAAAGATATTAAAATGATCGTTTTTCACTTCTAAGAACTCAGCAGAGCCTGCAGAGCTGTAGTCTGACCAGCAGTATCTAAATGAATGTATAATGTAATAATCTATCTGTTTTATCAGTCTATAAACTATATTATCTATCTATCTATCTATCTATCTACCTATTTATCTATATATAATATATCTATGTATAAGATATAGCATATAAACTATGAACCGGACTAAAGCAGCAACGTGTCAACATTTACATTCTGTACAATGAACTGGAAAGCAGAAATTGAACTTTAGCTGCAGCAAACAAGCAGAACAGACTCAGAATTAGTTCTGTTACCAAACCGTAAATACACACATACAGCTCTCACAAAAATTACAGTGGAATTAGAGGACGGATATATTAATATAAATGAGACACTCACAGATGATCCAGCGCTCCATCACATCCATCGGCAAATATTCACACGCCATCTGTTAGAACACAAAGATCTCTCAGGTAGAACCACAATCAGCATTTGAATTACAGACAACCCAAAGAAACTGTTAAAACAATCAAATGTGAAGTTTGGAGGGTTGCAGACAATAATAACCTCATTTTATTAACCATTAATTACACATTAATGCATTTCTACTCATGTAATAGTTTTTAGATCTTCAAACACATCAGAGTTACGAATCAAACTTGACAGTAAAGTCGTGTGATATGAAGTTCTCACTGAACACTGATAACTAAACACGGTTTACTGAGATCAATAAGCACTAGTATTACTATAAACACACATAACATCAATGTACCAGCAGGGATTTTATGTGTCAGTGTATTTATTCATTTACTGTCCTCTCCTTGAGGAAGTCCAGTATTAATTACAGTTATTAGTAATACCTGCATTATCTAATCAATACTTCATTATGTTAAATGATCTGCTGCTGATGGAGTTTTATAAATCCATGTGAAGCTGGAGGAGAAATCTGGAACCAAACTTTGTTCTTCAAACCAGCTCCCGAGATATCGAACTACTTTTTTCAAAATAGGAAATTCTTGTTTTTTTTTACGTATTTGGGTTTTTTGGTATTTATTCTAATGTTAAATAGTGTTTTTTAGATAAAAGGTTTAAGTGATGCACTAAGGTGCTGAAACGTTTGCCCAGTGCTGTATATATTTGGGATGAGCAGGTAAAGGAGCTCTGAGATCAGCACTGCAGTTCAGCTTCTTTAGTTCATAATCAGAATCTCAGATAACCCTGAAACAGCGGAAGGTGGAGAGATGTGAGGTGGATGGTGTCAGACATGCAGGGCCTCCTGGTGTCTCTGTACAGCAGATATTATTAACGGTATGTAAATCTGATGGTGTGATCTGCACGATAATGATGCTGACCGTGTCACAAGAGGCGGGGCTGAGCAGATTGGCTGGAGTGCCGAGGAGGCTGAGGAGCTGAGCGTTGCGCCACTTCTCCGCTGGGAGGTTCCTGCGAGGATAAACCAGCTGCAGCGAGAGCAGAGCCTCCGTCACCGCCTGACCACCAGGAGGACAGAAAGGAGAGAAGAAGAAGACACACAATCAGAAACTCTCACATTTGACTCTACTGAACATAACATGCAGTAAAAATGTCACAGCAGAGTTCGCCACTCCATAAATCCGTCATTAAACACCAAAATTACATTCCACTATTGTTTAATAACATTTCACAGTTTATCCCTCACTGACTGCTCCTCTGTCCATGTCTGACTTCAGCCGTGAAACTTTATTTTCTGATACTGATTAAAACTTTGCGTATCGGCTGATACTGATACTAATCTGATATTCAGATCTGATCTCGAGTATCACCTGATACTGATCAAATACTTCTTCTTTAAAATGATGTTTTTAAATGGAGTTCTTCAAACGATGAAGACTCACTCTTTTATTCACTCTTTTATTTCTGATCATATTGACTCCCTGATGATCAATCCTCATCAGTACTGATCTGACATCTATAACCATCACATCTCATTATAATCTGATCACTTGAGAAGAGACTCTGTTTTATATTATACTTTAACAGCATTTCAAATGACTATAACACGTATTATTAATATTTGATGCTCTCGTTGACAGTTTTTCAGTGTTTGTTGTTGTTTTAAACTGTTTGTTTGTTTACCTTGGTGTGAGGGCCAAACTCTTCAGTAAGCTTTTTTAAAGGATGTTCGTACTCAACGATCATCTGTCCGAGTCGGGGGTACGACGGGTCACTGTGCAGTGAACATAAACAATGAGAAACTGAAAATGAGTGATTGGAATAAAGTCTAATAGAAACATAATATAATAAGATTTTGTATCTAAGATCTACATACACAAAACATCTTACACAAACACATTCATAATGTTTTACACAAATGCTTCATAACTTCTCACACAAACGCTTCATAACATCTTACACAAACTTCTTTAAAACATATTACACAAACACATTAATTTCACACAATGCTTCATAACAGTTTACACAAACATTCATAACATCTCAAATAATGCTTCACAACATCCCTCACAAACTCCTTAATAACATCTTACACTAGCACATTCATAACCTCTTACACAAACCCTTCATAAGATTTTACACTAACAAATTCATAACGGCTTACACAAATTCGTAACATCTTACACAAACACATTCATAACCTCTTACGCAAACACTTCATAACATCTTACACAAATTCATAACATCATACACTAGCACATTCATAACCTCTTACACAAACCCTTCATAATATCTTACACAAATTCATAACATCTTACACAAACGCATTCATAACCTCTTACACAAACCCTTCATAACATCCTACACAAATTCATTACATCTTCCACAAACACATTCATAACCTTACACAAACCCTTCATAACATCTTACACAAATTCATAACAGGAAACACAGTTTATCAGTCACACTGTTAAAGATAAAGAGCTTAAATCAGGTCATTACTGACTGTTCAGACTGGGAGGCTTTTACTGAGAATAACACAGTGTGTGCTGACTTTTATTTTGAAAAATATATCATTAAGATTAATCAAATATTTACATTTTTATGTGTAATATTAAAATAATAAATACTATAATTATAAAGAAACAACATAAAATCTCTCAGACTAAAATGGAATTGTAACTCATTAATATGTGTAACCATGGATATTTAATGAATGTTGATCTAAACGTTCATGAGTATCTAATGAATTACATAAGATGTTATGAATGTTTTAAAACACTCCAAGAACAGTTTAGTAGCAACAATAACGACATAATAAAACAGTAAACAGACAGTACCAATAAATTATTATTATACTAATACTGGACATAATTAACTTTCAGCAAAAACTGTTAAAAAAGTTTTTAAAAAGCAGGAATTTCCATGTTTTAAATGCTGAAATGTTCATATTTACCTGCATCCGTTGGAGAACTCGTGTGCGCAGTTATACATTCCGACTATAGCCTTTTTATCATCAATGCGGGAGAGCATTAATATGACGGAGGCGTAAGTGGTGATGAGGTCCAAGTAGTTCTTAGTGAAGTCAAAATTCACAAGCTGGAACAGTTCATTTATAAAACGATTATTCATAATTAATCAAATAAATAAAATATTATTTAATGAAAATAGGTATTCTTTTAGATTTGCGAACTTACAATGTTAAAGTAACACTGGCAGGCATCTATCGTGTTGAGTAACTCATAAACATGGTCCTAAAATAAAGAATGTACAGAATTTAATTTCTTTATGGAGAACTGATTTGATATCTTGAGCTCAACATGCTTTTAACCATCAAATCAAGAAAAGAACAAAAATATTAACAATGCGCTTCAATTTGATGTGGAATTTTCAAGAATTAAACAAAATGACCCTCAAAATAATAAATGAATATTCTTACTCTGAACTCCATCACGTCAACGAAGGAGTCGTAGAAGCTGCTCAGAACTTCCAGAACTGCAGATTTCTGTTTCTGAATGAGGCTCAGCTGCTGCTGCATTTCCAGTTACAGAATTAAAAACATTTATTAATAATTGAAGATATTACAATCCATAAACAATGAAGAGTTTACTGTATGAACTCTTACGCTGCCGCCTCTGAAGTCGATGTTGGGGAATTTTCTGTTGATGTATTTCACAGCACTTTCCATCGATTTTTCAGTGAGAAACGACGGCCTTCGTTTAGGATCCGCACAAGCCTGAAATCAAACAATCACCAATAACGTCTGAAACTAATCACCAATAATCACATGTCAGAAATCAATTGCCAATAATCACACATCCGAAATCAATAACCAGTAATCACATCTGAAATTAATCATCAATAATCACCAATTAGTCATCTGAAATCACCAATGGCCACATGTCTGAAATCAATCACTAATAATTAGTCTAAAATCACTAATAATCACACTGAACTGAAATCAATCATCAATAATCATGTGTGAAATCAACTGTCAATAATCATTCATCTAAAATCAATCACCAAATCACACACATGAAATCAATCACCTGTAATCACACATCTAAAATCAATCACCTGTAATCAGACATCTCAAAGCAACCACGAATAATCAGTTTAAAGAAATCACTAATAATCATACATCGACAATCACCAATAATGACAAATCTGAAAACAATCACCAATAATCACGTCTGAAATCAATCACCAATAATCACTCACCTGAAATCACCAATAATCATGCTTCTGAAAGCAATAATCAGTCACTAGTAATCAGTCTGAAATCACCAATAATTACACATCTACAAATCATTTGACAATAACCACTCGTCTAAAATCAATCACTAATAATCACACATCTGAAAGCAATCACCAATAATCATGTCTGAAATCAATCACCAATAATCACTCGCCTGAAATTAATAACTAATAATCACACATCTGAAATCAATCACTAATAATCAGTCTGAAATCATCAATAATTACATATCTGAAATCAACTGACAATAACCACTCGTCTAAAATTAATCACCAATAATCTCTTGTCTGACATCAATTACCAAATCACACGTTCAAAATTAATCACCAATCTTCACACATCTAAAATCAATCACTAATAATCACAGTCTGAAATCACCAATAATCACATTATTTGTGCTCTACTAATGAGATATTTTCTTTTGTGAGCATTGAAAAATGGGGCAACAAAGTATGCAGAGAAACAGATGGACTACAGTCTGTAACTGTAGAAATACAAAGTGAAACTATATGGTCAGTGGAGCTGATAAGATGGACAATGAATGTAGACATGAGATGGTAGACGTAAGAGGCCGGTCGATGTGGGTCCTATTATGTGTTCCTCAAAATCAATTCAGTTTGAGAGTCCAGTTTACGGTCTCAGTATAGTCAACAGGTTGTTTCTCCTGCTGTGATTATAAACATCAGAATTAAATGTTCTACCACAGTGACCTCACAGGTGGACGCCCAGCATCATCAGCAGCTCCTCTAAAACACTTTTAATATCAATTTTAACTTCTCACACATCTTTTTTTTTATGAAGTCCACATTTCTCAGCATTTTAATCCAGATGTCACTGTTCAGAAGAGCGCAAGTTCTGGATTACTGGATCATAAACTGCAAAAACTACAGCTCTAAAATATTGTAAATATTGCTATTATTTTTAATAATCTTGTTTGAACTCTGTTCTGCAGTTTAAAACTATAAATGTGTAAAACGTCCCAAAGTGAAATTATATTTTAATAGAACAGATTTGACGACTGAAGTTGAGTCACAATTTTATTGATTAGTAAATTAAGCTTTTAATTTTTTTAATATTTTACAAATTCAGGAACGGAGCCTTAGATCATAAAGTTGCTTTTAAAGCTTCTAGAACTGAGACACTTTCACACAAACATCTGGAACCCAGAAGAGTTTGAGATGAAGACGTTTCTGTTCTCGCTACTGTGACTGACAGCAGCTCTTAGTTTCCTGTTTGAACTTCCTCTTTAATCCTCCACTTCGAAACTAAACACACCCGACACGACAAAACAAACCACGTTCTTTAATTACACTTAAAAAACAAGAAAAGTAAAAACTAATTTTTAAATTCTCCCCCAAACAACCTGCAAACACCCAGAAAAACCATTATTGAGAACCTTTCTGCATGAAGTGCTGAGTAACCGAACAGCTTATCAGCTAAAACATCGTTTCAAAACTGAAATTATTGTTTTTTTAATCTTGAATGCTGAAAGTGTGAACATGAATAATGTTAAATACAGGTGCACCAACCCCAATACAATGTACAGTAACAGCAGAACCTGCACTGTTCAGACCTAAAGAGAACATCTTTTCAGAAACAGGTTCCTTACCTTCTTAATGTGGTTCATCCTGATGAGAACCCCCTGACCGCGGTCATTCAGAACCAGGAGCTTCTCGGCCAGTTTCTGCTGGTAGGCCATGGCTGCGTCCGCGCTGAAGAACCTCAAGGACTCCAACACTTGCTCACACAGGAAGTCTCAAAGACACCAGAACCCTTTTGTGGGTGGAGCTTATCATGAGAGGAGCTGCAAAAGCTGAATCCAGAACAGAATCTTAAATCTTTTTATACCATCCAGTCCAGCATCTGGACCTTCAAGGCAGCTCAAATGATCCCTAACCAACCTAACAGCTCACACTCACATCAGCCTGTTCAGAACCTGCATCTTTTAGGAGAGATTTCAAAGCTCAGCTGCTGGTTTTTAAGGCTCTAAATGACCTTAAAGCTCCTGAATGTCTGTCTGTTTATGACCTGAGATCTGCAGATACTGACCTTCTGCAAACACCTTCCGTAAAATAGAGAAAATGTGGAGAGACTCTTTCTGTTATTCTGCTTCTAAACTGTAGAGCTCAGTTCACCTTTTATTACAGTCAAGCTCAGAGCTCACTTTAAATAACCATCTGAAGATGCAGCTCTGAAATTTAGAGCTCACTTATTATTATAAATTTTCGCTTATTTTGATTCCAACTTTTATCTTGTTTTTTGGCTTTTATTGTTTAATTCACTATTTCAAAGGACTCTGACCTGCTAGATTTACACTACATGGTCAAATGTACTGGGACACCTACAGGAGCTTTTATGATTCCAATCTAAATCTATAGGCATGGTCTCCCTTTGCAGCTATAACAGCTTCCACTCTTCTGGGTAGCTTTCTATAAGATTTTAGACTGTGTCTGTGGGAATTAAAAAGGTTCCAGGCTGGACTGAGGGCTGTCAATCACTGCTCATTGGAATATCAGGCCACACCCACACATTTCTCAGACAGTCTGATCAGTGTTTTCTAAACTTCTTTATTTTTATCTTGTTTTTTTACTCAAACTTTGTTGAGTGTTTAATAATGTTAGCATTATAACTTCACTTAATATTATTAACTTTTATATTTTTTAAATATTTTGTACTGTTCTTGAGACTTTAAAATACAAACCCTTTTCCAAAAAAGTTGGGACGCTGTGAAAAATAAAATCAAATAAAAACAAGTAAATAAAAAAACAAAATGCAATGATGTGCAAATAATTTAAACTCTATATATCACTGACAATGCTTCAAAGACAACATATCAAATGTTGAAACTGAGAAATTTTATTGTTTTTTGAAAAATATATGCCTATTTTGAATTTGATGATAGCAATATGTTTCAAAAAAGTTGGGACAGGGGCAACAAAAGGCTGGTAAAGTTGTGTAATGCTCAAAACAACACCTGGTGGTTAAATGGCAACAGGTCAATAACATAATTGAGTATAAAATGAGCATCCCAGAGAGGCTGAGTCTTTCAGAAGTAATGAGGAGGAGTTCACCACTCTGTAAAAGACTGCACAACCAAACAGTGCAACAATTCAAGAATAACGTTTCTCAACGTAAAATAGCAAAGAACTTTTGCTTTTCTTCATCAACAGTACATAACACTATTAAAAGATTCAGAGAATCTGGAGAAATCTCTGTATTCAAGGGACAAGGCCAAAAAGCAGTATTTGCTGGCCCTCAGCAGTATCTTTGGGCCCTCAGGTGGCACTGGATTAAAAACAGACATTGTACAGATTCTGTAGTGGAAATCACTGCATGGACTCAGGAACACTTCTGAAAACCACTTTCTATGAACAGTTCGTCGCTGCATCCACAAATGCTAATTAAAACTCAAACGCAAAGAAGAAACCCTATATAAACAGGACCCAGTAATGCTGCCACCTTCTCTGGGCCAGAGCTCATTTAAAATGGACTAAGGGGAAATGGAGAAGTGTCCTGTGGTCCTACAAATCAACATTCGAAATTCTTTTTGGAAATCACGTACACTGTGTCTTCCGGGCTAAAGACCACTCAGCTTGTTATCAGTGCACATTTCAGAAGCCAATATTCATGATGGTATAGGGGTGCATTAGTGCACATGGATGACTGGCACATCTGTGAAGGCACCATTAACGCTGAACAATATATACACATTTTGGCAACATACGCTGCTATCCAGGCGATGTCTTTTTCAGGAAAGGCCCTGCTTGTTTCACCAAGACAATGTCAAACCACATTCTTCACGTATTACAACGGCATGGCTCAATATTTGGCACATAATAAAATGAAAAATATGACAAAGGAGACCCTGAAATGTTGAGCAGCTAAAATCCTAAATCAAACAAGAATGGGAAAACATATCACTTTCAAAACTAGAGCAGGTTAGTCTCCTCAGTTCCCAAATGCTTACAGAATGCTGTTAAAAGAAGAGGTGATGAAACACAGCGGTAAACGTGCCCCCGTCCAGATTTTTTTGGAACGCGTTATTGGCGTCAAATTTAAAACGGTCATATATTTTTCAAAAAAAAAAAAAACATTTGATTTGTTGTCTTTGTACTATTTTCAATAAAATATAGGGTTTAAATGATTTGCACATCACTGAATTTTGTTTTTATTTACATTTTGCACAGCATCCCAACTTTTTTGCAAATGGGGTTGTAATTAAGTCTTGTGTTCTGTATTTTTCCATCAAAATGTATTAAAATTAGTCCTGCTTCTATGATTCATTCAGATTCTTGATGGTGTCCTCATACATCAGAGCAAAAGAACATTAATCAATAATATGTTTCACTTGATCAAAATTTCGGTCTTTTCTTTAAGAAAAACAAACCACAATCAGACCTTTATCAACAGACTGCATCTGCGTTCACTCAGTCAGAGCTGATTGGCTGTTACTGCTTCTTATTCAGACCTTTAAATTAAAATTATCATATTCAAACTAATTATGTAAAATCAACAAATTTGTGAACTAAGATTAAAGAAAATCAGAGCTAATATGTTGTAGTGCACACAGGCTTAAAAACAGGAAAAAAAAAGTCTACACTGGATTTTTTTCCCCTCAGATTTTGGCTTTTATGTTTTAGCCACAGAAAACAAACCGTCTCATACATACCATTAAAAAAACACATTAAAAATACCATAAAAATGACCCCAAGATAACCTGTTTCACCTGTAAATGTACAGATTATGGCACGATGGTTAAGATTATAAAACTGATTAAAAGCTCAGACTCTGAATCCTCAGATCACCAAACAGATCAGAGATCTGAATAAAGTACAAATTAACTTCACATTCGATACTGTGTGATTTACGATGTAAAAAGAAACAAAACAAAATACAGATTTACAGAATCCCAAGAAACTTTACACGTTCATTAAAACAGAAATTACTGAAGTGCAATGAAAGAAGTCGAGTTTTTGAAAGTTTTTTAAATTCAAGTGCAGTTTATATTCCATTCAGTATAAATGCTGTTTATCAGAGAATTTCCCTTTATTAGCACCTACTTATTAAATCTAACAATGCCAGAAAAAGACTCTCAGACAGAGACTGATTTACCCTGAACCCTGAACATCTCCAGCTTTTAACTGAAACACACAAACATCTGGCGTCTAATGATGAGTGCAGAACTTTGGTGTAAAAGTTATTTAGCCATAAAATCCTAATTAATGGAAGAGCGTGATGGTGTAACTGCGCAGTTCAGGATGCACACAGGTCTAAAACAACTTCCTCTTGCACAAGTTAATGAACTTTTTTTAATATAAAATATTTTAAGATAACAGACAAAAACAAAGGCAATCTCAATTCGCATAGTTTTCATGTTTAGAAAAATATAATTTATGTACAAAAACAAAGCAAGGCTGTCATTTAAATTATTCGCTATGACAGACGTATCAAAGCATGATGGCTTGAATGTACTGAATTTACACCAAAATTTATTTGACAAGATCACATCTTGTATACATGGCGCTCCAGCATCTACAGCAGAGCAGGGGACTGGAGCCAAGCTGGACCCAACCTTATCGACACCACCTCCACACCATGTCCACAGCACGACCGAGCAGAGCAGCTCCAATTTAGACTTACAGAAAATGGATATTTCAAAAGGAGGAAAAAAAAAGAAAAAAAAAGAAGAAAAAAGAAAACAGTAAAGTAAAAGCACTAAGAGTGCATGTAACAACGGCAGATGCGAGCTGCGCCTCATTCTGACACTTAGAAGAAAAGTTCAGGCTGAATTTCCAGCCTATTCGTTTTACATTCCTGCTTAAGCGTCTGGTGCCTCTTTAAAAGCCATTGGTGTTTAAGTTAATGGGCTGCAGATCTCCTACTTGCATTACATTAATGCCACTGCTGGCCAAGCGCGCGATGCCTTCTGGCGACAGAGTCTCCATGGTGATGAGGGCTTGCTGATCCGCTCTCACTGTACTGACAGGATTGTGTTCGGCGACGTCACCAGAGGGTGCCGCGGCTCCACCTGCAGTACCTTTCTTACCCGTGTGTGTCTTGACGTGTTTGGAGAGATGGTCACTTCGCATGAAGCGTTTAGGACACTCAGGGCACGAGAACTTCTTTTCTCCTGAAAAACACAGAACACAGAGCGTGACATGGGCAGAGCCTGGAGAAATGGACATGAGAACACTAAAATATCAATAAATTATTTTCCAAAATATGTTTAATGACAAGACAACAAGCAAATAACCGGAATGAACATCCTTTACTTTGTAATACAGAAAACTAAACACTTATAATAAAATAAACAGACAAACCAAATTTGTTTTCAGAAGCTTGCCTGAAGTGTTTGGAAGTGTTTAGAGGGTGTGTGCTTTGATGCAGAACCTTTTTGAAAAAAGGTGCTTAAAGTTGACAGAAAACAAATGCAATCATAACTGCTGCCACGCGCAACTTGAAATAAGTTAAATAAATAAATAAATAAATAAATAAATAAATAAATGCCACTAGAACCGGTAAGGGAGTTTGCAACCACAGATGTGGGAGGAGCTGAAGTCTCTTTTCCTCTGTGAATTTTACACACTTGCAGTCGTGCAGCCTCACAGATTTGAACACTTAAATTCAGGAGAAATCTGAAATCCACAGAGATTTAGATCGGGTATTTTAATGGAGTTTCATACTTCACTGTCAGAGCATGTGAGTGATGTCAGTCTCTCTGAGAAAGCTCTCCCACCCCAACATAGACTAACTCAGAGATCTAGGAGTTCTGCTGTAAATTGTTCTTTTTTCTGTCTCAGACAACGTAAAACCAATCTGTGAGTTTTGAGCTTAAAAGGTCCAACAGAAACATCAGATTTAGGGGCTTTTCACACTTGGGCCGTTTCAGTGTCAGAAGTGGACCAGCTGTGTCACTGTTTTCTGTGCACGACAACATGACAAACTTGGACCCTGTGCACGTTCCCAAAAATGAACCAAACTCAGTTTGGTTTGCTTATAGTTTGTCGAATGAAAAATTCACAGCTGCTCTTTCACATACACTACTTCATTGCAGATGTGGATTTTTGATGAGTGGAGCTCAGTGATGAGCACAGTGACAAGAGGAACCCACTGTGGCAGACACGCAGGGCCATTTTTCCAATTTTGTGCGATGCGCTTCGGCCAATCAACTCAGCACAGCCAACAGGAGAGCAGCAAGCATGTCTGATGGTTCCTCTTACCACCCGAAAAGGTCAGTTTTATCAGGGAACAATGCCCACTTTGCAAACACTGCGAGGGGTAAGAAAGGGGTCCGAGTTCTAACGGAGTTCCCTTCTGGGTTCACTTTTAACTGAACTCAGTTCAATTAAAAAGACCCATATGTGAAAAACACCCTCACTGTCTCTGCTGTGAAGCACTGATGTGGGAATAACATGGACATCACAAAATGAACTGATAGGTTTGTTCTGGACAGTACACTGACCTGTGTGCGTTCTCTTGTGTCTCTGTAGTTCATCAGAGCGAGTGAAGCGCTTCCCGCAGAAGGACCAGTTGCAGACGAAGGGCCTCTCGCCCGTGTGCCAGCGTAAGTGTGCTCGTAGATGAGAGGTCTTCCCGTAGACTTTTCCACAGCCGGAGATGTGACAGATGTGCTGCTTCTTTTTGTTGGGGTCACTGCTGTAATCAGAAATACTGAAGATTAGGGATGCATCAACACCAACCCTGGTATCGGGCTGTTAACACAACCACTTCCCTAGTACAGGTGGAGACACGCAGGCTGACAACACGGAGGAGAAAAAGTTGACATTTGCTACGAAAGTCTGTATATGTGACTTTACTCTGTTTGACTGGATAGACAGATTTCTTTGTAATACAGGCTGTAGAGACTGTACTCTCCTACCGTGAACATCAACACATGCTTTTAGCTTCAGTGCTCAGTGTCTTAGCATGTTTGCTCAGTACTCGTGTTATTCTAAATGAATCAGCTTTACTGATAATAGTCTGTACACAAAGCTGTCAACTATAGACTTGTTCTATTCAAACGTACAGTGTGAGTCACTGAAGAACAAGATTTCTAAAAACCACAGTGTCTGTCTGGTTTTGAGCTACAGCTCAACCAGCCAATCAAAAGACTCCAAAAAGCCAAAAACTGAAAGCGTGAGCTCCTTGAATGTGTTAGCCTCAAATGTGGTTCCTGCTGTTACTGTGCTACTGCTGAAAGAGACAGATGAGGATCAAAACTATGAAAACTACTTTACTTAGAGCTGTACAGAAGCGCTGTTCTGAAGGGTAAAAAACCCGCTCCTCTCCACTGCAGCGCTACTTGATCCAAGATCACTAACGTAACATAGCTAGCTAACACACTTCATTTAAAACCAGATTTTAATCATCTGACTGTTAACGTTGATTACACTTATTCACACTAAAAGCTCCTTCATTCTGAATGGATACACAGTGTGGTATCGAACACTGTTTGAAATATGTACTCTGTCTGAAAAAAAGATATCAACGCATCCCTACTGAAGATTAAATTAGACACTCTAAAGAGAACACCAGACAGTTTGAGCTCAGTTCAGGTCAATAAACTTTAACCTAATTTAAGACAACTCAACTAACAGTTACTTCAACTAAACACCAACTGAACTTTTCCTTCCTTCTCTTTGTAAAGTATCCTTAGGTTTGTGAAAGGCACTATACAAATTGAACTCTATATTATCATCATTATTCAATCAAAAATGCAGATTTTGATAGAAAACTGTTGATCAGCACAGAGTTGCTTTAAAGAAAATCACAACAAAAGTTCTTTTTCAATTCAATTTTCAAATCTTTACACAATAATTGAAAATGTGAGGATAAATTGTGATGGAGAATTGTCAAGGAAAACGATCAAAACTTCCCACAGAGTTGCAGAAATAAGCAACATTTGTTAAGGCCAGTAAGGTGGTGAGGAGAAGGAATGCTTTAGTCATACCGTCCCTCTCCGTCTTTGCAGTACGGGCAGGTGCAGGCTTCCCTTCGTGTGCGCCGGCTCGGCTGAGTCGGGCTCGTTTCCAGACTCTGATCCAGAACCGTGCAGTCCTCCAGACTCTCTGCCCCGGCGCCGCCCTGCTCACCTGAACACACACACAATATTAGTCAACTCACTCAACATGTACACACTAAACAGTTCACAGAATTCAACACAACAATTATACAACCTTCATCATCATCATATACTAGACAACAGACTCAGAACCACCACGATCTGAATATATTTTCACTCCAACAGTAGCAGTTACCAGTATCAGTACTATTTATTTATGTTTATCTCTGTCTTCGAGATTCAGATTAATATGCTTTTTTTTGTTTCTGTCGAGTAATATGTACTTTTATCAGGTGAGTGATGGAAATGAGGCTCATTTATCTGATATTTGGGGTGGGAATTGCTACAGGACCTACAATATATCACATCACGATACATCAACCACAACAGAATTCTACTGCAACATTAAAACACTTATTGAAATGCTTCTATTCTATAGTGATATTTTTAAACTTTGAATAGAGATAGACATTTTCATTTAAATGAACTGTAAGGTAGAAGTCTGCACTCCTGCAGATTCCCACTGGACCAACCACAATATCTTGCGGCGCAGGACTAATTTTCACTGCTGTGTGCGGGAGTGGATGGGTAACCAGCCCCCTGCAGGCAGGAGCAGGACGAAGCACACACACAGAGAAATCCCGCAAATTAACTAACAGCCTAAATAAAGTAGAACAATCACCAAAGCGTATATAAACAATATAAAATGATAACAGTAAAACAGTTAAAAAGAATGAATGATTAATACTCTGCCGGAGCAGGACTGAAAAAGACTGTCTTGCACAGACCTCTGCTGTGAAGCAGACAGACATTTTAAAAACTTCCCTTATATTTATATTTACCAAATGCTTTTATTGATGACTGTGGGATGAGAGGGAAACATAACTTTTGGAGTCTCACCATACTGAACTCTTATTTTACACTATAGCACTAAATCAAACAACAGAGCTAATAAACATAAAATGTTCACAATCAAATAATAAAATACCTATATTCAGCTACCATGCATCAACACTATTTTTAAACCCAGAATTTTGGGATCATACACTGCAGTGTTTTATTCTTTCCATCCCCAATTAAGTTTTTTTTTTTTTTTTGCATTCCATTTTTTTAATGTTCTGTTTAAGAAACTGAGAATAAAAAAAGAATAGCCCCTCCCTGCGATAGACACTGAAACCGACCTGCAGTGTTGGCCATGGCGATGGGAACTCCCTGTAGTTGATGCATCTGTAGTCCAGCGTTGCCCAGGTTGATGGTCTGAAGGCCTGGCAGCTGCACCGTGGTGGCTGTACCGGTCTGAGCCAGCTGTGGAAGTGAAGGAACCGGAGCCAGAGTGATCTGAGCACCTGCAGGGCTTTGCAGCTGAACCGGCTGCCAGCTGACCTGACCGTTAGGGCTGACGGTGCGCAGCAGAATGGTGCTGTTATTTGGGATGGTCTGGATCTGCAAATTCTGCAAACCCTCTTGAGAAAGTGTGTGTGCTGCAAACACCTGACCACCGCCTGACTGAATGGCTTGAAGAGCAGGAGCTCCCTGAAAGATCTGCTGAGGCTGGATGAGGACCTGAGGCTGCTGCTGGGGCTGCTTACCGTCTCTGTTTTCAGACTGTACTGAAATTCCTGCAGCTGTGGTCTGAAAGGTGGCTCCCGTCACGGTGTTGCTCTGGGACGATACTCCGCCGCTACACGAGGTCATGACTTGCGTAGTGGATGTGGTGGAGCTGCTGTGATATTCAGCGGTGGCTGGAGAGGCCACTGCCTGCTGGGCTTGGACCAGCTGCTGACTGACACCTGATGTACCACTTGTAACATCGTCACTTTTGACTCCAGCAGCTGCACCTGCGCTCACAGGAAGAAGGGTGATGCTACCATTTAACGACACAGGCATATTGGCAAGAAACTGTGTCTGACTGGGCAGCATGGTGTTGCCCAGAGCCAGGTTTTGAAGAGGAATTGCCTGCTGAAGAAGACCAGGAACAGTTAGGATGTTGGCAGCTCCTGTACTTTGGCTGGAGGGAGCTGCAATGAGTTGCTGGCCACCGTTGGGTGAGGAGACAAGCTGAATCTGCCCTTGTCCTGCAGCGGAGGCATCCTGGGACGTCTGAGCAAACTGGAGCTGCTGTCCGTCCACAGTCTGAAACTGAGGAATGACTTGATACTGGATGTTAGGCATCATTCCAGAGATTGTGGTCAGCACCTGTTGACCTTGTATGCTCGGCGCAGACGCTACTATGAACTGCTGCTGTGGTGGCGCACCCGCTCCGGTGCTCACCGTGTGCCGGCTTTTGTCCTCTGCCACTGAGCCTGACTTCTGAGAGATGATATTCCCGGAGCCGGCAGCTGTCTGTGCACTCAAAGGAATGATCTGCCAGCCGTTAGTGGTGTGCGATGCCTGGCTCTGGTGTAACTCCGTCCGATGGTCTTGAAGCAGGTTCTGTTGATCTGCTGCGTCGTTCTCATCCATTCGACTGCAAGTCGCCGCCAATAAGGCTAAAGGTGACGGTGGCTGGGCTTCCTACAAAGAAGAATAACATGAAGAATGTGTTCTAATCCCTACAATTTACAAAAATATTAACAACGTCTGCTTTCCTTTTGAATTACAACCACTTTATCTGCACAAGGATATTTAAGCAATATTTGGATTTCTCAGAATACGCAGCTGGAACCTTTATTCTTTATATAGTATTTTATCAAATATTATGCTGGAAAAAGTTTATTTTCCTGCATGTTAAAAAGCAGTAAAATGTTTATTCTATATTAGGCTGAGTAGCTGATGATGTTTAAACCACTCAGAAACTGATCTGTTGTTGAATAATTTCCTTCTGCTCCAAACAGACACACAAGACAAAGTCTGTCAGCTCGAACCAGATCGTTATGAACAGTTTCAGCACCTACATTCTGACTATCACTGAGATTCGGGTGGAACTGGCTGACATGCAAAACAGCCAAAAACAAACAGCTGTTTCTGCATGGCGCTGGGACAGATTCTCGTTTTTCTGAGACCCTCTGCTCTTCCACTGCTCAATATCACAGCTCTCATCAGTCAGTATTTTATGTTTTTACTCCCACTAGACTGATGATAACCACATCATGGGAGTACGCGGCTTCAGAAAAGATGTCAACGTAGCCCTTATCCTAACAGTTTTTAAAGATTTTAATTATTGAGCTTACTTTTTAAATATCCATTACAGTCCCTCAGTGATTACAGTGAAATTTGAGATACTATGCAGTAAAGTTGTTATTACTTGTGCGAAAAGCACAGCATTATTCAACAGAATATTACAGACAACATTTACCTGACTTCCCTCACTAGCTCTCTCGTTAGTGAAAGACTCAGATAAACAGAAAGACTCACAAATAGCTCTATCTGTGTTTAAGTTCTATTAAAAACATGTTTAAGCAGTTTTGTTTCTTTTGGTCTCAGTAAAGTTGAATTCCAGCTGAAGCCTATTTTCTCGTTATCAGGGTACAATCGTGAATTGGTCATATTCTGATTGGCAGTAAAAAATGTGCTGTCGGTTTCTATGGAAACAAACTGTTTCCATAGAAACAGTTCTTGGCAAGTGATTTCCAAATCAGCATCGCCAAGAAAATCTCCCTTAAAGCTTGAGAGGAACCTTAATAGGAACCAAGACTCAAAGGGGAACCTGTCCTCCACTGATCCACACCTGATAGCAACACAATAACAAGAGCGGTACGAATAAAGAATGAAAAATTAACAACAAATATATGACAGTGAAAGAAAAGAATCAAGCCTGTCGCTGTACATATTCACCTTAGAGCTCCAAGTTAACGTTAGCAGTGCAACATTACCTCCTGTTCAGTAAACCAGCTAAACCCATGAGGACAGCACATCTCTAAACTTACTCCTGCATCATCACTGCCTGAAAAATACTGTTCTTTAATATTTTAGGATGGTTTTATTACAAGATTGGATCATATAAATTATTTTTATTAACTCCAGCATTAATATCTGCCCGAAACTGAAACCCAGACACCGCTGTGCTCTAGAAAATTAATATAGTAAATAACATATGTTCAAATATGCAGTTAAACCCCTTAATAGCTGAAGAAAATGAAGCATTCTGCTCCGTCTCAGTGAGAAATGTCCCATTAATGATCCTGCAGGGGATTAAAATGTCTTACTGATTCACTCCAAATAAAACACTGTTTACTGTGTGACTGTCTGCGCAGAAAAATGGACAATTCTAAATAATAATGCAACAGTTGAACCTGCAAGATATTCAAGAACAAGCAGGAAATGCAGCACCCTGCCCCCAACTCACTCTCTCTCACTCACACACACACACACACACACACACACACACACACTCCTGTGGCAGTTCACCACATTTCACCTCCCCCAAACAAACCATCTCACTCACGCCCTTTACACTGCCACTTTAAAAGGAAACTCCACCCATTTTTCAAAATTCCCACATAATTGAGCGTTTGAGATGCAAACAGAGTGATTCAGAGTGGTTTGGTGTGCAATGGTTCAGATTTCTTTACAGTGGTGGTGATAGGAACCAGGGGTCGCCATGACTACAACACAAATATAGACATTTTATTTACTATCCAAAACCACCAGTGAACTTACATGAGTCTTCTGAGTTTTTGATGATGGAAAAATTGTGACAAATCTGAAGTAACAAGTTTTCTTTGGGGACTATTTTGCCTCACAATGCCTAATATTACGCATCCCTCCACCATGAATGGATTTTAAGTTAGCAAAACTATCGTAAAACAATGTTTTAGATATCAGGCAGTGTACTTATAACCATTTCATGTAATAACTTTGTGTGAAGGAGCTTTTAGAAGTAGACGTCTGGTTCCCATCACCACCACTGTGAACAATTCTGGCCTGGTACGTTTCTCTAGTACGATGCGTTTCACACCAAACCACTCTAAATGACTCTGTTTACACCTTAGCCACTTAACTATGAAGAGAATTTGAAAAATCGGTGCAATTTCCCTTTAATATTTTTCATTTCACTGACAAAATAGTAATTTATACCACTCCTGTATGACAACTCGTCAGTAGACCGGATGGGTATTTCACTGAAAAGCTTGTTTTAAGAAGGAAATCCACATTTCCAGTCTGTGTGCAGAGAAAAACACTTCCATTACTTACTCGCTCTGCGTTGGAGTTTCGCTTTTTACGGAAGTCTCCGTCGTTTTCCACCAACGCGGCCATTTCATTCTGCTGCTGTCGATCTGCGTACAAGAAACGAAAATTATACTTTCAAAGTAATGTAGTGAGCCATTTCTAACGAACGACCGAGAGACATACTTAATCATTAATCGTGGTGTGCCTGAGAAACGGAATAAAGTACATATTCGCCGGCTTCTTATTGGAATTTTCCGTTCCACCTTAAATGGTGCAGCAGTTAGATTCTGGCGCCTCAGACGCCAGAATGTAACTGCTGCACCATTTAAGGTGGAACGGAAAATTCGACATCTTCGTCATGACTAGCAAGTTCTTCAGCCGTGGACTAACATTGCTAACTCTAACCATGCGGAATATTCAAAAAGCGACCCTTTACTGTTTTAAGGGTGCGGTGTTTACTCCTATCTAGCTACTTCACAGGACAGTTCAAATAGTTTTAAGCGCCTCAAAAATCTTCAGACTGTTAGTTACGAGAGTTAGCTTTAAGCTACCAAACTAACTTTACTAGTTCAAGCGACCAACAACCGGTATACTGAACGTTATAAACATGTTTACTTCACATCTGCCGCGATTTAACTGAGCTAGCTAGTTCTGAAATGAGTTGATAACGAAATTAAGCACTCTTACCGCTCATTTTTTCAGACGGAGGAGTTTCTGAAGGAGTTTCTTCTGGACAGACATCAACTTACAAACAACTCCACCGAACTTGCTGACTAGAACTGATAGACAGACGTAGCAAAGAACCTCAGCCAATCAGAACCCTGGCTGCCCTGCTCTTGGCCAATCAGAATCCCGGACCCGTCCCCTTGAACTTTAGGGACAGAGGGCGAGCGCACCTGATTTTTTTTCTATTAATTATTATTATTTCGAAATTTTCAAAGCGGAGAGGAATTGGCATCATTCAGATACGCCACGAGTTTTCAGGCGAACCGTGTCATGACGCGAGAGTTAAGGTGCAGGAGAAGGAATAATGGGATTTGTGAGGTAGGTGTAGCCAAAAAAGGCGGGAAGAAGTGGAGCTTAGAGTCTATTGGGGATGAAAACTCCGCCCTCTTTAAAATGCAGACCTGTTGAACCAATAGAAATACAAACAATGCCCGTGCAGTCCCGCCCAATTCCTGTTCATCTCGTCACATTAAAAACAGCGCTGAGAAACACTGGAGGGCGCCAGATCGATCGATCGATCGATCTATCTATCTATCTATCTATCTATCTATCTATCTATCTATCTATCTATCTATCTATCTGTCTATCTATCTGTCTATCTGTCTGTCTGTCTGTCTGTCGGTGCATCTCGTTTTGTCAGCTTTATTATCATTAATGCAGTTATTCAGAACAATTACAGCTTCATCACTACAATGAGTAACAGAGTAAATGAACCAGCAGTCACACACTGTAAAACAAACAGTAAATATTACACAAACAACATTGATCTGGTATCACTGTGAAACCAAACTGATAACTGATAGATCTTAACAGACTGATAACAGGTGAATATTGATAATATTGAAAATTGTGTCATGGTGCATATTTGTACATTTAGGCAGAATATCAGGTATGCTCATGCAGGAGTGACTGAATGAGCCACTGTTACCTCTGCGCCTGTTATACCTGCTCATCGCCAGCAGAGGTCCTCCTTCCCAGGGTTCTAAACGTGTCGCCATGAGGACTGATGATTGAACTCACTTGTTCACTTGTTGGCTCCCAGATTTGGGGTTACTCAGTGTGAAGTCTTGGCTGTGTTGGGATTTTGACTTTGTGCTCTGACGTTTGGATTGTTCCTGTATTCTGTGTCTCACTCTGAGTCTTTGTGATGGTGAGATTTTAGATATGGGAAGTATTTAGATTAACCAATGATAACTGATGACTGCTATAGGCCTATCAGAGTAAAAGAACTATGAAAATGAATAGCAAATCATAGTGAAAACTTTGAACGTAAATAACTACTGTTAGAAGTCTACAGTGATGATCTGTTAGAACGAATATGAGAAAAACTGAGAAAAAAATATTGTGGAGCAGGTGAAACATTGTCTATTAATAAATGGTTCAGGTTTATGATTAAACAAAGGGAGATTCACTCGAAAGAGGCCCCGAATATTCTGTAATATCTCTCGCTAGGACGAAGCAATCTGAACGAAACGATGTGCAATGTGCTCCTCAGTATATGGAGCTGCATCGGAGCAATGAGTTAGGCGCCGGACAGCCATTGCGACGTTTAACCTCCTTTTGCAACTTCCGGGTGCATACCCCTGTACCCCTTCACTCAGTCACTCAATTTCTCGTCAGGATGGGGGTGTACAGCACGTCTTCATGGTGCGAACCTATTGGGTCACCAATTCATTTAAGCAATGTCAGAGTGAATTTAGGAAGAAATATAGTGTTCGTGACGTACCCTCAAAGAGTATTATTCAGAAGATGGTACGGAAACTGGAAACGATGGGATCATTGATCCCTTCTCATGGCGGCGGCTGTCCGAAAATGTCGCAGGACAAACCTTTGAGATGCCTAGCACAGGAGACTGGGAGGTCTTATTCAACATGTCAGAGAGCTGCAAAAAGGGCAAAATTGTATGCGTATCGTGTCACTGTCGTTCAGGAGCTCAAAGCAAGTGATATGGAGAAAAGAGTTAGATACTATCACTGGTTCCAGGAGTTTGTGAGGGACAACGAAGGAATATTGGACATCACATGGTTCTTGAAATGTGTCTGGCAGAAAACAGAGATCACTTCCAGGAGGGTCAGTGCATGCAGGTGAGGATTTTTTGCACAGTGTTGGACATCAGGAAGCTCCATAGTGATCAAACTAGTACAGAAGGTGGGAAAGCAAGGGCTCCTGATCAAGGCAGATGAAGTAAGAGCATTAGACCACACTGGGTGGGCAGCTGTTCAGTTTGGCAAAGAAACACACAGACAGTGAGATCTCTTAAAAGAGATTGATTACAGTATACAGTGTTAAGAGAGTGAAGCAGAGATTCCAGCAGGTCGAGCTATTACAGCCTAACTAAAAGGAAAGAGCCAGAAGGTAACAGACATGAGGGCTCCCTGAGATGTCAGCGCCCCTCCGCTCCACTGTCAGCAAACCTGAGTGAGCGTGTGAGAGCAGCAGGATGACAGCACCAACACTCACACCAACATAATACTCTATGTCCATGAACCCCCAGATCTGCACCTTTTATCTAACAGGAAAAACCGATTACCAAAGGCTTGACTAAACAAGCAGGTTTTTAGCCTAGACTTAAGGCTAGACTGAGGCTGTGTCTGAGTCCTGAACACTGACTGGAAGATTATTCCAAATTATTGATTATTGAAAAGGCCCTACCCCCTGAGGTAACTTTATTAATTCTAGATACTAATAGTGAGCCTGCACTTTGTGATCTAAGTAGACGTGATGATTCATAATAAGAGAGAAGTTCACTCAGGTACTGAGGTTCTGTTCAGAGTTTTAAACATCAGTAAAAAAATTTGTATTCAATGCAGAATTTAACTGGCAGCCAGTGTAAGTTTGACAAAACTGGGCTGATATGGTCAAACTTTCAGGTTCTTGTGAGGACTCTGGCTGCAGTGCTCTGGACTAACTGAAGTTCGTTGAGGCTTTTGCTGGAACATTCAGAGAGCAGGGCACTACAGTAATCCAGTCTTGAGGTAATAAATGCATGAACTATCTTCTCTGCAGAGACAGTGCATTTCTTAATTTAGCAATATGGTGGAGATGCAGGAAGGCTATTCTAGTAATATTGGTTTTATGTGCATCGAAGGGCGGATCAGCATCGACCGTCACACCAAGGTTTTTTACAGATGTACGTCATGCAACTGAGCAAATATAATTAGACAGTTTGTTTCTAGCAGCTTTTGGAACAAGATGAAGAACCTCTTTTTGCCTGAGTTGAGTAGGAGAAAGTTACTCGACATCCATGTCTTTTACACAGTCCTCAATCTTATTAAGTTGAAGTTTATCATCTGAAATCGTTGCCATGTTTACTGATGATGGTACCCAGTGGTAGCATATATAATGTGAATAATAGGGGTCCTAAAACAGAGCCTTGTGGACCATCATACTTTACTTTTGTAAGAACAGATTATTTGCAGTTTGTATTTATGTTTATATTATAACTGAAAGCAATCAGTCAGATAAGACCTGAACCAGGAAAGTGCTATTCCTGTTACTCCTAAAAGGTTTTCTACACTGTAAAGAATTTACTATAGAATTTACAGTAAATAACTGGCAAAAGGTTGCTAATAATCTTCTGAAAAAGTGTTGTAAATTACTGTAAAAAGAATTACAGTGTGTTACTGGATACCAAGTTACAGTTTTTCCATGTAGTGAAATTACAAGCATTTCTTGTGTTTTTTACAGTCTTTATTCATTGTAGTTGTAATAGAGTTTAAAGCAATTTGCTATCGTAGATATTAATATGCAGGAGTTTATTGGCAACAAAAGTTGCAGCAATTTGCATTAAATTTAACCATTTACATCAAATAATTTAATCCTGCAATAATGTTCAAAAATTTCCAGAAGTGTCAATTTTACCATTTTTCTCTGCGGTCCTACATCACTGAAGAGATCACATACACCAACACTGCCATGACTGACCATGTGTCAAAATAAGAACACTCTGAAAAATCCAAATGAAGTCTACAAGGAAAAGGAGGGTGCAGCATAATTAATTGTTCTTTTACAACAATTAGACATCTCAAAGTGTTTGAAAGGTTTACAGGGTATAACTAACACTGTATGAAACATATCATTTAGCAACAAAGACCTTGTATACTACGATGACTATAATGGCACTTTTGCTTAGTAGTCCTCAGTCACTGAGAAAAACACATTGATAAAAGTTACCAGGACCAAACATACGAACAACTGGGACAAACTGAATGTCCATGAAGTCCACAAACAGTGGCCGGTTCTTTGTTCTCAAAACTCAGCATGCAATAGTCACATGCATAGCCATTCAAAGTCCTTTAAGTATCTGAGAAGAGTACACATGTGTGGGTTAACCATGTTGTTCTTTTTCTCCGAAACCTTTCCACTTTTCTTGCACACAACCCCTCTGGTGGGCATCCTTTTTGTTTGATATTTCACATTTAAAATTGCAAGTTCCTGAACAAAATTTTAATGGCTATATTTTTGCACATTATGAGCGAACTGACCTGAACAGCAATCCCAATGTATGTGTGATACTGTTGTGTCTGGCTTTTTTCCTTCTACTCAACTCGAATATATGATGTAATTCCAAGTTCAACATTATTTTTAAGCTTTGCAGTATCTGATTTTTAGGAACACATGAACATGTGCATGCTTTGTCCAAGTGAATGAAATTTTATGTACATATACACATTTGCCTGGGACCATGTGAACATATTCTTTACCCAGCACCTGCGCATATGTCACGTAAAAAACTGGCTTTGAAACATATTGTTATAAGCATACAATTACCTTTGAAGGAATTGAAGCTTGCAGGATGCCTGATCCTGTTACACCAATTAAAGTCCTAATAAGATGCAAACAAGGCAGCAATTCCAATGTATGTCTCCTTCCTCGTTTGGTTCCTATCTCTGCTGTAGGTTGGTTGCGGTGGCAGTCATCATTAGAGGCTCGGCATCTACCCTTCAATGACCAATCATCGTGCGGAGTTCCAGCACTGGAGGAGGGACCTGAACTTTAAAAGCAGCCTGGCAAAGCTCATTGAGAGGCCTGCATTCTCACTGTTTA